AATCTAAAAACAGAAAAAATTCATCGTTGCTGAAAAATATTTCATCATCAAACGCGTAAAACACATATTCCAAAAGCGTTCAGTCCACAATAGGCAAGACGATATATCAGTAGCTTGGGAATACAGCCGCCTCTCCTTGTACTCGCGAAACGTCTGTAGCGGCGAGGTGCCAGAAGAGACGGCTCATATATCAGAAATATACTTTTTTACCGATACAACGGCCATATTGAATTTATTAGATTTAAGGAGTATTATAGGATGCCCAAGGGGGCACTCGCTCAGTATTTACGCGCGCTTTTCGGGCAGAAAGAGAACTTGATTGTATATTTCTCGGGAAAAAGGCGATCATTACCGTAAAATTCCGAAAATAAGTCCCGGGGCTTATATTTTTCAATGGCCCTTTTTGAGGGGCTTATTTTTGGAGGGGCTTATGTACGGAGGGAAATTTGCGTTTCGACATCGATTGGGCTAGCTTATAGTTGGAAGTAAATTTACCGTTTTTGCTTTGTTTTACTTTGTATTTGAGGGCAATTTCCAAGTACAAGCCCCCCGGGGGGGGGGGGGCTTATATTCGGAGGGGCGATTTCATGAAAGGTTTAAAACTTTACGAGTTTGGGGGGCTTATACATGGAGGGGCTTATTTTCGGAATTTCACGGTATTTCATCTTAACACGGCACAATGATCTTTTTTCCCATTACAATCTTTTTCTAGGAAAACTTAAAGAAAAATTGACCCAAAAAGCGCGCACAAATACTGAGCGATTGTATCGGATCGTGCTCATGCCCCTCTGGGCATCCCATAATACTCCTTCAATGTAATTAATTCAATATGGCCGCCGTATTGGTAGAAAGTTCTGTTGGAGGTGATATGTTAGAGATCAATGAGGAGTTGTAATTAGCTCCGTAAAATACTGGAAAGGCTTTCCAATAATGTTAACTTGGGAAGAAGAGAGTCTTACCAGATAAAGATGACCTATTAGCTACAGATGTCACAGATTCTTCAGTCACTAGCCTTTCCTTCAGTCGTAGTTCGGTGAGATCCTCTCTAACTCTTTCTAGATGTCGACTCACGTTCTCTGCATGGCAAATCATGACTTCAATTCCAGACGACATACGAGCTTCCTAACAGTTGGTTAGACAACAACACAACAGACGATAACTGTTAGCAAAGGACTCCAGGAAGCAGGTCTTCGAATTTTCAAACGGGCGCACGACTCTCACTTGAAGACCCTCAAACAGCCGTCACTAGCTCAATTACCACAAATTTTCCAGTTTAAAAACGTGCATAACATAACAGCTTACTTGGGAGGATGATGAAAATTACAAGTTCGCCTACATAAAAAAGAGGTAAGAAAAATTCAAACATTTCACTTATTCTCGCAATTTTGTGACCAGAGGTAAACACGCTGCGGTTCCAATCCAAAATTTCCCTGACTCCAGATTTTTTTTTTCTAACTCCAGATGAAAAATTTTTAGAGTAAGAACGGATCAAATTCTAACTCGCTAAGACCTGCACCTACTTATGAAGAGAAATACGTCCTCTCTCTGGTTGTTACCGTAAGGGCTTGATCAAACTACAAAAGCGCTAATAAGAAACTGCCGCAACAAAGCTTTGTCAAAGGAAGATAAAACTAACAATACGAACAAAACCAACCTGTTGAACGCACCCATGTTGCTCTGTTTGAGTAGTCAGCCGTTTAGTGGAGGTTTTCATGACTTCAACTTGAGATTTCAGTACAGACAACATATCCTATAGATATGTAATCAGCAATAAACACCATAAAAATTGAAACATTTCGCGGAAGGTTTACCATCAACGGAAGATGCACAAAACTATCATTGTTGTTGTTGTTATTATCATTATTAAGGCGTATGGTAGATGCAACCATCCAACCACCAAGTGCGTCTTTTGTAGAAGTAGAACATGATACGATTTTTGCATCAAATGGATACTCGGAAAAAATCCGACCCCAGATGGGATTCGAACCCACGACCCACCGTGATCATCACGCAGTCAGAGAGTCAAACAAGGACAACACGTATGGCTCATAACTGCATCACGCAGTCACATTAAGGCATATCGGATCGTTGGCCAAAAGCTAACCTTCCCATTAACGATTCGGGAAACAATTGCGGGAAGCATTTCAGCTCCAATTCCTTTCTCGTTCCTAAAGAGGGAGATGGAGGGCAAGTGAAGAAAACGCACGGACGTTGTATGAATAATGTACATCGTCTTAATTAAGTATTCCTACAGCGCTGAACCGTCAACAAGATACCCACAAAGTCATGGCGGGTCATCAAATTCCTATTTGGGAGTACCATTTTCTCGTAACCATGGCATTTAAATCTTATTTCATAAACGAGCTTTGATATTTTGTTCTTGCTTGATATTTAAAGCTTATAACTTACCTGCATATCCCTAGTAATGCAGAAATGGTCAAATTCCTGCAAGGGAAAGGAATTAAAATGAAGGTAACGGTAAGCCACTTTCCATTGCTGGACTGGTAATTACATAGTTTTAAACTCTTTCCGCGACTTTTACCGTTTAACTAAGGTTTTATCTTAAAGCGTTGTATTGTCGACAGTGGTACGGCAAACTAGAACGCTTTCCGTACCTTCCACAAGTAAGGGATAGTTAAAAACGCTACCTATTTTTCGGCAGTTTCTTGGTGTTCCACTTCCGTACGGGTGCAATCACCAAATGACGTGGGTACAAAAGATGGAAAATACAACGAACAATACCCACACCAAAACACGAAAAACGAACCAAGAAATCGCTCGCCACCTTTGTGCTTCGCTGTGTGTGGTTAACTTAGATAGATACTCCCAAAGATATAGTACTGGGAGAGATCGGTCAGCGTTTACAGCCTGTGTAGGGATCTAGGCTCCTTTAAAACGTCTAACAGCAGGCAAGGCAGACTGTTTGAAGGAACTTTGAAACCACCATGACGGACGACTGCTAACTATCACTCAAAAGTGAAAAGCTAAAAGCTAAAAGTCAAAAAAGTACCTTTAATAAGTTCGCCATGCTTTGCAACTCCTTGTTCATGTTGGACTCTGCGGTATCTCTAGCTCGAGCCTGCGAGTAGATTAAACACATTCTCAGTCATAACAACTTCAAAACGGGAAAAGGAGAAACTAAAGGCAACGGATGGAAGAATGAAAAGGATACATCCTAAATGTTCTTCTGCGTGTCTAAAAGCCTACATTTAAGGGCTGTGTCTTTGAACATGAAGGTTACAATTTATACAGTACAAATTTTGCGCAAAAAGTGAACCAAGACAAGTACTAATGAAATCAGCGAAGAAAGGTAGGATTACACACGTACTTTGTAAAGGTAATAAATTAGGCAGAAGTAAATCTTGAAAAGCCTTAGAATACATAAAGAAAAGTTGTACTTTCTGCAGAAAAAGATTAGCCAAGAAAACTGCTGTTTATCTCCAAATTTCCCTCGATACCCATAATTTGTACTGTGCAGAAACAAAACAAGGCACCATCCTTACAAATGGCTGTTGACCCCCCAAACCCCCTTAGTCACCCTTTGTTTAGTCTTTTGTCTCAGTCTTCTACTAAAGCAAATATGACCGTTGGCGAGCATCCAGCGAAATTCTGTGAAAGCTACAACCCTCGTCACATTAGTTGGGAGAGTTGGGATGTTTTGTAGCCTCCCAATGTTGGTTTGTGCGAGTTGGAATCACAGAAGCAAGAAATTCAACACTGGGAGGGAAAGAGCACAACGTTTTGTCGCTATATGATTTTTGCACCGGGTATCCCAACTTAAGTTGACGAGGATTGTAGTTATGCATAGGATATGTGTACCTGCACTTCCAACCTTCTGCTGAGGGTATCCTGATCAGTATGGAAAGCCAATACCAGAGTTCTGAATTGTTTCTGTTCGAAAAATGCAAATTGAATCTGATTACGCTGGCATAATAAGTCTACGCCTTCAGTTATTTCTTTACTTTTAAATTCAGTTACATTGTTTTTATTTTAAAATTTCGTTGACGATTTCAAACAATATCCATTCTATAATGGTGGATTATTGAACAGAGGTAAGAAAATATAAGAAATTGTGGCAGTTTGACCTAATTAATGTGCACCTTACCTCAATTTCCTTTTCGTTTGGTGCAGGACTGCAAACAGACATTTAAAACAATATCATTTTGAGACCAAAAAGAATGTAATTGAACAGGGTGTTTGAGTTGTTCTAATAGCCTCGCTGGGAAAATCGCCATTGAGGGAAGACGCATACTTCTTTTATCATACAAGTTTCATGCGCCGGCACATACAGGGATCGAGTGATCAGCGAGTAAAATTTCTCCCGCCTGTTTCAACTGGTTCAAATCCTGCGCATTTACGAAATAAGCTGGGAAAGAAAGAGAGGGACCAATATTTACTCGGTAATATTTTTCTAGCGTCATGGGGCTGATGCATCGAAGCAGAACCTCTTAAATTAAAACTTTACAGTGGACCCGCACTAGGCGCTAACTAATTCTATGTCGGTGTGCACCAGGGTACTCTTGGAATATATAATAACGTTCAAAACGTCTTCGGCAAACGTACCTGACTCGAAGGGACACTCCATCCACGAAGTTACTGGTTCCAACCGCGTTTTCTAGCGCTCTTCCTGTCGCACTCTCGTAAGAATCAAACTCATCTGGAGTTTTAAATGCAACAGAGAGTTTCTTTCTCCACAATTTAGTAGCTGTCTTTTCTTTTTCAACTGAAAGACTTGTAGAGCTAGACCCAGAATCCTCTGAGGTTGTTTTAAGTGCACTATCAGGTTTATCTCCCAGTTTTATAGTTTCAGTAACAATAACAGGTGTCTCTGACACGGCTGATTTTCTTCGCCGTTCCCTCCGATCACCGTCGTCTGTAATCGTTACTTTATCGTCCAGTAAAAGTTCCTCGATATCGTTCAAAAGGTCCGTTTGTGAACCAGTGGATACTAATTCTTTAAAATCAATGTCCTCTATCTCCCGTAAAAGATCAGTCTGGGATCCTTTCGATAAGATTTCCTTCAAATCTATTTCCTCGATCTCGCTTAAGAGATCGGTTTGTGAGCCTATGGACGCAAAATCTTTCAAATCCGTCTGGCTGCCAGATGGTCTACATTCCCTTTCAACAAACTGTAAAAATTTCCCGCTCGGCGACTCAGAAATTCCATCAACCTCTTGCCTGCCATTGTTAGGGCTTAAGGAATCACTGGAGATAGAGGACGGTGCTTGTTTATAGAAGTCATTATCTAGCCATCTCTCTAAAGGAGTCTGTCTTAGTTCTTCCCTTTGCTGAGATTTGGACACCTCTTGATATTCATTCTCCTCAAGCTCATTAACAGGTTTTCCATCAGGAGAGTCTCTGCCTACGCCCTGGAGGAAAATCAAACTAGTTATAGGCCAATAAAGTCACCCAGATTTAGTACTTATGTCATTAAAAATGCAGAAGTGTTCTTATCAATATAAATTCACCAGCAGTAGCCAAGTCTTGCTAATTTAATTAATTTACAAGTACAACAAAAAAATTTAGGATGAGCTATAGGTAGGAATGAAGCAAGCTGAAACTTGAAAAAGTTGGGCCAGTGTTTTGGAATTGGATTGTGCAACTTGGGAAACTTTAGTAAAAATCCCTTAATTATAGGGTCTGCTCCCACAATGGAGACTAAACTGATGTCCTTTTCATGTTGTTGGGGTGTATTTTGGGCATCACTGAGTTTACCTTCATCATTCGAGCGCCGTGAACACGAAAGCTTTGGTAAATTCTCGTGACACAGCAACTTTGAAGAGTACAAAGTCTACCGCAGATTAAACATTTCAATTGCAAGCAGCAGCACAATGACAGTTTGCGGGCATACGACACCTTGGCAACGGAGCACTTTTCGTACGTGATCAAAAAAGGGAATAATCAAATGTTGTCATAACAGAACGCCACTGTCAAGACAAATCTTCCGTCTTTTGTTTTGGCCTTCGCATCATTGACAGTCTATGGTCACGATAATTAAAAAAGTGCACAAAGGTCAGCCACTGTAAATACCTGTATCCTCTTGTTTGTGTCAGACTGCGAGACAAATTCAAACAACTTTGTTTTGACCATGTGACCAGTAATACATGGAGACGAAGCTCGAGGCGACTATGAGAGAAGATAAAAAAATGGATACAATCATGGCTAAAATCACACAGAAATGGGTCCGTCTTTGTCTTCGCCACAAGAAAATCGACTCAGCCGCCGGAAAAAAGTCTTAGAATGGCTGTCACTGAAGAGCTGACCTACGACCCCATAGCACTACTATGACAGAGCAGTGGACAGCAATTGCATAAATGTTCGGTGACGCTAAAATTGGTATAGGATTTGATAGAGCCAAAACCAGTTGTGGAATTGTACACATTTCAGTTATCCTACTGATGAACAGTTACGACTTATAGATACTTCGAGCATTGCCGTTTGTCTTCTTTTCAGTATTTGGCTAAGAATGTAAATAAAATTACAAGACAATCTAAATGTAAATAAATCCATAAATTCCCTTACATCCCGTCTGATAAACTTCATGTTATCGATCTCCAGGCAAAAAAAGGAAAGCTTTAATTCATGACGCAACAAACGCGACGATATAAAAAGGTAGCGCGTGCATTAAGCGCGCGCAAGGCAAACATGTGACAAGACCGGTCGATTTCCTAACTTTCCTTACGCTTCGCTAAATCTCGCTCTATCTTTGAATTGTTGGCAAACTTGGAATGCATAGTAAACACTCGCACGCTATGAAAATGTTTATTTAGACACGAATGAGATTAAATGGACTTATCTTCAACGCAAATTTTTATTCCTTTTCATTGACCGAGAGCCTACCAAGTGACATACCAATAAGGGACGAACCATTAGAAAACTTATTGGGGGGGGAGGGGAATTTTCGAGCCGCAGAAATTTTTTTTCGTTATCAAATTCCTTGTATGAATTTTTTTGGGGCCATAGCATGAATATTTTTTTAGGGTTAATTGGCGAGCAAGAATTTTTTTTTCATTTAATTTTCCCTTGCGCGATTTTTTTTTTTTTGTACTTCGCACCCCCCGTAAGTTTTCTAATGGTCCGTCCCTAACTGCCTACAAATAATGGTCTGCTAATACGCAATGTCGTCCAACTGTATTTGGCTGCAAATAATATTCTGCTCATGCGTAAATGAAGCCACGCTTTTCTCCTTCTTGCAATCGCTCTTGTGTAAAAATGGCAGCTTCCCCAAAGACACTCATTAAAAAACAAACTCGGTGATCGAATGTTAAAACAATTCTTAAATCATAAGTCAAAATGGCTCCCTGGACACCATCTAGTGTAACAAATAAGGTCATCTGTTCCTCCTCGGAAAAGACAAGACGTCTTAAGAGCGCAATGGAAGGCAAAAGACTCTTCGGGTTGCGTTACAAATTACGTCATGTTAAGTTGAAGGCTTCCGTTCGAAGAGACATTACTTTCTCTTAGGTTAAGCCTGAGGCGTCTAACAAATTTAGGATCAATTAAGGTTTCTGAGAAACTGCCCACCCATCCCTCCCCTAAGCTAACAATCTGCCCTAAGTGAGAAGTAAGTGTTAATGTTAGCTTGGGGAGGGGTAGGTGGGCAGTTTTGACAGAAACCTAAATCGATCACAAATTTACATAGGCGCAAAAAGGGGAGGGAAGGGGGAGGGAAAAAGTGCACATTTAATGCTCCTTCCTTTTTCCCTTCCTCCCTATTCCCTACCCCTTTCAACGCCTGCTACGTAGGTTACTCGGTTTGTCAGTTGGTTCCCTTGCCGGTACTCTATGTGCGGTCTCTATCCCCTTCAAGTTGATATCATCTGCTCCTGATGCCGCAAATAACTTGAGGCACCCCTTTGACATACTAGTTTAGAACGCTGCATCCCTTTTAGCTGCTGTAAATTTAACTGCCATGTCAAACTATCTAACTTTCTAACTATCTGTATCTAGGATGACCAGCGGCACGAACTCCCGAGTGAACGAGTGAAAAGCAAAATTATGCAAATTAATGCAGTCAGTACCTGTCTACTTCTGTTAAGCACCTCCATATCACCCATAGGTATTGCATCGAAGATTTCCTTTAGCTCATCCGAGTGCCTGGAAACGGACAGCTGAATGGACTCCTGTACGTCAGAGAATAAGTCATAGCATAGTAGTAAAGACGTGTTCCTAATAATCCTTAAGAGAATTCAAGTTTGTTTGTTTGTTTGTTTGTTTTTTCATCTATTTATTAAAATATAAAGGACATGCATGAGAATAATTAAAGATCTCCTCATCAATACCATACAAAGAAGGTGCAAGTACATATTAGGGTAGCTAACGATACAGGCGTATTTTTGGAGAAAACGAGCAATTCACTACCTTCACATTAACCATAATACACCATGTTTACCCCCCAAAATTATGCATAAGTATTGTTTTCAAGTTCTCTTGGGAGGATTGTAAATCCCAAGAGAAATTGGAAACAATGCTTATGCCAAAAATATATAAGAAGTGTTATGGGAATGTGAAAGTAGCGAATCAGTACTATCTGTGAATAAAAGGCGCAACCAATTGGGGGGGAGGGGGGAGGGGGGGAGAGGGGAGGGGAGGGGCAGAAGGAAAATGGAGAGGTGAGGAGTCACTCCATTTCTTCTACTCGCGTGAAGTGCACCCCCAAAACGCCTACGTTACAGGGTAATAATATACACTTAATGTCAGATCCCAAGGGAAACAGTTAGTTTTGTTTTCCCGAGAGTCCTGATGTTTCCCGAGACGAAGTCGAGGGAAAACAAAGTAACTGTTTTCCCGAGGGATCTGACATTAAGTGTTTTGTTATATTTCTAGAACTTTCACTTCAACAGCAACAAAAGAATAACCGGAGCGAACCAAAAAGAACCAAAACAGTCGACTCGGTACTTATAACAACACAAATTTAATTCTCAAAACCACTGAATGAATGATTTACAAACAAAAATACTTTCCTTATATCATCTGCATCTTTTTCCTCCACTAGCTGCTGTTTTTCTTCGACTGGGAACTTCTGGGATAACTTTAAAAATGGTTGCTTTTTAGCTTGAGGCTTCGTGATTGTGTTGTTGTGTTCATTCACGAAAAAGAAAACCGGCAGGACCAGGCGGCGTTTTTCCCGCCTTCTGTCACGCCACTTTCCACCATGCTTTGATCACGTGCTGCAATGTATCCCGAGCGGGATACATTGTTTAATGTCTCACGATCGGGATACATTTGATTTTAGTCAAGGCCACGTGACCAAGAATCAACCAATGGCAGTCCCTGTTTAGTTGAGTGAAATTCTAGGAATATAACAATAGGGTTTAACGGGTTGTAAAGCATTCCAGAGTTGTTTCAAAAGCTCGAGTTAATTACCCCCCGGGCACCGCCCTCTCCCCTTCCGCCTCCTATCAGTCCCCTTTAGTGAAAACCAGTTCAGGAGTAAGCAGTATGACGCACCTCCAGTGTGGAAGTTCTTCTTTTTTCCACGCCAAGTTGTGAAGTAGTTTTCAGCAATTCACTTTCTAGTTCTTTGATTTTCACTGAATGAAGAAACACAAGAAACGATTACCACGAAAATTATGTAGAAGCTGCTTTGTAATGAAGTCAATAACACACAGTACTAAATACTAATTTGTTCATGCAACTTTTACCCAACAAAAGCGTCTGTTGGCTTTCCAACTCATCTTGGCTCCTGCAAATATACAAAACAAGGGACACACAATATCAAGACAAACACGTTAAGCACTAACAAGAACACGCTATATTAAGGGTGTGACAATGAAACAATTCTAAAAGCAACAGGCTTATTGCAGTAAGTCACGTGAACTAGACCCTCTTATATCTATGGGCTGCAATAATGATAATAGTGGAAACAAAAAGCCCGTCAGAATTGTTGTAGGTGCCATGAAAGCAGGACCGTCAAGGGACAGTTGTTATAGTAGTCTGAATTTTAAACATGTTGTAAGCCATGTTGCAGTTCAACATAACTACCAAGGTTTTAAGTTTGCACAAATAACACTGAGGCATTTACCGTTCACCATAGTCACTACTGAAACATTCAAGACTTTTTCAAAAGGGCGAGCTCACAAGACCTATTGTGCTATATCCTATAATATTATTTCTACTGGCCTATAAATGCTATTTAAAGAGCTAAAACAAACACTTAAGATAAAAAGAAGCAATGCATTACTTTCTTAGTGTCACAATTTCTTCTTCCAGCGACGAACTTAGACGTTTCTGCAAAAAATGGCAAGACACGAGACATAAGTACGGAAGAATTGGAGGCTAGAACATGACCATCAAAGCTAAAATTTTGAGCTGTTTTCTTCTACTATTCTTAAGACCTTTTAATACATATAACACGATTTGTTATTTACCTCATATTCAAGAGACCTCGACAGGTTTTCCTTCTCATCCCTGCAAACGGCAAACGAATGACAAAGTAATTTGACTTTCTATAACCTTGTGCAAGAAGCTTTTTAACTTGCTTACTGTAGGCGATTGCAGGTATGTCATTTCACTATTGGAGTTTCTTTCTTAAGACAGATTGCTGCTTTTATATACTGTCTCTGCATATCTTGCAACGACGTTTTCAATAATTATTCAGCTTAAAATCAAAATATCAAGAAAGCGCTTTTTAATCACAGTTTGGCTCTATTGTGGATATGATCCACGACCAGATTGTATAAAACAGCAGCAAAACCTACCTCATTTTAAACAGATCCTCGGTGACTGCTGATAACTGGGGAGGAAAGCAAGAGAAAAGGTTTATTAAGACAATAAGGGTTTCTCAAAAGTCGATTTTCACAGCCCCGGAAAACATCTAACTCGCTAAACTGCATCATGTGTTCACAACTTGTGCAAATTTTCATTTGCAACATTGTGTGAAATGTCGCAATACTACGATAGCTCGATGCTACTCAATAGTTTTCATGCGACAAACTGATCCTCACAGAAGCTTGAGCATTTCGCCACTTTAGAAACGAAGAGGGGACTGGTGCCGAAATATATCTCGCAATTGTTTCTGGGATCGTTACTGGGGCGACACCGCTCAGCTATTGGTCAATTGTTTCTCCCTGTCCCTAGTAACAGTCCCAGACGTCTTTGCAAAAGTTAACTTGGCCCAGTTCGTTTATAAAGTGGCGAATTGAAATAGAAAAACTGACTAGCTTGAGTACTTAGTGTTAACTTCTCCAAGTTAACTTTTTTAATACAGTTAAACCTCTCTACAACGGCCACCTTGGGGACAGAAGAAAGTGGCCATTGTAGAGAGGTGGCCATAGTAGAGAGGTTGAAATAAGAGTGAATGTATGGACTGTCCGCCAAAAAAATAAAAAATGACCGTTGTACAGAGGTGGCCGTTTTGAAGAGGTGGCCGTTAGTGGAGGTTCGACTGTAACAAACTTTCATTAAATACTCAGCAGCGTTAAAGTACTAAGGTCACATGGCACTGCATAACGATACATTACGATCAAGTGTTTTACGTAGCTCTAACTTACCTGCTGCTCGAGGAATCGAAGCTCTTCGCTCTGCTGTTCAACAGTCTTTCTTTCTTGTTCAAGTCTGGACTCAAGTTCTAACATCCTACAAAACGTTTTGGAATAATGATACAATAAATCTAACCTACCTTAAAGTATAGCACGTGGTGTACAACATCTGTCGATTAAGGGGGCTTTCAAATATTATGACCTGATTAAATGGCGTACATACATACATATTTTATTTATTTGGAGTCTTATACAATAAATAGTATATCAACTATTTCCAAATAACTGGGGTGAGCAACATAGAAGCAGGGAGGGGGGGGAGGGGGTATGGGAACCCACTGGGTTGGGATAAAGTATTCAATCATATTTAGCAGACAAATCGATATATTTTGCCGATCCCCTTTCCGCCCTCACCAACCATAATAAAAGCCCACTAAGAATGATACATGTGCAATGGTTCAAATTTCACAGTCATAAAAAGTAAAGACAATGTACTAATTCTCCTACATCAACAGCTGGCAATCCAAACAATATAATAAACGTATCAGGACACACAAAAAATTAGTGTTAACAACCCGAAGCGCGGAAAAACAGGAGGATTGATTTTTGATTGGATGAAACAGTGGTGCGAGACGTTGTGGCCGATCACAAAGAATAGCGATTGGACACCAAAGACTACTTCGACGCTTTACTAAAAATTGCTCTATTACTGTATTACTGAGCTGTATGCAATTACCTTGCACTCATTTCATCATTGCACAGGGACATTGTGCCAAGTTTCTGATAAGCCTTACTCCGCTCATCAAAAAGTTGTTTGTTCTCCTCTGAAATTAAAAAGTAAATTCAGAATGATTCAAGATTTGTTAAAAGAAACACTACAAAAAAAAAAAACAACAACAACAACAACAACAAAAAAATACGAAAAACAGTACAAATACCATCCCACTAACCTTTGAGCTTTTTTGACGCAGCTAAAAGTTTCATCGCTCTAGAAACAAAAACCGCCACTAGTCAGGTTAAAGCATGAAATAAACAGACGTATTTATATAATTTACCACGACCACAAGGCATAGCATGCTACGCTGGAATACAAAAATTATTTCGCAAGAATGCCAGAAGAATGGATTAAGTTGTAAATGTCAATGTACGTCTGTTTCGAGTAAAAATGATAATGTAAGTCTTTCAGTAACAATAAAACATCCAATTGTCTTTATGTACCTTTTCTCGGCGGCTTTCTTCTTAATACAGAGGGAAGACACTCGGGTAGCAAAATTGTCCAAGTCTTGAGTTAGCTGTTCTCGAAGAACCTGATAAACAATTCATAACCAACTAAACTTAGCTGAAGACACAACATATTTTATAAATCCCTTACATTTTTTCCTTGTCAAATCTACTATTTGTTGTTGTATTCTTTACTGCTTGATCTACTGTGCTGTTTTATTGGAAAGTATTGTTTTATCCCCTTTTGAGGCGTACAGTGTTACTGTCATCAGTACATTCTGCGCATACTACCTCCTTCTTGTCTTTCACTTCAACACTTTTGTCAAGTGCTGCCAGTTCATCAATCTGCCGCAGCGCTCTTTCTTTTTTCTCTTTGAACTCACTAGCCTATAACAAATGTAAGACAAAAGTAAACAATGAACATTGTCTCAACTTTCAGGTTATCATATTGCAAAGCAAAACAAGAAAGAGAGGATGCCATGGTTGTTTACCATTTATATGGCCAGTTCCACTTTGGGAAAATGGTGAGCAAAAACTCAGGACTGGGATCGTGTTTAACATCTGTACAATTCAGTTCCTTTTACCAAAAACGGCTGCAAAGGCTTTAAACTGGTATAAAAAATTGCGATTTCACAATGGAACAAGAATTCACGTTTGTAACATCCCATCCTTTGTTCCCCAAAATTTTCCGCTGGAAAGACCAAAAACGTCGTGTTTCATTTACTCATTTTCCAGTCGGATTTTCCGGAAACATTTTTGTCAATCACTCCATGGTAAACAACCGATATTTCCATACCACACCGATACGCCATATGTGGGTTGAGTTTGTTGTTGGTTCTCTCCATTGCTCCGAGAGGTTTTTCTCCAAGTCCTCCGGTTTCCCCTCCCCACGCTCTCAAATTCCAATTCGATCTGAAACGCATAGACACGTTTCATCGAGTTCTTAAGAACCCCTAAGTCCTCCGTGGGTTGACTCTTCACAGTCCCCTATTTTTCCCCGTGATCGTCGAGATATAGCGAGTCTTACCGTTAATGAGGGCCACCTCAAATCTACTTAAGGGGCGGGGGGTGGTTATAATCCCAGACGCCCGCCCCCTCGGTACATTTGAAAATCAAGATGACCGCCATTAACGGTAAAACGCGCTATACCTCGACAGTCTCACGGAAAAGTAGGGGACTGTGCACAGTTTACTCCGTGGGTAAATAAATTACAAAAAAAATTACAATTTTTCCACCGTTTCCGATGCACATACCAACTGCAATGCTGTTAGACTGTATTTTTCAAACGTGGCATTGGTGCTGGTTGAGTCAAAGGAGAGGCTGGACATCCAAGATTGATTCAATCCAGTTAAAGATGTGTCCAAAACGTCGCCATCTAAGCTATCATTCAAATTGTACAGACTGCCTACCATGGGCGAAGGAAGACCTTTGGTTTCATACGTCTAAAAATAATTTGCATAGCAATATTATTTACGAAAGACTAATAGCGGTATTTGATTGGATGTTTTTAGAGGGGCTGTGTCAAGGTTGTGTAGCTCAGTTTGTTATTATTACCAATTACGTGTCCTCATCTCGACAGTAGGGAGCTTAAGCAACAACGACGGCGACGTTAGCGAAAACATCACAATTAAAATGAATTCGTGTTTTTTCAAATTTTGTCGCGTTTATTCCAATTCACAGAAAAAGTGAAATGTAGGCGAATTTCCCTGGAGTTGATTTCTTAGGGACCGGACTCAAGTTAAGAAAGAGAAAGAGAAATTCATCGTCGCTTGTTTACGTTCTCCATAAAAAGTGAAATTAGGCATTATCACGTCGTAGTGGTGTAGTGACGGCAAAGTAATGTATGAACAAGTGTGATGCACGTGTAGAGTTGTTGTTTTGCTAATCATACCTATTGCTTTTTTGCCGTTGTCGTTGCCGTCGCTGTTGTCGTTGCTAAAGCTCTCTGGTTCTGTTTCGAATTCTCCCGACACCCTCTCGTGTTTATATCAGGTTATGCAAACATGGACGCCGTTTTCTATTGCTTAAATGTATGGACCACCCCAGTTTGCCACTCGGCATCCACGCGCGCGTATGCGCGACAAATCCATAAACCTTCGCTACACGGGGAATTTTAATAGCAATTCCACTGTGTAACCTTTGTTAAGGCAACGAAGACCGATTCTTTTAAAGCCTGTACATTTCACACCGACAAAGGGAGGATTAACCATAGCATGCAATAAACTTGATTTTAACTGAGAAAGGCGTGTGTTGAATTTTGGCGTCAGTTAACTAAGGTCTTGGTCCTTTAGTAATCTTTCATACCCTGCCCTGTGGACATATGACATGCTGATCTGTCAGTAAAGCATTGAAACTTTATGCCCTGCTGTTTCCAAGCGCCACACACTATAAGTTTCTTTGTTCAAATAAAATAGCATGCAAAGGTGAACACTCCGTTTTGCAATTCCTTTAATTATTGGAAATTCTGAAAACGTGCCGAAGTAAGGCTACGAGGAGGTAAGGTTGTTGTTAAGAATTTAGAAATATTTTGAACGAATAATAAAATAATTATTAAATTCGTCTTTCGTTTGATGTGAAGAATTATGCAGATCTAGGAAGCTGTTATCCAACTCCGTCCTCGGACGATAACCTCCTCCTCACGCTGAATAATTCTTCACATCATACTTAGTCTCAATCAATAATTGTTAATTATCATACTAAAAAAACCTACCTCTTGAGCTTCCAGCTCCTGCTGTAAAGACGACTGACGGGCGAATGGTGTGCTAGTCAAAGATGGACCATTTTGAAACAGCTGACTCCTTTCTGCTGACAGCTCATTTCTTTTTAGTCTGAAATAATGAGCCAAACAATTCGTTGTGGATCGAATTGTACAACGTAAAGCAAAAAATATCAAAGAAAACAGAGCACAGTGCGTTATACAATACCTTACGACGTTTTCTTCAAGGTCCAAAATACGACTTTCTAATCTTCCTTTCTCCATTTTCAAGGTCTGGGGAAGAGACAAGAATGAGACAATTACAAACCAAAAAAAACTTTTTATTACGTGCCATAAAATTATGCAATGAAGCCTTTCAACAATACGTCAATTAACTCTTGCGCAAGTTACAAATTAAGACTAATTTCTCTCCACGAACAATCGATTTTCTAGAAACATGCCGAAAAAGTATAGAAACGGTAATTTGAAAATTGCTGAAAACGTACCTCATTTTCTGATGCAAGACCTGCAATCATAGAAGAGTTTGTCGAAGATTCCTGAAAGAGGTAGAAAATATTCTTAGGCTAGCTGTCCTTGTTTTGCTGTTGCGGTTAAACTGTGCGTTGATGGTGAACCACGCAGATTGGCTATTTTTTTGTGCCAAATGATACTAAAGCCAGACGAATTAAAGCCGCTGTGGTCGTTAGCAGAAGTTTTGCACGACGTTTTCAGCAGTGTGTTTACGATGAATTGAAAATCCTACCACACTCTAAGATCCTTGAATCAAAGTTCTATTTGAAATAGATCGGATAAAGGCAAAGAAGCTACATGCCATACCCGAGTAGAAAGATGTTGCCTCAGGGGAGTCCACACAGATTTTTATCCGTTCTGAAACAGGATCATCGGCGCCCAAGGGGCTTTTTTTGAAAGGGAGCGGGGTAAAGTACCATTTACAATTAAAATTTCATTCGTCTTTTTACCCGAGCTACTCATGCAAACGAGCTTTTTCTAGGTGTTTAAAACAAATTGAACGGACTTGTGTAAAAATTAAGGGCCTTCACTTTTCAAGGGACATTTCTCCATAAGTTAAAGAATGCAAGGCGTCTTTATTGGCCTTAATGTCCCCTTTCAGCGGAAAGATTCTATAAACAAAGACAACAAAACCAACGAGTACCTTGGCAATCATATCGTTTTTAACTCCTTGAATCTCCTGAAGATCACTACAGTATTGCTGCCAGAAGAAACGAAGTGAGCTAGTCAGAGAGCGAGTTGTATTAAAAGAAACTTTCAGTTAATATGAAACTTCAGGGAAGCCACGGAGGAAGGGAGAGCAAGGCAAAAAACTTTCACTCGTCCGCTCGTCTGAGACGAGTAGGTTTTGGCCTTGGACGACTAAAACTCATAAAGCACTCGTCCAACCGGACGAGTAACATTTATCTTAAGCAATATTTTTTTTCAGCTTTGTAAAATCTGGAGTCCATAGCTTGCATAGAATATAGTGCAAGTCGCAACCTCGAAATCTGTTTTGGCAGGGTTTTATTTTCTCTGGACGAGTGGATTTTATGTTTAGACAACCAAAATCTGCAAAGTACTTGTCCGATGGACAAGTGCAGTGAAAAAAAAGTTTTTTGCCCTGAAGGGTGGCGCAGTGCTGCGAGAACTCGCCCCCAACCAACATGGCCTAGGTTCACATTACGGGGTCGATGGCATATGTGGGTTGAGTATGTTGCTGGTTCTCTCCCTTATTGTCCCGAGGGGTTTTTCTTCGGGTTAACATCCAGTTTTCCCCTCTCCTCAAAAATCAGCACTTCCAAATTCCAATTCGACCTGGAACTCACGGACACCTTTCAAGTGTTTCGTGGGTAACCAAATTACCATTACAATTAAATTGAGCCTACTATCGCCGCAATGAGCAGCCAAGATGCTTGCACTTTGAGTGGAATGTTTTTGAGAAAGAGGTTACCTTTTGTTCAGCTAGGTCATTAATAAGCCTCGTTCTTTCTTCTTCAAGCAGTTCTATTTGTGTCTGTGCCTCTAGAAGCTAAAATAAGGAGAAATCGTGCATGCAATTGAAGGTTAGAATTCTTAACAATGAATCAATAACGCTAATGGTTGAAACAGATATTGCACTAGTCAACAAATGCTCCGTGAAAACAGTAAAACGACTTGTCTTCTCATAACGTAAAGACGATGTTTATTCTTTTCGTGTAGTGTAACACGTTGTGTATTGTGTCATTAGGGACCTTACGAAACTAAGACGGCGACAGCAACGCGTCAAACCTTTGCATTTCTTTGTCTTCTCCGTACAACTGAGACGAGAAATGACCAAATTTTTAGCTTTCATGAGAACGTGACCGGCAAGGCGAACAATTTTCCTGTATCTGTCTGAGCTCGGCTGTGGTCCCCTCACTTCAGTTCCAACCTAACTGACAATTCCCCACCTTTTAAACATCTGGGCGACTTGGAATAGTCACGAAAAAGTTTAAAAGGACGAATCAGTTTTTCAGTGATTATTTTCACTGGTGTTGCCGTTGTCAAATGGTAGGGTCCCTATTGGCAGGCCATCTAGAGAGAGGGAGTAAATCACAAGAACTATACTACTTCCGTTTTCTTTGTTACCTACCTTTTCTCCTATCCCATTGATATTACTTTCACACAAGGCACGCTCTTTCTCCTAATTGTGAAGAAACATGGAAAAAATAAATATGGGAAGCAGAAAGAGGTTTTGTTCCACAGAGTGAAGATTCTGCTGTTGAGACAATATATTACAGAAAAAAAATATATTCTTAACAGTGTTCTTACCAAGATTTTCTACACTAGGGTCCACAGGACCCGTAAAGAAGCTAAAAGGGAGTCAGATCATGAGGGAGAAAAGCAGCTCTCAATTTTTAGATGTTAACACAAGGTCTGAGTTAGAGTAAATAGCTCGTACTTTCTTAGATCATAGATGCCTTATAAGGAAATGTACGTATGTTTACGTACGTTTTGTAATAGGTTGGGACCCCTAGGGCTAATTATAGTGCGACATTTCCCGAAAAAGTGCGGCAATATCGCAATGCCGCGGTGGTCTGGTAACAACACTGTCTTAAACACCAACAATTTGTTGAAAGTGTAGCAGAGCTTTCAGAATCCATCCTGATCCCTTCATCAGTAACAAAATTTGGTGAGGTTTTGTTTGCATTTATTGGTGATAGCTCAACTACTGTTTACTAATTATAAGCCCATTCGATTTTGAAATGAAACCTTCCCTCCTGTAACAAGCCCCTCAAATGCCGTTTGAAAAATATAAACCCAGGAACTTATTTTCTGAATTTTACAATATTGCAATACCGTATGATTCCGAAAATAAGTCCCGGGGCTTATATTATTCCAAGGCCCTTTTGAGGGGCTTATTTTAGGAAGGGCTTATCTATGGAGAGAAATTTGCGCTTCAAACTCGATTGGGCTAGTCTTATAGTTGGAAGGACGTTTACTGCTTTTGCTTTGTTTACTTTGCATTTGACCAGCAATTTCCAAGTACAAGCCCCCGGGGGCTTATATTTGGAGGGGCGACTTAACGGAGGGTTTTTTGTGTTACGAGTTTGGGGGGCTTATATTTGGAGGGGCTTATACATGAAAGGGCTTGTTTTCGGAATTTTACGGTATACTGCAATGGGATGTACAGAAGTTTGCTGGCTTCTCCTGCACGTACATGCCCTGTCATTGTCTACATAAAAATTGGCAACAAACTGTTGCGACATTTTCATTGAATATGTTCTCAGTTTGAGGATTACAACTCAGTCAAACAAGATACCCATCTCCAGCCCGTGTCAAAGTTGGCTGGTTTTGTTGTTGTTACCGATGTTGTTTTCCTCGTTGTTGTTTATAACACGCAAAAAGGCTAGCGGCTGAATATTGGTTAAGGGGAGAAGAGACAGATAAATCCCACTTTTGCAATCCCAACATGGAAATGTCTTTAAGGACAAAGTGTCTAAACTCAGTGATTTCTATGCTAAGTATATTTCTAAAAAACAGTTTTATATCGGCTTATCTTGCTATCAAACGTGTAACACTGACCAACTGTGAAATTTTCGCTTGAAGGCACTGGTTTGCATCTAGCGCATCAGAAACTGGTAAAAGAATAACACTACGTTAAATAAAACTGCAAACTGTTACATACACGCTTAAAATTCTAACCGAATGTCCCAATTAACTGCCCCTCCGTCATACGAGAACGAACAACGACCTTTACACCACAAATTCTCCAATTTTACCATGTAGCTGCAAGCATTCGTTATAAACACCTTACCTGCTTGTCGTAATTCTGCAATTTCTTTGTCCTTTTCTTTGCTTTTATCTATCAGTAGGTGGTAACTAAGCGAATGTTAAAAAAAGGTTTCTTTGCATTAATTTTTAATCTATTGGCATAGTAATGTAACTACCATAAAAACAAAAAATACATAAAACAATATCAACTTGTCCTTATAAATACGACATACTGACCTTCTCAGTTGCTTGTGCAAGCCCTCAACCTCCGCAGTCAGTTGACTGTTTGCTTCTTCAGTACTTTCCATCTGTATAAAGGAAGAATTGGAAAGAGAAATTCCGTGCATTATTGTTGAGTGCGTAGCATAACATATGATAACTGAGCTCTACCCGTAAGAGAGACAGTCAGAGCTGTCATAAAGGGCTGTAACCCATAACACCTGTTAGAGCTGAGCTCACTTGATGTTAGAGGTGATTAAGGTGGAGAGCTTAAGGTGACACTTAAAATTACAGGGGAACCTTTATTGCTACGGCTACTTTAAAGCTTAATGACAGCCCTGATAGTGGAGGTCCCAGCAGTTTCGACCTTTAATCAAACGTTAAGAAAGGCCTTGAAAAAGTGCATTTCAAAAAAACGGTTGCTTGCAGTGTATATGCAGATTGCACGACATACTTGAGCTTGCATGGCAGTGTGTTGTTCTACCAGACGCTTATTGTTGAGCTGAAGGTTTTCAATTGTACTTATAAGCTCAGTGGACCTGTCCCTACAGAAAAAAAAAAAAACATTGGAAACATAATGTTTGCAACATAATGATATATTTTGAATAATATGAGGATCATCACTAAGTTATCCTGAAAGTTGTTTCATCATTGTCAGCAAATGTTATAATTTTGGGGCTTGTGTAGGCTATGGTAGATGTGATGTTTTAGTAATGTTGCAGCTAACAGTTTCAAAGCCACAAGTTATGTATGGAGATATATAGAAATTCTGAAGTCCTCTGTTTGCATTATCTTTCTTGTTGAAACTTCTGAATTGTCATTCCTCTTCACTCTTTCCATACCCCCTTTTCCCCTTAGACCCTTTGTATTGAAATAGCAAATAAAGAGGAGAGTCTTGGTTCACTGAATCATTATTTTTAAAAGTTTGCTTACCATTTTTGGACGTATACTGCTGGAAATTCTCATTAGTTTTTAAAATGTTTCATTTTTTCAGCAACATTTATACCCACTATATGTCGGAACTAATAATGCAAACAAACTCACGCTCACGACGATACACACAATTGTTTTAATGCTCCTACATCTATTTTGTTAAAGGTTACAAACTCTCGCCATGTGCATTTTGTGCTGATCAATCACAATCTTGAAACGACATCTTATAATATCTACAAACCTCGGCTCCCAGGCTCCTAGGGAGAACCTCACTAGTTTATAAAGGACAGAATACAACAAAGTGTTCTTAACGACGACGTCCTCACATCAAGCTGCAAACTCTCACACCCTCCCCTATTTGATACAAGTAATTGGGATCAAATATGATATTAGTTTAGTGTTTGACGGCCTTGTCGTGTGCAATTAGAATAATATTCATTGTAGATACAGCTGCAGCCCTTCTTACGGGGTAAACTTACTTCCTCTCGGACCTAGCTGAGAATCGTCTCTCTTTTGCTGCTCCTGATCACAAGAAAAGCTCCACTGGGAAAAGATGCTGGACTGCCTGTTCAAAGAAGGTAACATTTTCCTGCTCTGACCCTGACGGCTCTTACAACCTCATCTTGTTCTTAGCTTGACTACTAAGCCCATGCTCCACTTCCTTCCATTACGTTCAGCATCTCGAATAAGCACCACATCTGCTGGCTTGACGTTCATTTCCTTAGGCTTGTGCTCCATGTTGTGCCTGTCCCTCGGGGACTTCACATACCCCCCAGTCCATAAAACTTCACCCTCCTCCTCAAGTCAGTGTCCCCTTCATCTGAGTATTCTACTGGGACAAGTCTTAGTTGACAAAACATCATAACACAAGGAGTCAAAACAGGAAGCAGTATGTCGTCTTCCACACAATCAAGATAGGGGACGATTATTCAGTGCTACTTCTACATCCAGCAACATCTCCTCAAGCTCATTCCACACAAGGCTAGCTCGACCCATGCTCTTGTACAATGCCATTTCACGAGGCCTACAAGTCTCTGAAATTGTACACTACACCAGAAGGCTCTGCTTATATCGAATTACCACCTTATTTCCTAATGAGCGGAGTCGTTTTGAAGCCATTTATGTTTCATCAGAATTCACCACATCAAACCATTTTGTTCCGGCAGCAATAGTTTGCCAGTTATCCGAATATATCTTCCTAGGATGCCCTTTCCTTGCACTGCAGCGACCCGTTTGGGAGGCTTGATGAACTCCTCTGCTGTTAGGTTTGGCAGCAACCCAAGATGGACAGATCTGGTTAAGCTGCAAGCTAATAACAAAATGTATGCCTTTCCTTTGTTTGGCCTGGGTCTCTACCCTATAGGGCCTGCAAAGTCAACGCTCACTGCTTCAAATGGAGCTGATCCTTCTGTTGGCAATCCAGCTGGTTTAAGAGGGTAGTAACCTGGAATTTCTTGCACCCATATCAAGCTCTATTAACTCCCTTGGTGAGTTGCCTTAACCACAACACCCAATACTGTTGACGAACAAAACTCATCGTAAGTTCCACTCCCCAATGAAAATTTAGGACATATTTACAATGGACAATTCTCTCCGCTAACAAGACATCAGGAAAGTAGATAGGGTAGCTTCCTTGGATTCTCCCTCTACATTCGTACAGACCCTCTTCATTCCTCTGCAAATTAAGTTTGAGCTAGTCTCGTCAGTGCTGGTCTTGCTGTTTGAGCTCCTCCTACCCAGAATAACACTTTTTTTTAATCAGTGGCACAACTAGTTCAACAAAAACTGGTTGTGCTTACTTGAAGTACAGCTTAAGATAAATCTCGCTACCCATGATGTGATAAGTGTCTCTAAACCCTGATGGAGAGTGTCCTCCTTGGATTCTCCCTCTACATTCGTACAGACCCTCTTCATTCCTCTGCAAATTAAGTTTGAGCTAGTCTCGTCGGTGCTGGTCTTGCTGTTTGAGCTCCTCCTACCCAGAATAACACTTTTTTTTATCAGTGGCACAACTAGTTCAACAAAAACTGGTTGTGCTTACTTGAAGTACAGTTTAAGATAAATCTCGCTACCCATGATGTGATAAGTGTCTCTAAACTCTGATGGAGAGTGTCCTCTGCATCTGTGGCCCTTATGAACAATTTCTTTACTTGCTTCGCCTCTGCTTCAATCTCTTTACTTGGACTGGTTTGCACTACCACTGTCTACATTTCTGGTTGTTCAGCCAGCTTGGTTTCTTTAGGAAGATTTCTAGACGCTCTTCAGAAAGTATGCTCCTGTTCCCCACATCAGCTGGATTTTGGTCTGTTTCACACATCTGCACTTCACAAAGGCTTTGGCAACAATCTGTGCCACAAACTGTTTGTAGTTCCCTTGACCGGCAATCCAATCCAATACACAGACCACACTACATAAATCCTTCCAAAGTGCTTCTTACATTGTCTACATCGTTGGCTGCCTTGTTAGCAGAAATGAGCTCCAGCCTTGTGATGGTAAACCCTTCCTTCCATAACCGTGCCTTTGCTGCTAACAGACCCTTCCTCATACCAGAATCTTGATGCACAAATGAATACACTCTTGCTACCCTTCCCCCAACTACTTACCACTAGAATCACAGACCGTATGCAGGTCTATGGCTTGGACTGGTTCCTGAAGTTAAGTTAGACTGTGTGGGAATTTAACCTCAGCACGCCAGTTTTCCTTAAATTTCTCCAACTGTGGAAGTGTCAGTCACATGCTTCTCTGAAAATCACCTTCCCTTTCAGCATCAAGGTTACAGGACTTGCAATTCCAAGAGGGTTATACGTGTATGCAGAGGATAAGCGCCTCAGCACTTCTCACTTTATCGCTTCGTTTGAATCACTGAAAAAAGTCACAGCCAAGTTGTCCCCCGCCTTATCCCGATGGAGCCCCAGTCGCTTTGCTTTGTTGGGCTTGAACCCAACTGCATCAGCCGTCAACTGCTAGACTGCTTCCAATTGTAGCACAATAGAGAACCTGCTCCTAAAAAACTGACATTGCACCTCCTTTCAAACCGTGCACTTGGTCAACAGTATCTTTGCCAATGATGACGTCATCAACATAATTTCCCCCACTTGCTCTCGGAAGAAAAAACGTAAGTTTCTACGTGTTGTTTCAAGGTCCCTGCAAGACGAAACAGCGACTGCACAAGTCGAGACAAACGACTGCTGCGTGAATTGTAAGGTCTCAACTTGTGATGAGTCTTCATCCTTTATCCAATGAAACCAAGGTGCGTCAAACTCTGCTACTTGAATCCACACCTGAAGAAGGCCTGCTTAACGTCTCCACAGAAGGCAACCGGTTTGAGACGGTTGCGAAACAGGACATTTCATAGCAAGTTTTGGAGAGGTTGCCCAGTCTCTAAGTGATCGATCAGTGAAGGGCTACCCTGGCATGCCTTAGACAATTCGCATTTTGGTACTCTCTGCTGTTTCTCTTATGACCGTTATCACTGCTTTTTGGGGCACATAAAATTCTCTTTCCTCATGTAATTCATCGCTCACTCTCTTATCCACGATACCCTCTTTCAGTTGGTCTTGGATTATTCTGTTAACCTCTTTCAGGTTGCAGGGCACCTTCTGCAGTTTCTTCACGAGATTAGACAGTCATACAACACTGCCTTTCTGATTGTTAGGGAGGAGAGGATGTCTAGCTTTCTACAGAAGACCCATCTCATACCACCCCTTAGGGCGGCGCAGTAGTTGCTCTTGGAATTCACTATACACCACCTGTTAATCACCAGATGACGTGTCCTCTAGACCCAATACATCAAGGCTGCACAACTACTTGTAGTCTGTTGTTCTTGAAGAGCTCCTACTCAGCACACTGCTCAGGTTGGTCTTGGCTCCAGGGGACATTATAGTCCGGCCAAACAATGTGAGTTCTGCAATTGGATCTCTTGGCTCCCCGACCTTTGGCACTGAATTTGACTTTATCTTGGCATAACTCCCAGGATCACATGTAAAGAGCGTTTTCACTTACGTAGCCAGCATGTATGTTAACTGAATTAATTGAAACAACAAAAAAAAAGAGTTTACATAAGAAAGGTGTTCAACTCCCACAGGACTGGTTTTAAACACCACCATGGCACCCTTTCATTGTTTTGGATCACCAATATGACCGCCGAGACGTCATGTGAAAACGCTCTATAGACAGCTTGGGTTTGATATCAGTATCATCGATCAACCCGCTTTTGAGGTGTTGGTACTCGGAGATTCCATCCACCTATCTTGGGTTCAGTCAGTAGAGTTCCCATGTCGACTTTGCTCAGGGAGGTGGGCAAGCTGAAAAGTCCTTTAACGTTAGAGACTTGGACCTTGTACATCATCTTACTTGAGAAAATCATCATCATCTCTATTCTCTTATACTCCTTATTATCTGGCTTTCCCTTCAGCTTTCCAGTGAGGGTTCCTGATGCTCGGAAGCTCCCCACTCTTATGTCCACTGACACTCCACGCTTAATTCCATCTACTGCTAACACAACTTCTGGGTACACCACACGGCCTCAACGTGTTGCTCGCATCAGCTTGTTTTAAAGCTCATCACAAATCGAAATTACACCTTTGGCAGGTGGTGGTGTATACGCATCTCTGTGACAGGTGCCAGTACAGTTGAAGTATAACTTGTCAGATAAATGAAGTAATTCCTCCTGTACGCTATCCCTTTAATCTTGTCACGGTCAACTGATTTTTGTTCTTCTGGCTTACTGTTAACACAAGGTCCATGTTTTCCACCCTCTTGTTAAGCTTGAAGCAATGGGTCTCTTCCTTTGTCACGCCTCCAAGGGTTGCCATCCCGGACTCTCGCCATTTCCTCAAAGCCTCTACTGTTGGGACAACCCCAACTCCTGCCAGATATCATACAGCCTCACCAGATCAGCTCTTATGCCTGGTAGTTTATCTAGGATTAGCCCGACATACCCTCTAATATTTTTCTCCTTACCCATGGACTCCAACGTTTGGATATTCGTAAGCAGTTTGTCATAGAATTAATTAATTAGAGGTTAGGGTTTAGGTTTATTGAACACTCCCGTGAGGGGCTTTTCAGCGAGACAATGCTACGCTAAAAACCCACAATTCATCATAAAATAGAAAAAGAACTAGTAATAAATGTTTAGTTTTATGTTCAATCATTCAACTCACCCAATGTCTGATTTGTCTATTTCCGCTTTAAACGGCCCTCAAAGCCTTTGCCCCTCTAAAAGTCCCATGGAATTTTGTTATCACGTGTTTAGGTAACTTTTGGTTAACGTGCATAACTCTCTTTCTCGACTGTTTTCGCTCCGAATTTCCTCTTGATCTCAGTCTTGCTTTCTCCTCCTTCTCCTGAGTTTCTCTCTCTTCTTGCTCCTTCAGCTTTTGCTCCAGCTTTTCTAATCCTTCTACCGCTTTTTAGTATTTGTCCAACTGTGTTTCATCAGCCAAACTCTATCCTTTCATGCTATCTTCTTCGTGCCTCGTCCAATTCATGTTACGCTCTTGTACAACCCCTTTTATTTCATGACATTCCTCAATTTTGCTCTCCGAAGCTTGCCATGTCTTTGAATCAGTTTCCGCAACTCGCTTCCAGGAATCTTGTTTGTGCTTTCATTCATAGAATACAGTTCTTTCAATTTATTTCGAATCGTTTTTTCGTGATCTTAATGGTGATGTACTAATATCAACCTACCAATTCTCACAGGCATACAAGATAGAAAGAATATATCATATTTCAAAGTCTTGCTTATCACTACTGCAGAAATTCTGAACCAAGATTATGATGATGGGGCCTTTTAACTTCATATCTCCACAAGCTTGGCTTCTCAAAATTTGGTTGTCTAATGGGCAACCATCCCCTGCAATTTAGCTGTTGTTGTCAAATTCTATTCATTGAGGGTGATTCATACTTGAACTAGATCATTACTTTGTGTAAAGACTGGTTTCGATAATTATGATAGCTATGATCATTGCAATCATGACTATATCATAGCTGCTAATAGTTGGAGATGAAATAAAAGTCAAATGTTCCTTGAGCATCAGGGTTGCATAATGATTATTACATAATAAGGTATTGCTTTGGTCCCTGAAAACTGTCTAGCAATCTAAGGGATCAGGGCAATGTAGCAAAACCAAGGTTTCTACTTTCAGACTGTACATACCAATCCCTGTCTGGAGAGACTCCTCCAACACCCTCCACACTGTCAGAACTCACATTTGGTGTACTTGAAACTAAGGGAGAGAGTGCAGTTGTATAGGTAATGCAATATCTCCTATTGTGTTCTGATTGCTTTTAAGTACCAACAGTGATTATCACCAAATTATTTCAATTAAATGAACGGTTCATGACAAACCGGAAAGAAAGAGGTCAAAAAATGAAATCTCTTGAAATTCACTTATCACTACAGGTATTTCTATACACTGTAAGTATTATGTTATCATTATTTAATGTCATTTGATAATGGTGATAAGTTAAACATATTCAAGCACTTATTTTTTTTTTCATACTAGATAATTTCACCCACTTTGATTAATTCTAAACTTAAAATTACAACTTGGCAACGCACTATTGCAACTGACACATATACATTTGAGTGATTCCCACCAAGGATTTAATAAATTTAATCACACTTTCAAACAAATTGTTTTTCCAGATTTCCCAAATGCAGGGTTGTCACTAAGATTTCAAGTTGCCAGGTAAATACAACAAGTAGGCGGTGAATCAAACGGCTAGGGATTTCTTTCGGTTTTATTTTTCTTCTATTTCCCAATAAAAGTAGCCGGGGAAAATCCCTGGCCCCCGGCTCTTAATGACAACCCTGCAAATGTAATTTTTTTTATCTCCTACAGTTTTGTCTGTCCATGCCCCTTAAGCTTTTCTTTACACCTCTTGAATGTTTCTGAATTTATAGTGTTGCTGTTATTTTGGTACAGCTGTACTTTACTGTTTAAGAACAGTTGAGAACTTGCCCCTCATTTTAAAAACAACAACAGAAGGTTCATGTTTGTTTCAAACAATCTTGGGTCCATACCCTTCCCAAAGAAGGTACTGGAAATTCCTACAGGAGGAGGAGATCTCAAATACCGAAAAAATTAAACTAAAACGATGAATATTTTGTGGAACCACACAATGTGTATGTTGATTAATTTGTAATCATCAAACACCTGAATACATACAGTACTGCACTTTCAATACATTATAACAGAGCAATAAGATCTCACCATGATCACTGATTTTCTTGGGACTGTTGTAACTTGTTCTGGGCTCTGGTGAATCCTTGACAGATGATAAAGCACATGTACAGAAAATTAACTAAAGCTTTTTAGTGTCCCTGGGGTAAAGGGTTTAAACCTTCGCTAGCTTTGTAGCCCGGTCAAGCAAAAGTGAGGGTCGGCTTGTTAAGTATTTTATTTTTTTTGCCGCCCGTAACTGCAAAGTAGGTGGCGTGGCCAATTAAAAGAGCTTAGCAAAGTTAAAAAACCAAGGGTGGGTTTACCACACTGAACTGAGTTGTACCATGCTCCAGCAGATCTAAAAGATCACCATCTCAGTGGGATATTTACTCAGCTGAGCAGGGGTTGATGTATAAATAATATCATAGTTTAATTATCACAAGTAACAGCTGCAAAGCAACAACTACAACAGTCAGAGGTGCATGTACAAACTGAGCTGTTTACATACCATACAGTTAACAGAAGAAGGAGAAGGGCATTCATCATCTTCTGCATTGACAAAACTAAAATGAAATAAGGATGCAAATATTTTGGGTTAAATGCACAGTCAATTACTATGCTATTTCCCAGCTGACAGCACTATACTTGTTTTTAGAAGTGCACTGACGTTAGTATAAACTAGGACAAATCAGTGCGTAAGTCAAAATGAAAATAATAATATTTAAAAGTTAAATATCGAAAAGCTATATTGTCTTTTCAAATGAGATTTAACTATTTTGCTGGCCTCCACACTTCTCCACCAATCTGCCCTATCCCTCGCACAAGCTCTTGCTTGATCCCATGACCACCGTCTGGTCTCTGCTCTCTTCCTTTACTACAGTCCTACACCATTATGTCCTTGGGCACCTAACTTTTACACTTTCCATCAGGGGCCCAAGACAGTGTTGTGACACACTGTCCAAGACACTTTTAACGTCTCCTCTTCACTAATATATTTATCCTTTCACAAGCACATAGTTTGTTCAACTCATCAACAGAAAAACCACATTGGGCCAGTTTAAAGCATTATCCTCTTGCAGCATACATACTGGAATGAGGACAGCTTTTTGTTGTCAGGGACACTTCCACGTCTAGCAAACATAGAGTAAGCTAGACTGGTTTTACATCTTTATCTTGACCTTCTTTCCATACTGCTGGGAACTCCAGATCTTCTTAAGCCTGCCAAATGTGGACTTCCCCTTTGCCACTCTGTTCTGCATATCCTTGACTGCTCCTCCCTCATTAACGACTATTTTACTTGAATAAAAAAGTCACTGACCTCCTTTACCTCCTCACCATCGCTAAACCTGACCCTGTCCCCCCTACCTCTGAAATTAAACTTAAGGACTTCCATCATCTTTCTGCTGATTCATAAGCCAATCCTACTGGCTGTGTCTTCAAGCTTGATGGCTTTCCTTCACATCTGTTTTGTAATACAAGAGATGAGAGCAATATCATCTGTAAAATCTACATCTTCTGGTTACTCTATCATCTTCAAACTTAGACCGGTTCTGGTGTTGTCAGTCATTTGTTGCATGACCCAGTCAATTGTTGATTAGGAGAGGAATCCAGACATCGACACACAGTCTTGCTTCACCCCAGTGATAAAACAGTCTGATGTTGGTCCATTAATTATCAAGGACAGCACTCTCAGCACCCTGTAAAGCAATTTGATGATGTTAAGATTAAGCTTCACTGGGATGCTGTGTGATCGCATAATGTTCAAACGGCCATCTCTACGAAGACAGTCAAAAGCTTTCTGAGAGTCAATGAAGTGGATTACCAGGAGGATTTCCATTCAAATGCCTACTCTATCATATTCCACAATATAGAAATCTGCATTATGGTATTTCTACCTTCCAAGAATCCAGCCTGCTATTGTCTTGGCTTCACACTTGTACCTTCCCTCATCCTTCTTGTGACAATCTCACCGAGCACCTTCCCTTGCCTTCTTTGGGATCAATATTCACATTATTAAACCTTTTAACCATTGCTCTTGGATCACTTTTCTTCCCCAAAACCCTTGATGTTGCCATGCACCTTGTGCACTAAAATATCCAGATCCGCCTTCAAGAGCTTGGCCACCATGTTATCCACATTGCCCATTTTACTGTCTTAACAAGAGAGAATTGCTTGCTTGACTTCCTCCAAACTGGGGGGTTCAGTGCTGATACTCTTGATTTCCTACACTGGGTGGCAGTCAATCGTGATGGGGTTCTCTCACTGGTGAATCTCTGTTCAGTACCTCCTCAAAACGCTCTTTCCATTGTGCATTACTACTTGGATCTTCATCAATTGCCTTAAGAACCACATATCTATTTCATAGCTCAACAGCAAAAGCATTGCTGATGGGTTCCCTTGTAGAACCAGACATATGCAAAACCTATGCTCATGCTATTTGTTTACTATGTTGGACTATGTTTCAGCTATGTTATGTTCACTACTGCCTATGTATTAACTATGTAACACACCAAACAAAATAGTCCAAAGTATGCAAAATCTATGTTGAAACTATGTTTAGGCTATTTGAAAAGCACATAGCTTTTGAATAACTATGCAAATACTATTCAAAATCTTTTCATAGTCTTGACATAGCTATGTATTTACTATGCAATAGAAAGTTCTGCTTTTCCTTCCGATTAGCATCCTATGTATTCACTATGCATCAAAGTAAAATAGCTTTTACATAGCATCTCGATCTTCACTTTTATTTCCAACAAGTTTCTTAGCTTTTACATAGTGCTATGTATATTCTATGCTATGTGATGAAACATATTTGCAGCCTATGTATTCACTATGTGACATTTTCAATTAGCTTTATCATGAGATAAAGGCTACATAGCTTTTACATAAACATATTTTTTCCTATGTCACTCATATGAAAAATATATGTAGTCTATGCGTTTCCTATGTGATATTCCAACATAGCTTTTAAGTGACTAGGCATGTCGATGGTAGCGCTTACAGAAGGCTAAGCATACTTTCAAAGTAAAAAGCAGTGTGTTAAACTAAAACACTGAAAAATCATGTACTATAATCTTTTTTTGTGCTTGCAGATAGTTTCTTAGTGAGAAGATTTTTGTTGAGCATTGAATCGCTACATCCATCACCCCTGTCTTAACTTTCCTTTCTAGCTTTTCCCAAGAGTTTCTTCACTTGAAATGATACTGCCATGCATCATTTTCTTCTTTTACATTGGCTTCGATCCTTCGTCTTGATTGTGGACGTCTCCTGAATATAACTGCATGGTCAAAACTGCGGAACGCTACCTGCCTAGGTGGGTGTTTGTCCGCCATTTTGTTTCCACTAGTTCCCAGGGAAGCCCGTGAGTTCAACACATGCGTATTTTGTGTTTTATCATCACGTGGGCCTTTTCAACCAATGAAAAGGTGTGAAAATTGTCTGTTTCCACGCGGGCGCTTTCAAGTCAAAGAAGACGAGCTGTAAGCGTGCGTTTTTACAAGAAGACGCTTCTTTTTACTTCAATTTCCAGTCTTTTTCCTGCCAGGTTCAACAAAAAGTATTCCTGACGTTGGTAAGTGATGTTTTTCTCAATTAAGTTTCGATTTGCTTGTGTTGTCTCCCCTTTTCGCGTATCTGAACAAGGATCGGTCGATCACGCTTTGATACTCCTTCGTTTCAATTCTAAAACGTCGGGTTGTTTTTAATTTTATGTTCATTTGCCTTAAAATCTCCACTTTTCTGTTTGCAGATACTTATTCGTTGCAGTCAAAAGGAAACTGTATGGCACTGAAGAGCACGACATCAGCAAAAAGTCTACACGATAAGCAAACTTAAACTTGGGGTTTCGATTCTAAAACCTCCATGAAAATACTGCATTTGTGTTACTATGTTCGTGGTATTATATTGCCATAGTTTTTCAATGTTTTGTTTCAAAACCTATTTCTTACCAATGTAAAAGGGATTCTAATTCATATGTTTATACTATTTTTACTATTTTGGTGATTTTTTCGAACGTATTTTAAACACTACATTTGCTTATAAAGCAGATCGAAACCTACATACATAAGAGACTATGTCAATTCTATGTAATTTCTGTTTGAACTCTAGTTAAAGCTTGTGTATGTGATATGTTTTACCTATTCAAATACTATTAAAATCCTATTTCAAACCTATGCAAAGACTATTTTGTTCTGTGTTTTCCCTATTTTAATGCTATGCAAAGTATATGTCACCTTTAAAAAGGCTATGTTTTTCATATGTTTTTTCTATTTCAAGGCTATCTAAATTCTAAGCAAACCCTATTCAAAAGCTATTTAATCAACTGTTCCCTGTTCCATTTTACTATGTAAACTCTATTTCAGTCCTATGTGAAGGCTATTTATTTTCTATGATTTTTCTATGAGGTTGACTATGAAGTCTAAAATCTCTTTCCACAAGCTAAGTAAACTGTATGTATAGGCTATGTGGAAACTATGTCATTTCCTCCTTTATTCCTACCTTTAAAAACTGCATAGCTTTTAAGTAGGTTCCGTTTGACTAGCGAAAACATAGCATTTTCGATACAAAAAACATAGTCCTGGCATAGAAACAACATAGGATCTGGTTAAAGCAATGTATGACTGATTAACATAGGTTTTGCCTAGTTTGTGACATAGCATTTGCATAGATTCTACATAGTGTCTGATTCTACAAGGGTTGATTTTACAGCTTACTGAATTGACGGAATGGCTGCTTCATCCTCTTTAGCATGAGCTTCATGGTGGTTCACAAAAGATGATGATCAGAGGTGACTTATGCAAACTGCATAACCCTGGTATCACAGCCAGACTTCCTGAAGTGCTTGTGCATGAGCATATGGTCAATGCAATTGTGATATCTGCCACTGGGGAGAGTCCATGTGGCATGGTACCAATGGTACCAGTGATAATGAGGCTGTTCATCTTACAGAAATGAATAATGAGCTTCTTGCTGTTGTGGTTCATATCACCAGATCCATGAGCTCTCATTATCCCTACTCAGTTAAGGTTCGGTAGTCCACCCATAGCATTCATGTCACTGCATGCTTATAATAAACATGCCATGCTTTTTAAAGCCCCATACAAATGGACACATTATTGTTGGACGTTACATGTTGCGTCCACTTGCACACCCTGTTGAATGTTGTCGGCAGTTCTCGCATCTGTTTGCACACCATTGCAACACTGATGCAACAACACACAACATTGTTGGCACAACAATGTTGGGAGTAGCTGTGTCCATTTGCACGTAGCTTAACAGTTTCTAGCTGCTGTTAGATGGTTCAGCTGAATGGCCTCCAGGGGCTTGTGGTCAGTTTCTGTGATGAAGCTTTGGCCCCATTAATAAGTCTGGAACCACTCACAGCAATACACCACTGCTACATGCAGGAGTTCCCTGTCAATGTTAGCATATCGCAACTCTGCATATGTCAGGGTGTTACAAGAAAACCTTGAAGCAGGGTAGCTCAGAGGCCTCAAGGCACCCACCACCTGTTTGTTAGGCCATAGTAACCCAGATTAATTTCCTCATAAACTGTGTCAAAAGCTCGCTGATGCAATGGAGTCCAGTTGAAGATACTGCTTCCCTTAAGCAACTCTCACAAGGGAGCTGTCAAGGTTCTGAGCATGGAAATGAATAGACCCATGCACATAGCCATTTCACAATCAAGCTCCTGTGCATTGGTAGGCGGTACCACCTTCTTTAGGGCTGAACTTTATTAAGGCCAGGTTGAACACCATCTTCACTACACTTGATCTTCTGGTTAATCTTGCATTTGTCTGGATTCAACTTAAGACTGGTCAGTGGTTATGCATTTATTTAGCATTATCATGCATGTGATGGTCGTGTTCTTCCTTTGTCAAGCCATTCACAACAACATCATCAGTGATCCCTCTTCACCTTCCCAGCCGTCAAAGGTCTGATCTATTTTAGCTTGAAACATGTCCTGTAACAATTACATCTTAAGGCCAAAAGGCATTCAAAGAAATCACAAATGACCAAATAGTGAGTTAAAGGTGGTTAAGTAGCTGGACTCTTGATTCAACATCCACATTTTGCATAGACTATTGACAAATATTTGGTACCTGTCAGCCTTGGAAGAATTTCCTTCAGTGCTTAGATCATGTGGCATTCCCTCTGGATAGCCTTGTTAAGGTCCTTCAAGTCGAGGCAGATTTTCAGCTTGCCACTTGGTTTTCTGGAGTACACCAAAAAGTTATTGCAGGCAGTTGGCTCACCTTCTATCTTGGCAATTATACCTTGTGATACTATGTCAGCTAGTCCTGCTTGATGTTATCACATAGGCTCAGTGGTACATGTCACTGAGCAAGGAAAACTGGGGGTACTGAGTTATCCACTGTAATCTGGTACTGGCCCCGAAATTTTCCAATTCCCCTGGATAGGATATCTGTTCACCAAATCATCCTTGTCTTTGAGAGGGATGGGTTTTCTCGATACACCCAGTTGCTCAGGTGTGCCTTGCGCGGGTGTAGCTAATTCAGGTTTGGGTGATTCAGCTAATTCAGGCGAGGGTGTGGTTGCCATGGGTGTGCCTCCCCTTGGCCTCGCCCCTGAGGGTGTGGCTGCCTTGGGTGTAATTCTTTCAACCTCTGGCTTGTAAGGGCATGGCTAGCTCTTGGGCGTCCAAGGGTTCTGCTGAATTCCTCTACACAAAACAATGGAGGGTAATAAGGTTGAGGTCACATGCTATTAGCAAACCAAGGAGGGCTGGAGTATCTGCGTCAGCAACAAAGAAGGTAGCAACCCATTTTCGGCATGGGAATTCACGTGTGATACTGCACGTTCCATATTGTGTAACAGGGTTCATGGAAAAAAAATGCAACCATTTTTCAAGGACTTTTAAAGGACCACCTACTAGGAATATAATTTCAGACTGTACAAAAATGCACATTCCCAGTCTATTCTAATAAGACTTTAAGGCTTGAACTGTTTGCTTCACCAACCTCTTTGCATTTTTCAGTTCACTTGTCTTAAATTAATAGTTAATTGTTTCATAAAACTTAGACCTCTTTATGTAAATAACGTTTACATTCTCTGAACTATGATTTATATTCTGTCTTAGACAACCAAAAAGTGGCAAACACTTTCCAGACCACTACATTTAAAGTTGAAGAAAATTCAAGGACTTTTCAAGGAAAAATGAAATTCAAGGGCTTTTCAAGGACTTCCCCTAAAATTCAAGGACTTTTCAAGACTGTGCAAACCCTGTGTAAGCTTGGCAGCACCATAAGATGACAGTACCGTAGGGGAGTATGCTAGCGCTCCACACTTACGAAGACCATCCACCATTAGACTCTGAGGAAACATACAACAGTACAATCTGAGGGGGAAAAGGTTTTCTTATGCTCCTGTGCCTAACTTTGCCTTATTAAGTGCAGATGGTTGGCTGCTTTTTCAATGTTAACTTCAACAACCACTTCATCTTTCATATTATCTCTGCTTGGAGGAACAAATGCGTAAACTTCAATTGATTCAAAAGTTTGGACTCAAATTGCTCATTTCATTAGACTGTGCTTGAAGATCTTCCTCTACCTCGGCATCATCTGCTTCTAGACCAGATCCCTGATCTGGAATTCCCTATGTTTTTAGATCTTCCCTTCACACCTTCCTGCTTTGAACGACATACCCAGCCCAGTGACTTGGTTTCTGGCAGTTAAGACACTCGGATTTCTCTGGTTCTTGAGGAACGTTCAAGGTCATAATAATATTAGGGCACTGCCTAGACTTGTTACGACAGAGTGTTTTTAGGGCACTGCCTAGACTTGTTGCGACACAGTGTTTTTTTTATACCATGAATATTCTAGTTTTGATCCCCTCCTAACTGCTCCAATTGCGACAGGGTAGCTTCATGTGTTCAGCCAAGGTCAATGATTGCTTCATCAAGTGAAAGCACTTTGTCTTTCTCTAAAAGCCTTCCTTGAACTTTCTTGTGTTTTCTTCCAACAATCAGCTGTTCTATAAGATGCTCATTCGTTTCAGCCAAATCCCTGATCCCAGCAGAGTATCTTAAAACCATCGATAGTTTCTTCATTCTTTTGCCGAATCTGATTGAGTGTAGGTGATATCCGCCCAGCCAGTGATTTACTTTAGGTGCTTCAGGATTCTCAAAACGATGCCAAATTTCTTCTGGTTTCATGCAATGATCATCATGTCCAACTGTTGTAGACTTCTACACAGTGGCTACCAATTGACAACAGAATGAAAAAAAACTTGTTCTTTCTATGTTTTCTTTGTATATGGAACCAGTTAAGATTAGATTGCAGTATTGCATGAATTTTGCAAACTCGTCTCTTTAAATCTTGAGCATCAAAGTTCAACTGCGAAGTTTTGAATCCGACTGTTGTTGCCATAATAATAATAATATTATTCACAATAACTCAACAAATAATATCTTGCTTGATGAGGACTCAATGGCTGGCCTTGTAGTTTGACGTAAAATCACAGTTATTTTTATCAAGACATCTACTTCACCACAAAAGTGCACATGCAGAGGTGTATAAAAAACAGTGTATTCGAACTAGTTAAGTTTCCTACTGAAGTGCACATGTGTCTACAGAAAAAATATGCAAATATATATACAGGGACACAAGCAACTAAGAATCTATTATAACTACAACAGGATGCAATCATCCCAGACCACTTTAAGCCATTGCAACTGAAAGATGGCGCCTGTATCAGAAAGTTCATTTCAGACTCTGCTTTGTGTACCACTGTTACTGGCTCCTTTAACCCTCTAAGTACCAGCTATTCTGAAGATGTGAGAGCCCAAGGACCTCGAAAGGCTAAAATCCATGCAAACCGTCTGATATTTTACATGTCCCCTGTTAGTTTTGTTGGGCTTAAAACTGCTCGCATTTAAATAAGGTCTTTTGTAAAGCATGTGGCTTAGTGCTAAAATTACGCATTTCTGGGAATAACATTTCTTTTTACATAAACAGCCAGCATACTTCATTGAAATTTAGCTGGAGAATTATGCATAGTAGATGGAGAATTCTCCAATCTCCAATGCTTAATCAAACCCCTGTAGACCCTTCTCTTAATAAATCTGGCTAATTTGCATTACAAATTTCTTGCCATATGATATTTGTTTCACTGGACATTAACTAGCACATACTGTATAGACACTTGCTTGCCGAAAACCATATGATATTTGTTTCATCAACTCGACAGGACTGAAACTCATACAAAAACACTCACAAGTACAACTAAGATTTTCTTGTGACCCACAGTCAGAGAAAAGAAAGTAACCAAACCCTGCTGCAAAATCTGTAACGCCAGACGGTAACAATGTGCCGTTCTCCAAACATGTTAATGACTCAAATAACTTCAAAGCTTGTTCTGTTACAATCATATTTGTCTCAAAACCAGCCCTTAGTGGTGAAAAGGTTAGGGTCATTTATGAAAAGAATCTGGGCTCAAATGCAAGAAGTTGATAAGACTGTTATGGTTTTAACAGAACCAAAACATAACTTTCATCAGACTGAGGGATCAAAATACACAATATGGTATTTTTCCAAGTTCTCGGATTCTTAACTTGTGTAGTAGAACAATTCTTTATGACTCATCAAGTGAAAATAAAAAAAAAAACAAATTTCACTGTTGAAACTGATGATGAATGACCAGAGATTGTTGTGGCTTCCAGTAACTCTTTATGAAAAAAAAGACAAGATCACTGTTGAAACTGTGATGAAACGAATCTCTTTTCAAGATCTGTAGTGAACATTTCACGTGAGTACACATCTTTACAGAAGTTGGATTGAAGACAAGTCTGGAATTTTGACACTTTAGTGCACACACATTTAACACTTATATTGACCTTCTCCTGACATTTTAATAGACATGGAAGGTTTTTGTAAATAATAATACACACTGATGTTCTTTAATTTTAAAGAATGTTTAACAAAATGTTTCTGTACATTAAAAGAAATATATGTGGGTTCCCATGAATTTTCACGGAACCAAAAAATTGTTTCAGATGGTTTCCCATGATCTCTGGGCACTGAAATGAAAAATTGTTATCCATGGGATTTGAAATCCTAGGGCTTGAAATGGTCTATTAAGTCCAGTGACCTTGATCCTCACTCCATTCTGTTTCATCACTTTTCCCTTTAGACAAGGTTTTAGCTACATGCAGGTGGGTATCTGGGTATCCTGGGAATGCCCAGTTTCAAAGAAAATGATTTTCCTCACATCACGGTTTAAGAAAGTTCTCCTGACTTGAAAGTTGAGATGGACACTTGGGCGACAAATTGTAGCAGTAGCAAAGCTTACTGGTAAATACAGACTTCTACTTAAGAAGGAATTAAGTCATATTGTCAACTGGGCTAGCCTTCAATATTCGACGGTTATTATTTTTTATAAGATAATGGATACATTTGTACATATTGTATATAGTTCTCTCGAATTTCTCACTTGCTTATACCGTACATAGTTTTTCTTAATTTTAATTAATTTATTAATTGATTTATTCTTTTTTAATTTATTTTAGTGTCCCTACTTAGTGGTTATACACTTCTATTACAGTTTTTACACTTTAATAAAGGTATCATCATCATCATCAATTGTTTCATGTATATGGGAGAGTTAACTTAAATCTCTGTCTCCACAACAGAATTTTGTTGCTGCAACAAGTTGCTCAATTTCAACTGGATTTGACTTTGCCATGGGCTGTGCAACCTGTTGCAGCAACTTGTTGCCCGAATTGTACTCAAGGAGTGAACTGTCCCTGGTGCAAGTTGCAGCAACATGTCTCCTAGAGTGTCCCAATCTTTATACTTTCCTAGCTTAACTCTGAATACAGCTAAATCCTTTTTGCTTTACAACTAATTAATCAGAAGGCATGTTAAGTGCCTGGCCTGTGGGTAAGTAATTAGTTTCCTTGGAATCACTTTGATAAAATTTATGTGTATGACACAAATGACAAAGGCTCAAGGGACTGGCCAGCAGAGTACATATTCTATATATTGCAGTTTAATATATCGAAGTTCCTTTCCAATACTATTAACAGGCGATAAAAAAATTCATATGTTTCACTGAGGACTTTGTTGCAAAGGTTCGTAATGTATGATTTACATACTAATTAAATAAATCATACATAACCATTATTTAATTTTATGCCTCACCTCCTTTGCCTAATATCAGATATCCATTCCGTAATTCCCTCCTGGAATGATGTTAAATCAATTTCTAAATCCCTACCATCAGGATCCCATATCAGCGATAAGTCATCCAGATTACCTGCAAACTTGAAACACAGACACAACTTAATTAATGATGGAAATAGGACTGAGTTGAGTTTAATTCGGTCTGTAATCATTTGAGCAATTAACAAAATCGGACAACCACGTAGTGGGAGCCCGATTAATTTTGTTCAATCACCAGTATGATTACAGCCCGAATTGGACGACAATGTTCTGTTACCTATATTAATCGTAACTATAACAATATTTGTGATTTTTAGGTCTTTTTTTTAATTAAAACACAAGAATTCTGAAATTCCGAGAGTTTTTTGTCAGCAGTGAAAATGCCATTTTAGTGCACGTGTGTGATGGCATGTACTGTCCAGTTACTCAGGCATGACGTGAACTGTCATAATACACTGTCCTGTTAGTGCTGAAATCAGAACAGTTGATAGCCAATCAGATTTGAGACTTTTCATAAAGTAACTGTTGTGACTAGGAGGCATGATAATTTTAATGCTTAATTCAGAAGATAGGTACTTTAAGCAGTGACTGTCATTAGCGAAGTATGATTTACTCGTGCAAACATCTAACATGTTCTCAAACTTTAAATCAGATGTCATCCATGTTATTCAAAAACCTCTTGTTCCACTAAACAACAAAATTTTACCTTACTCTCAAACAAAGTAATTCACTGGGGTGAAAATATTTTGTTTCTGCTTGAAAGGTTACATGCCACTCACTGACTTTCATGATGACCTAGTTAAATATTAGCTGTAAACAGATACATTAGAGCTGACTTCTAAGTCAAACTTGCAAAAGATAAGCTTCCACCTTATAGTAATACAGGGAAAATCATGAAGATTCACATGAATGATGTTGTTTTCCATGTCTGCCTTAGAAAAATGCAATATCAGAAACAAAAATATTATCTCTTCCTTCAAATATCAGGAATGTTTCACCTCCTTCAAATATCTATGCCACTACAAATTTTGTATATTGGCTTAGATACAGGTAGCCCTTATCTGATTATTCATTGTGACATTTTGTGATATGCATCTGTATAAATAGCAGAGGTAAGTGTCCACTCATAACTTAGATATATGCCACTGAAAAGAAGATTATTTCCAGCAGTTTGTGAGGGTCACAATATTGAAGTTATAGAATTTGTGAAAAATAATAAATAATAAAGACAACAATAACAATAATAATAATACTGGTATTACTACCTGGGAAAATGGTTTGTAACGGAAGGAAAATCACAATAATAAAACTGTAATAATAAAAAACATTTATCAAAATAATTATTTCTGACATTTCCCAAACTTGTATCATAATGGATCTAAAAATTAATTTCAAACTTCAGAGACAAGAGCCAGTCAAAAGCATATATTAGTGAAATTATTTTTAAAGCATGATTAATTTTGTCTTATAGATATAATACACCAATAATTAGGGCAAATCTACATGAAGTATATATGTACACGGAACAAAATTAATCTTGTATGCAAGGAAGAAAGATAGACATTGAAGCAGTATATATGTTAATTGTAACACCACCCTGTGCATTCATTATTGTTTACCTAAAACAGTTCAAAATAATATAACTAATATTAATAATGCATTTGATGTTGTCATAGCAAATAGAATGACATTTTAAAAACAGATTGATAATTTATATCGCTGGAAAAAAACACTAAAAGCACTTTTATAGTTATGTGGTGCCAGAAATTTTCCTAGTCTCCAAAAAACAATTTTTTTTAAGCCATTAAAAACACCATACTGTTTTGTTGCACAGGTGTTTTGCAGGATGGCAGTATACACCAACAACCCAAATTGTCTGCTGTGGATTCAAAACAGCATCATGGACACAGTAAATTAAACTCTAATGTTGCGCTAACTAAAAAGGCACAGGAAATCAGCGAAATAAGATGTTTTCAGGACGGGCAGCCTACGTGGCTGTGGAACTTCCTCGAATGTAAATAATACTAATGCTTACTATAAATCCAGGCGACTATGTGAACTTTTCGTTCAAAGGTTTTTTTTTACTTCAGCGGGATCTGTTTGATGCCTTCAATAAAAGAAATATTCTCGCTAACCAGCTCATCTGCTTATCGCTTGTTTAAGCTTAGTACAATACAGCTAAACAAAATTTGCTTCAGGTAAACACGAGGACGGTTAAGTTAAAATCCACAATTCAAATCAACTTAAGTCAAACGGAAAAAATCATAAATTAACCCAATAAAAGTTGCTAATACGAGAGCAACCGGGGATACTCAAAACGAATACATCATACCACTCCGGTGGCCAACTCGTCAAGTAACAAACTGAATGTAACTTGCCAAATTGACTTTGGACAGCGTGAGTAGGTGCGATAAACATACAAGAGAGGGCGCGATCTTTACAACTCTTTAACGCAAGAAAAAACCGCTCGATGGAAAAATACAGACTCTGATAATTTGCTGTCTTCATGGAGAGATTAAAGACGTAAAATTATTTATGGGTCCAAACAAGACTTACCTCTTCAGTGCCGTTGGAAATTGCGTTACGTAGATACTCGATGAGTCTCGAGACTGAAACTCGGCCCGTGCGCTCGGTGTCACAAGCATTGAAAAGGCTGTCGAGAATGGCATCTGCGTCTTCTGAAACCCTAGAAGGGTCATCCCTTTCCGTACTCTGGAAACACGAAACCAAAGAAAAAAAAAGCGGTGTGACACCAGAAGTTGTTATTCGTTCATTAGGGAGGCCAAAATTAATCTTATCAAATACACGAGCTGGAGAAACTGAGATGGCCGATTATGAAGTGAACTTAAAATTTTAAGCTAATTTTTGGTGAGATGCAATGCATAGAGCCCAAATCATACCGGTGAATCCATTCCACATGTAAAATGAAATACTGCCCTTGCAGTTCAGCCGTTCTGGAGTTAAAATAACCATACAAATTTTAAAACAAGAAATGCAAGCGCGAATCAGTCTTCGATCAGTCACTCTCACTGCATTCTCATCGTTGTATTTGCTATGACAACGCGCTTCACTTTCACTGTCTTGCTGAAAAAAGCTTCCTGGCTCAGGTTTGGCAGGAAATTCTCTACACTTTTTACGAACTTTGGCATTTTGGATATTAAATATTACAATACAAATTGTCACTGAAAGGCAAACGGACAAAGACGAAACTTCAACAAAACCAAAAGCGAGCGCGCCATTTGTTGACTTGTTCCATATTTGGTACGTTATTGTCTGCATCACCAAATATGGATAAACATGTTCAAAGTAAAAAAGCGCGGGAACAGTACATAAACAACATCATCAGTAGCCATGAGTAGCTGATTTCTCTTCAGTCAGAATACTGTAAGAATGCTGATTGTACTAAGAGGAAATCAACTTTGCAAGACATCAACACGACACCAAAGAACCCAAAACCATAGACAGCTGTTTCAGATTTTTATGCAATTAAAAAGTAGAAGATTTTTAGCGGGGGGATATAATCGTCTTTAATAAACTGAGATTGGCCTACGAGACTAAAATGTTTGCATATATCTTAAGACATTTTTGCATGTATGGAGAGATTAGTTCCAGGGGCACCCAATGGATCTGTTCCTCAAAATATCTGTTCTTCATACAAAGTTTTGCTGGCTGGGAGATGTGGAAGAAATAATAGTCCTTGGAAGGAAAGTGTTGCTGGGAAAAAAGATAATTCAGGGTGTCAGAGGGGATTTGAAGTCTAGAATAGCTGCTACGGGTTACTTGTCTGGGTTACTTACCACTCAAGATCTGAATTGTGCCCTATGAAACTTCCCAGTAAGTCAGGTTGCAGGTTGTAAGGTTGCTGGCTGGGAACTCTTCCATCAGTCTTGCTGGGAGTGAGGAACAGATAATTTTTTTGCTTAAAATAGTCTCAGAAAACTTTATTCACGCTTTGTTGTTGTTTTTAGGTCTTTTTCTCAAAATTTCCCGTTGGGTGCCCCTGTAGTTCATTCTGGGCTTGTTAAAATCCCCCGTATGGCCTCTCGACAGGGTATTTTTTTGGGGGGGGGTATTTTTGCTCTTGTTGGCGCTGTGTGTCCCGGTGTGATCTTTACATAGGGTACGGTTCAAGTGCATGAATGCTCAGCTCACATGAGAAACAAATTATCTGTAAAATCTGAACTTTACTAGAGTATTAAATAAGCGATTAAGGAATATTTTTTAATTCTTAGTTTTTGTTTTCCCTTGAATTGGGTCTCATACTTCAGGTTTGGACCTTAAATAGGGTAGGGTAGGCTGGCAATTGTCTTGATTTGTTGCTATTTGTGCTTTAAGCTCTATAATTTCCAACCAAATAACTTCCTTAATGAATTATTCAGTAAATTAAGAGCCGTGACGCAGAGTGAAAACAACTAGTAGTAGTTTTAGTATTTAATTTACTCCCCGGAAACCACTCAAAGGGAGTGGTTGCCATATAGTTATAAAAAAAATAGTTTACAAGAGTATATGCTTAACACTTGTGTAAGCCTTTTGGTCCAAAATTCAAGCTCAAATGTTATTGCAAAGGTTCGCCTAATAGATGACACAACAACCAGGCACTATATATGACTCAGGCAATTTAATTAAAATTGTAGAGACATTTAAAGCAAAATAATTTCATCAAGTAGGCGCTAATTTTCCTTCAAACTCTTGAAAGGATCAGAACAACAACAACAACAAAAAAACAAAACCACCATAAAGTGCCCCTCATAAGCCCTGGACTTAGAATCTTTGTATGGAGTGTTAGGAGGCCTTAAAAATAAACGTACTTACATCCAAGGGGGCTTATTACCGGAAAAGAAAGAGTACTTCATAACAAGCTATAGCAGTACTGATCAAAATACGTTTTGCATTACTTCACAATAGGCCAGGCCATTTGCACTAAGAGGTCATGTGACATCGTTTTTGTGAATGAGAAAGTTATATGATTTTGCCTTCGAAGAACGATTAGTGGGTCATATCTTAAACAAAATAATAGTTATTTGGTTTTTCAAACCCGCACCATTTTCTTAAAATGAGTAAGTTTGTAGCTGGTCACGTGACCAAAATGTGATTTTTAAAATTATGAATTACCTCTTTCTGAACACAAATTTTGCACTTAAACTTCAAGGAAAATGTTGAAAAGATGATGTGGTAAAGTTTACAGCACATCTGAGCCTAACTATCACACGTCTAACAAGATATAAGCAAAAAGTAGTTTTGGCCGCCATGTTGGAGGGCAAGAGTATGCCCTCCAACGTGGCAAAAGCTGGAGGCGGGCTTATAACATAATCGGATGTAGGTTTTTTTTTTTTACTGGCAGATGGCCCTATAACAGTACTGGTGCAGCTTACAATTGGGAGCCTTATAAGCAGCAGTTTACAGTATTTAAAAGAGACCTATCTCTGACCAGGCCAACATTGGGCACATTTTAATTGGATATATTGTCCAATGATGAACTCTTTGTTCTCAACTTGGAATTTACATGGCTTCATACACATTTGCAACTTAATGGGTATTAAACTGCTTTATGTGCCTAGCTTCCAAAAGGATTCATAAGTCATGTTTGCTCATAATGGAAGTGCCCTCCCACACAGCAAAATCAATAAAATTTACACATTCCTTACTCTGGACTAACATCAGTTTTCACAGTTTTTTTATTATTGTGTGATCCTCTCTCCCAACAGTTCTCTAGTATTTTTCTAGGTATTCTCAGCCATGTCTGAACAGCTACCCTCATGGGCAGCTTAGAGAGACACAACACTTTCCACAAGATATTGTATTTCCTCGAATAATAGCTGTGGGCGATTCTTTCTGTCTTTCAAACAAAAAGGGCCCGATTATTTGAGGGAGGCGTTGGAAGTCATGCCCTCTAAATATTTTGTTTATTTTTCCATTAAATCAAAAAAATCATGTCAAATAGACTGAACATGGTCTTTTTAAGTGTTCCAAATTTAGTTCCTTGATTAATTTTCAGAGCTTGAATTGTCACCATCCTGAACGATCATAAACAACATCGCCAGGATACTGAAACACAACTAGTGGTTGACAGTCTTGAGGCCAGGAGTTGCATTTTATCGTTGGATACAATGCTCTCATCTGCTCAATAACTTCTTCCCGCGCCGACTGCCAGTGTCTATCATGCAGTCCTAAAATGTCAGCTGTTGTTTCTGGTGAAAAAAGTAACCAAAGTTTTTTCACATAAAAAACGCCTATTCCATGCACTTGTACCAAGCGGATCCATGTGAACAGACATTCCAGAATGCCTTGGACCAAACAGGCAAGGACGCTTTCTTCCAAGATGATCAGACACTTCATATAATTCTGTTTAAAATACTTGGGAGGATTGAAAAGATTCTTAATTATCATTTCTTTCATTTTCGGACCCTTCCAGTGGGCTGAGTGAGGTACCGAGGAATCAGATATATATAAGGGAAATTTTTCTTCAAATCTTCTGATATAGGTCAGAAGATCTTTCAATTTCACTTCAATAGAATCCTATCGCCATCTTCTCCGCATTCAAAACGCTTCTGTTTAAAAGCCTTTAAAAACTTCGCTATCCGCTCTGACTGTGTTATTGAGTGAGGTTCAGTAATTATTACAGGGATTCTTTGTTTTTCAAACCAATGCCGAAACATCGGCCGCGCAACTTCTTATTGCACTGTTACAGTTATCAATTAATTAACAGATCTTATTTCGTACATTTTCCTGGCTAATTCTTCTCTTTCTTCTGGCTTCAAAAGACACTTTGCTTCCTTTTCTAAGTGAGGGTGAACCTTCATTCGTAAACGATTGTTATTTTTTTATCCACTGAGCCAGTTTACAAGTTGCCTGCGTGCAGACGTCTCCTATTAGAAATAGGAGACGTCTGCACGCAGGCAAGTATACAAGTTTTCTCATCTTTGTCCGCCATCGCTGTTTAAGCAAGAGAAGAGTCTGGTAACGCGGGGTGAACTAAGCGGGATCGATAAGCATTCTGGGGCACCTTTTCTTGTCCAGTCACAATGAAAAAAAGATCTTGAAAGATTTTTCTCTTTATTTCTTTCGTTTCTCTTCTCTTTCTTTTTGCGGTAGGGATTGAGTCTTCTTCAGCCTGTTTCCGCTCCTGTCAGAGAATCGCAAGAAGCTGAATAGTAAAAACCAATTCACATGACGTTTATCTCAAGCACTCACTCATTCTTGCAAAACCCTGTATTCTCATTTTGATCGGGGGCTGAAGAGGAATGATAGAATATGAAAAAAGAAAATTTTTGCCTTGGAGTAATGAAATATACGGGAATCTTTTTGGGAGAAAAATGGAAAAACGATTTTTTTGTCCGTGATAACTACATTTTTCGAATGGCTTGATTTTCTTTTTTGGACTAGAATAATGGCATAACGAAGATTTTCAAGGGGAAAAATAGAATTACAAACACCAATCATTCCACTTCACCCCCTGAATTTTGATTGTTTGTCCAGTACTCTACCAATTTGCCTTGTTTCTTTCAACTGAATTTTGTGCATGGAAAGAGCAGCTTTTCTTAATCAGATAACTGATGTTTGATTTACAGATACTGAGAAAGATCCAACAACTACCCCCAAGGAACAATGAAAAAAGTAAGATAAAAAATACGAGTCGAGTTATTAGCAGCTGTTCCCCACGATTAAGATTCATGATTGGTTTTCAATGTTCTGTCAAATCACCAGCCTTTACAAAAGTAAACAAATTATGGCTTTCATCAAAGTTTTTTAAAATAGTAACTCGGACGACATTGGCTGCCGGCGCTTTTCTCTACAATTTCACCGTCAACTGATACAATTAGGCGCCAATACATTGCATTATTGCACTATCTTTATTAAAGACAACTGCCCAAATATCGTAAGCCGTTTGTATCTTCATGATCACAAGCCCACATGATGGGCAGAAATTGAAAATTGGCTAAAAGATAATCTCCATGCTAATTACTGGAAGTAACATCAATAGCCCTGTAAGATTTCACCTGCAATTGTCTAACTTATTTTTTTTTTTTAATTTTTTCCACATTTTAATTAAACACACCCAGGACTGACAGCGCGCAACCAAAGATAAACTGCACTTCTATTGAGTTTTCATTCAGCGTGCAGATGCGGAAGATGGCTGCTTTATTCAATCGGACTGATTTTTGGAACTTAGGGATAGACGCCGCGGTGAACGCGTACATAGCAAATCATCAAAAAGAATTTATTACTTTTGCATGGATCCAAGGAGTCGTTTTGTGTTTCGTCAGCCTCTTGACAATCTTCGCCAACGCCTTTGTTATTTACGCATCATGGAGAGACCCTTTCAAAAACTTGCATTCTTGGCCAGCACATTTGCTTCTTCAATCAAGCGTGGTCGCTGATTTGCTCGTTGGGTTGGCACTCGCTCCAATGCAAGAATACTGGCTGTTTTCGCAGTTAGAAGCTCAGACTTCCGCCTTGTCGTTTCACATTATACTTTCACTAGCATCCATACTTATTGGAGTGTCTGTAGCACATGTTTTGCTACTCACAGTCGATAGGCTTCTCGCAATCATGAAACCTTTCAGGCACAAATGCATTGCCACACGTCAAAGGGTACGTTTGGCGGTCCTTGTTCTCTGGTTATATTACATTTGTTTCGGAATTATGCTCCTCTGCCTTAAACCAAACTCAGTCACTTCGATTTTTACATTGCAATCGTTTAAAACGAAAGTTTTTGATTTTCTACTATATCGATAATGCGTCTTGTACTGTCCGTTGTTGTGTGTTGTTATAGTTCTATTGCTTAATATTATTGTAACGAGGGGGCCTCCTCGTACAAGCCTTGTGGTTTTCTGAGGTCCCCTCGCCACATCTTTGTATAATGTAATGCTTGTGTAATCTTTATTGTGGGAAAATAATAAATAAATAAATAAATAAATAAATAAAGACAGATTTTTCATTGTGAATATCGTTTTCATTGTACAAATGTTCATTACCTTGCAATTAACATTTTGCTTTTACGGTGTGATGGTATATCGGCTTCGCAGAAATTACAAAGAGTGGCATCAGCGAATCTTACGGGGTTCCGTTCACGTCACTCACCATGAACAGTACACTCACATGGAAGGGCGCTTGGCGAGATCCATAGCGTTTGTCATTGGTTTTTCTTTATTTTTTATAACACCATTTTTTGTGCTGATTTTCTTGCTATACTTTTGCAGACAGTGTTACTTCCATCCACAAATGGTTTTTGTCTTTGTTGGGGTAGAAACTACGCTCCAGTTCCTAATTTCAGCGTTAAGACCTTTGGTTTACTGCTGGCGAATTTCAAAGTACAGGGAAATTTTCAAATACTATTTTCAGGCAATTGTTCGCGGCTGCAGTGATTCAGAAAGGACATGCAAACAAAGAAAAACCTTTGATACAAAACTCTAGCATTGGTACCGCTCTTTCATTGTTATCCGCTCGTATCATTAATGGGGGCTTCGCCATAAAGCTAGCTATAGTAGTTGGTGTATCTGCTTGAAATATAAACAGGTTATGCATGTATATGGTGGAATAACTTTGAATCTTCTTAGACTCTTCACGTTGAAATTTTGTAAACAACCTAATTTTAAGAGTCGATCGCCCAGTTTTATTGCCCAACTTATTCCACATTTTTGTTATCAACGTGTACATCACGATAATTGGTGTCACTTTTTATTTTATTTTTTTTGATCAAAATGGAATCTCTCCGCGTCCAGCGGCGAGTACATGCAAATGACAGTTTAGATAAACTTCTCACATTAGTCTCCAACTCTCTTTATTAGGCTACTAGTTATTGTTAAAAAAGCCACCCATTAAAAAAATAACGCGTATTATCAGAGTATGAAAATGTAATACCGTAAATCATCTATTAAACCCCCCCCTCTCTGAAGCCCCCCTTTTTAGGGGAAGAAAGTTAATAAGCCTCCTCCCCTCCCCTCCCCTAGTGATTCTTCACAGATATATGATAGAGTGTATTAATCAATCATAATTGTAAAACTTCGTGTGGACTGATCCAGGATAGTTTATTGTCTTTATTCACTAACAGGAAGTCAGGTGGATTTGTTTTTGATCCTCGGCTCCATGACCTCCAACTTCTTGTACTTGCAGCTTCTCCACTTTGTATTCTAGGTCAGAACTGATACCACCGTGATAAGCCCCCCTCTCATATAAGCCCCCGTCTCTCTTAAGCCTCCCCCGCGCAGATGACAGACTTACGACTTACCATTAAATACGCACTAGCTTTCAGCAATCTACGTACCTCAGTTTGTGGTCGTCCATGCCTTTACTTCCCGGTATTGCTTTAACGACCTTTAAATGTGCATGCCCAAATTGATGCACCATTTTTTACCATCTCTGTTTTTCGCTAGTGAAAACCTTTACCATCCTTTTACCTAAGGATACTACAGCATCAGTGTAAGTTATGGTTTGCTTTTGGAAAGCTAGAGGCTAAATGGCGTTATCAGTCGTTTGCTAAATGAATAGAAAATTCCAAACTGGCTTTCGTTTCGATGTTGAGCGGTGTCGGCTGACTGTTTACCCAAACTTTCTTCTTTAAGTTGCCAAAACATCATGACGCCAGTCCGCTGGCGTTTGGGGCCGGGATTAAACTAATCAATCTGCACCTCATGTTTATGGTCGAACAACAAGCATCTGGATTTGTCAGTAACCTTTAATACTTCTTTCTCGATGCTGGTGTTTGAAATTTGACAACATCATGGCATATATACTGCGTTTCTTTACTCTTATTATATAGTTTCACAGGTACTAACCGAAAAAACGCTAGGACTCACAGTACCGTAAATATAATTACGACTGAGTAAATGATATATGGAAGAAACTGTAAAAAGGGAATCACAAGGTGAAATAGGAAAGAATCGAAAGCAAAAGAAAATGCACAAATTTGGTTCCGATTCTTTATGTGAGCGTGGGCGGATAAACTGGAATTTTTCCTTTTGATCATCTTGTAATAATCTGAATAACAACAAACTCTATTGATATTTTGTCAACTCTTTCATATCCTTTTAAAGGGATCAGAAACTTAAGGCTTTTCTTGGTGTTTGTAGTGTAAAGCAGAAAAGAGAGAAACGAGAGAAACCCATAGAAAAGATCCGTAAAAGTTAACTTCACGGTTGTCATCTGTGACATTCACCACCCAATGAGTCATGTAGCTGAAAAGAATTTTACAATGGTTAATAATGTCATGCTCGTTCTGGATTGACACTTGAATATGTTGTGATTTTAGAAACCAGTCTGAAATTTTGTGGTAAATCAGATTTATTGGATTATTCAACTGACTGGAAAGCTCTTTAGGATGGCATACATTGTTTACTCTCTCTTCTTAGTACAACAGGCGAGGCTCGCCAGGCGCCTTATTCTCATCAAGGTTGTTTAAACTGCAAAATGACTCTTTCCTATCGATTTCTATCTAAATATCTAAATATTGGGCAGTACCAAGTCTTCGAAACGGATTTAACTGTCAGAGTACTGAGATTTGAATAAGTCCACTCCCAGACATGCGATATATTTGCGTTCTAATTTTGACTTGTGGGGCGTATATGTCGCTGTGTATTTAAGTCATAATTGAAAAATATATTTTTTCCATAGTACCCAGTATGACCTACCCCTCATCAGCAGATTAAATCCAATATGGCAAGAAGGGTAACCGCCCAAAATCATTGGAAAAGCTTTAATTTCCTTCTGAACGCCATTTTTTTGTAAAAGTGCTTTTTAGTTTGCTGGACTTCTATTGAAAGATATTTAAAAACCATAATTACTTTTTTCTAAAAAGAGGTTTAATGCCCTACTAATTAATCAGGTGAAAAAGAGACAAATCTGAGGCTAGTGTAGGTGCGAGCAGCTGTTAACCCATGATTGAAATTACTTAGTGGTTTGTCTCACTTCGGCTTCAAAGGTAAACAAATTTTAGTTGGGCCAAATATTCTTATTTCGAACCTTTTTTTCGTAGACTGTTTCAGATAAGGCTGTCACAGAAAGAGGCTGCTGATAAGGCAAACTGCCAAAAAATAAAACCTGAATAAAAAAGAGAGAATCATTATCAATTCACTTTGCTGAAAAATGTACAAGACAGCCGTGCATGTTAATTATTAGGTGTTTATGAAACAAAACTGGAAAAAGATGGAGAATTGACTTGCTAAAGAGGATTTGTAGATATGCTTATGACAGGAGTGTAATAAGCCAAAACAAGACATAGTGTAATCGGAGATTTTTGATCTAATTGCATGCATATCTAGCTGCGTAATTACAATTGAGCAACTGACCAAACACGATACAAAAGGAATACAACCGAACTGAGATCCTAAGAATCACAAAGAAAATATGGCAGCTCTACTCAACAGTACTGATTTTTGGTACTTAGGCATCGACGATGTGGTAAACGCTTATATAAAACACAACAGAAAAGACTTCATCACTTATGCATGGCTTCAAGGAGTCGTTTTGTGTTTGATCAGCCCTTTTATAATCTTCGGCAACGCCTTTGTTATTTACGCCGTGTGGAAAGACCCATTTAAAAACTTGCATAGCTGGCCTTCAAACTTGATTCTTCAATGCATGGCAGTCGCTGATTTACTCGCTGGAGTCGTTCTTGCCCCCATGCAAGTGTACTGGTTATTTTCGCAAGCGGTAACGCAAACTTCCGCCTTGTCATTTCACATAATCATGTCACTGGCAGCGATATTTGTTGGAACGTCACTGGCACACATTTTTCTGCTTTCCATTGATAGACTATTCGCAGTGATGAGACCTTTGAGCTACAAATTCGTCATGAGTCGTGGAAGAATATCACTGGCGATCTCTGTGCTGTGGTTGTACTTCATTTGTTTCGGAATCCTAATGTCCTGCCTTCAAAACAGTATTTTCATTGTAACGATCATTTTCAACGTGCAAATGTTCGTTATTTTGCAGATAACCTTTTGTTTTTACGGCCTAATTGTTTATCGTCTTCGCCGCAACTACAGGGAATGGCATGAGCGAATCACGCGAGGTTCAGTTCGCGTCACCCACCAAGAACAATTTGCTGACGCCGAAAGACGCTTGGGGAAATCTATGGCGTTTGTGATTAGCTTCTCTTTCTTTTTTATCACACCATTTATGGTCGTGTTTTTCTTGTTATACTTCTGTATCGAGTGTTACTCTTATTCTCGGATGTTTCTTGTGTCTACAGGGGTGGAAATAACTCTCCTTTATTTGTATTCTGTGGGAAAACCTTTGGTCTATTGCTGGCGTTTCCCAAAGTTTAAGGAAATTGCTAAACATTATTTTAAAAATTATTGTCGCTACTGCATTGCAGCAGAAAAGACATATAGGAGAACCGAAACTATCGATACAGTTATCTCCGCAATTTAAAGTCTTGTACGTGCATGATTTGAAATGTAATGGTATCCCTAATAGTGTTTAGATAGACCGTGCATGCAGGATTGCTCTAATCTCGTGCCCTTTTTAAACCACTTTCTAGGGTTACGTCAGATAAGTAATCAGTAAGAAGAAAACGCTAAAGTTAAGTTCAGTCATACTGCCCAGAAAAAAAAAATTGAATGACTGTGATGATAGAACTCAATTGGACTAGATAGATAGAAGCCGTATTCAGCATTTTTATTACATCACTCGTCCAAAAAGTTTTTGCACTATTTGACCCTTGTACACTTATCAAAAGGCTAAAACCCGGGGGTTGGGGGTACTAACTATAATGGCCCTAGACGGGAGAGGCTCCGCCCGAAAAGATTATCTATTTCAGGTTTCAGGTTAGTATGAAAGGGTAGGGACAGGGGTAGGGATTTCAATAGTTGAAGTGTATGCAGTGAAACGTGTATTAGGCGGAGACACCTTTGGGAAATACTCTAGTGTCCGCCTTATACAGGTTTTGATAGAGAACGTCATATGATCGAGGAGTCAAACCATTCAAATGAACGGTCGAAAGGTTTGGAATACTCCAAGAGAGTATAACGATATGCATTTGCATTAATTAAACGTAGATTTTACCTCTAGTGTAAACGAATGTTTGCCCATTACCTCTCTCTACCTCCGCAAAGGCTCTTTCTGGGTATCCCAATACATAAATAACCTGAGTATACCCACCCCCTCCCCCATCTAAAATCTCCCCTCCCTTAGCCCCATAGGAAGGCCTGACATAAGTAAAAAGATAGTCATCCCCCGCCCGCGTGCTTTCATTTTTCCCTCTCCCCCGACGACCCAAACAGGCCCCGACTGGGGTGGAGAGTGGCATTACCGTTAATACAGGCCTTTTAAACAGACAACAAATAAAGTCAACAACGTTCAGCGGAATGTTTTTTTGAATCTTTATTTTTCCTGGTGGTTCTTTGAGCTTGTTAAAAAAGAGGTATAATAGTAAGGTTAACTAATTAAGAAGCTGAAATAGAATGTATTAAAACACACGCAGTCATTCTCACAATGTAAGCAGTTTTGTCATTCTTTCACTTGAAGGTAGCTGAAACTGTACGAGAATGAAGGGGACATGGTGGACGATAGTTTCCAACCATTTTATTGCCAAAACGGTCATCAACTGTCCTAAAAGCTTCCATCTAAAAGAAAAACAAAATAAAACATTTTATGAAATACCTGTTTACATTTAATGATACTATAGCAGGTCTTTTCCTCCGAGGTTACCTAAATAGTTGGCTGCTGCGTTCATTGTGAAGGCGATGGCGTCAATGGGCGTCGATCAGATACTCTATCAAGATGCTGCCTTAAGCCCTTTCCTCGGGCCGTTAGCTATGTAAGGGTACCTGTCTTACGCATACAATAGACATTTGATGATTTCAAGCAAATGTTAAAGTAAATATACCTGGGCAGAAGAAACTTCCAAAGGATTCTTAAATACAACCCATTTGACGCACTGAGCCAGAGGAGGAGTAGTCAGTGAGCCCTCATAAGTGTAATAGTCCGTCAAAGCTGAAAAGGGATGAAAGTAAACATGAGGGCACCAAGAACCATAATAAAATAAGTAAACTAGAAAACTATTTACATTTCTATGATAAAATAACGAATTAAATAATAATAATAATAATAATAATAATAATAATAAATATAATAATAACAATAATAGTAATTTTGATAAAAAATAAAACATTAATTTTGAAGACTACTTACATTTCAATAATAAAACACTACCTAAGATTTTTAAAAATTCTCTTTTTAAAAACGGTAAGACTTTCCGTGTCTCTTATATCTTAAAGGTATTATACATTTTTGCCCCACGGTAGGCAAAAGTCTTTTGGCCAGTCGCCAGCCTGTACCTTAAGGCAACGTAAGGTCGTTATTCTGCCGGGTGTCTCTTTGGTGAGGTTTTGCACGATATTGAAAACGTCCATGAAGGTAAACAGGTGTTAGGTTCTTTTGACATGTGCATAAATGTGCATTTTTAAAGTGGACATAGTACTTAGTCTAAAATATTGCGGTTTAAAGGGAGGCAGAGTGACAGAGTGGTTAGAGTGCTGAAATTGTAATCCGTAGACCTCGGGTTCAATCCCCTCCCTAACCGATGGCTGATTTAATTGTCCTTGGTAGCTTCCAGTTCAACTCCACTGTTGTGCTTATATTTAAATAGCCAACTGGTTTACCTCTGGCCAGTTGAAATTCTTAACCCTGTGGGCGCGCGCCACAATGAAAACCAGGTTTACCAGCAATTGTGTTACCCTTATATAAAGTCAGGATTTTGTTTTGATTCGATAGAATGCCTGAATACTGGGTTGCATATTTTGGAGTTCGATTCTCATTGCATCTGTTGGATCTGGGGACTTTGTCTCGACATAGACAAAGGAGTCTTTTAACATCATTGTCAATATTTTTTTAAACAAAAATGATCAGATTAGGAATAGCGGTCAAGGGATTGGACAAACAAGATCCAAGGTTTAGGTGTAGTACGAGCACATGAAAGAAAACGCCCGTCTCAGCCTAACCTTGTACAGTTACAAAGAGGATTTAAAGGGTTTTAGGAAATAACCGTCGGTGAGGTTGTACATTATCTTAAAAATGTATTAACTTAAGGTGTTGTATTTTTTCATTATTACCTGAAGGTAAGATTGCTTTCAAGTCGAATGAGGCAGGAACAGGCTCCGAGCTTTTCTGTACGCGAAACAAAATTGGAAAAAATACAAAATGATTTTGGAAACCTACATTTATCCAGTTGCTGATATGGCATAGGCTAATGAAAGTTAAAATTGAATATAAAGAAAAAAAAATCAATTATCAGCGTTGATGAAAAACAATCTTACAGGTTCTTTCAATTTTGGAAGTAAATCCGTTATTGGCTTTAGGCTTGCATTTTCTGCTCCAACCTGCAAATAACACACAATAGGGACGTTTTGTTGACAACAAAAACAATAATGATGATAATTAATGACAATGGCAATGATAATAATAATAATGATGATAATAATAATAAATTCCTATTAACACGTCAACACACATAGCCTATGACCCTGTGTAAACTTATTGTGGACACTTGTGAACTACCTACGTCTGCGTGTCTCTAAGATTCCGCCTCCTGAAGGGCAGTGGAATAAATTCGCCAATTTAGAAACGAGAAGGGAACTGGACCCTAAATGCCTCCCGCAATTGTTTCTGGGATGGTTACCGGGGACGCGCCGGTCATGATCAGCTATTGGCCAATTTTTTCCCTGCCCGAGTCACAATTCCAGAAGTTTCTTTTCTTTTGCTCCTTTCCCCCAGAAACCCCTGTCTCATACTCAAGCTATGGTTAATCAGCAGTTTAAAACAATCGACTACCATTGGATCGTCATGGGAACCATGTTACCTTTAAGAAGAATCCTAAAACGCATAAGCCATCAGCATCGCCAGATTGTACAGCTTCCCCTATACCAGCATATTTAGCCTTGAAGTGAACCAAATGTAACTGCACAACAAAGTTAAAGAAAGCTTTTTAGTTCGCATGCTCCTCACAATAGTCTACTCTAACAAAAAACAAACTTGACAAACTTGACATTTTTCAAGGAGGCAGAAGACAACAGAAGTAAGAATTCCTTCCGTTTGCCCTTAGCTCTGACAGTCAGAATGCCTCTTGTATTGCTGTGTTCACTTCCAAACTAAAGTCATTTTTCTAGGTATAAGCATATTTTACTTCTCTTGATGCTTACGTGTACTTTTTCGCTTCTTTCGCTGCGTTTTTTCTCGTATTTTTGCATTCTTTTTTCTCACTTTTTCTTTTTCTTTTTTACACACGCACGTTCAGCCTTATGATTATTTTCTATGTTGCAAAGGAATTGTATGTGTTTAGTTAAAGTGTCTTGCCTATGTCGGTATTTTATTTAAGTGATGAAGTCACATATATTTGAAGGTGGTCCTTTTCATAAGCCTTATTGGCTTCCATGAGCTCCCTTGCCTCATTTTTCTAAATGTTGTGTGTATATTTAATGTAAATGGCAATATGATAATAAAACAATCAAACAAATAAAACAGCAAACAACAACGGGTTTGTTACGTCTGTAAGCTTGCGGTTAAAAGTCCGTTCGGGGGAGTGTAGTAACGATCTCACGACAGCCCAGGCGACGATAATGACTAAAGGTCGCAGGATAAATAGACTTCGAGTCTTTTCAAACTGTTACGCAATTATTCCAAGTCTCCCAGTTACTTTAAAGAAAGGGAATTTGGTTGGTGCTGAAGGGAGAGGACCGCGTCCGAATTCAGACGGAGATAGTAAAATTTACCGCCTTGCCGTTCCCATTCTCAAGTAAATTAGTAGCTATTTCACGTCGCACAGTAGTTGTGCAGGGACAGCAAAGAAATTTACAAAAAAAGAGTGATGAAAGAGCAGAGTTGTCGCCAGTTGTGTTTTAGGCGTTCCCGTTGCCGTCGCTTGGGTAGTTTCGTGAGGTCTCTAGTATAGCCCACGAAACGAAGGCTGGCGTATTCGCAGGCTAACACAACTTTACTCGTTTGATGGTTGTTAGAACAGGTTTAAATAGATAGACTAGTATGTTGCAGAAGTTTGGTGAAAATAAACGCTAGCTACGCCTAGGACGATAAACATTTTTTATTTTGATTCAGCTCATAGATTTCATTTGAGCGACGTAGGTCAACCGGAAATGGACTTCTTGCATGGGCAATGCTTTTGCAAAAGGCCCCACTTCCGGTTGACGTGCGTCACGCAAAAACTTCTTTGCTTAAGCTCCCTATTACTTGTACTAGTCCTTGGGTAAAACCGTGACACGCCTTAAAGAACTGGATATAAGATACTGGACAGTATGTAACTACAGGATATTCTGGACGTTTGAGAAAGACTTCAAGCAGTTCTTTCTCTTAATCACCTCGGCTGGGAACATCTTTCCATTCACTCTGTGCTCGGAACCTTCATCGTCGTTTTCGCCCCAGTGAAAATGAAATTGCCCAAATTTGTATTTTTCAGTTAAGGGTCCTCCTGACAGTTCTAGAATAAAGAAACACAAAAAAGTTTAGGTTGCATAGGTTCAATTTAACGGTTCATTTAACGCAGTAAAAGAGAGCTTTAGATCTGAAAACGAGTACGACTACGGCTACGAGATTTTCTCAATTGTGCACACGCGTGAGCCAGCGTCATTTTGGCAGGAAAACGTGATAGCCGTCGTCATTCTGCAAGCGGTTTAGCCAGAATGTCATGGCGGGCAGGAGTTATCAGATGTAAGAAGTTCGGTCAAGATGGCTGGATCTGTTAGCCTTGTTCTTTGTTGCGTTTTAATTAACCTCAAATCCAATAATAATAATAATAATAATAATAACAATAATAATAATAACAATGGAAACTTTATTTGTGTTTTTGGATGCACAATTGTAAATCTCTCTACTTATAGGCAATTTACAAATGCTGCTTGAGATTGGATTATTCAAAAAAACAAGAAAGAAAGAAAAAAGAAAAGAAAAGAAATCATAATTGCATTAAGTCTGGGTTACCCCAATTCATATATGTAATATGTTGCTCTAATGGCTATAATTATCATTTTCTTGATTATATAAAGTTGCTGATTTTTGTCAATGCCAATCTCATTCATCAATAATAATAATAATAATAATAATAATAATAATAATAATAATAATAATAATAATAATAATAATAATAATAGAAACACAATTAAAAATTTCCAGCCATCTTGAACGAACAAGCTTAGTCAATATAATAAAGCATATTTACAGAAAACAGACTTAAAGTGGCCAAAACTCTGGAGAGGCTATTGACAGTCACTTGCAAACAGATTTCTGCAATTGCTGTTCTCTATTAATTTGAAATGTTAGAAGACCGACAAGTTCGTTTTTTAATATGCTTTAAGCTGTCTTTCACTTTCATTTCATTTAGCTTTGACAGAAAAGCTTTTGTCATTTCTAATTGTGGGATCGTTGCTAACGCGTCTTTTCGTGAGTGAAAGACGACTCTCGCGCGGGGGTCTGCCTCCCTTTAAGAACACTCACCACTGTTGCTGTTTTTTTTTTTAATTTCCTCTCAGTTTGATAGTGAGAAGAGGGGTGATGAAGACAAGACTATCATTGGCTTAACATTATCCTCCAATGACGCGGTCATCTGAACATAATGGCGCGTTTTTAAAAGCAGTATTTGTTCTATACTTAAAGGGGCTGTGTCACGGCAGTCCAGATCATTTTGTTTAATTTTGCCAATTACTCGCCCTCAATCGCTATGGAACTTAAAGTAAGCAAAGAAATTACATGTAAATGACAAAATGAGAGATCCGAGACAAACAAATGTGCCCCCTGAGCATTATTTTTGTTGCAAGCAGCAGGGATCAACTTTGAAAAACTGGTAGGCTGAACAGTTTTCAAAAACCCTAATTTCAATCCGTTTTAATCTTCTTCAGTTTTGCCCATCCGTGGCATCTGTTGTTTCTGTTATGCTATTTTAACCTTCCTTTAAAGTTTTAAGCGGTTATTTTTATGTTTCTCTTAATTTAACGGGCATTTTGTAATTTCCTAATTTGGCTGAATTTCGTATTGTCAAGTCACGTGGCCTGTTTTACTTTATTGACGATTTGGGTTTCTACATGTTAAAACATGATTAATTCTGGGCAGGAGTCGTGTCGCTGCAAAGTTTTAGACTATTTTGTAACGAAACACACATGTTTCTTAAAACTGCTAAAAAAAATGTTAATCTGTTCACAGACCTGTAAAGACGGAAGCTAGTTATATACAAAAACGTTTTTGTAGCATTTATCTCTGAAACGATTTACTCCAAATTTGATCCTTTCCTGGCTCATTTTGAGTTGACAGCGACTTCCTTTTCTTTTGACCCCTCAATGATCAAACGACAAGCCGCCATCTTGATTCGACGTTTTTTTTTTACCGTTGTTCAAGCGGATTGTTTGCACGCATTGGGCGTGGACAAATTCTGTACGTAAAATGGCTTACTCTACCTGCCGGCAGTGCTCGTAAAAATCGCTTATTCTGCTAAAAATTCTGCTCGGTATCCGAAAAAAAATTTCGGCCCATAGAAGGGAGCCTAGGCCCAACACCTACAAACTAATTAGATATGCATTGTGCGTAGCAAAATTGTAGCTATTAAATAATCAAATTAGTCACAAGGTATTTCCCATTTGTATTTTATTCAGTTTTAAATTTTTCTTACAACCGTTGTGCATATCATTAGTGCTGCTGATTTTCCATTATTCTGCTCAAATTCTTTTCGAAAATGCCTTATTCCGCCGGCAGAATGCTCGCCTCAACTCCTCGAAATTCTGTCGGCAGAATTTATCCAAGCCTAGCACGCACCTTGGAGAAACGGATAAAAAACGCTTTTAGACACGCTTCTCACGTGACTGAGCCAAGCCTTAATTCACATGAGTACGTTTTGATTTTTGAGCTATGGCCTGGAATAGTTACGTAACAGTGACTTTTGAGAAACGGACACTCCTTAAAAGAACATGAACAAAAACACGAACCCTGATCTCCAGACACATAAACCAATGAACCCCAAATGCAAAGTGTATCTCTTAGACAAGGAGTCTTTATCATCAGTTACATAATCTGGAGAGTCCTTGGTATCATTGAATTTTATAATTACCGAAATGAATAATTTCAAGTTCTGAGGGTAAAATTGTAAAGGTCTAAGGTCATTATCATGCAGAGAAATTGATTGCACTGATGGCTATTTTCGTCGGTAACTGAGAGATAATTAAAGTATTTACAAAAGCTTCAGTTGATAGCACGCTTTCTCCCCTGCCGTCGCGATTTTTCTTGAACATGTACGCGCACACGTACACTTCAGTATAGGTCGTGAGGTCACTAGGATTAAAAACCAAACCGATTAATTTACTCAGCGGGGCGTGTGAGAGGCTTATCTTACTCAGATCTCCACACGTTTTCCCTCTCAAATGTACCACAACAAATCAGTATTGACCATATTCCTTTTAAAAATGCGCTTAAGTTACCTGACAAAAGTAAATAAATTAAATAAATAACAATAAAAACAAACAAATAAACTAAAGAGCAGAACTGAAGCCTTATGCAGGCTAAGACAACGCCTTCAATTATTGTTTTCTTTTCTTAATGTTTTCACCTAATTTTGCTCAAGCTACATGCTATCAACTAAGCCTTTCTAAATGATGCAGTAATATTACGTAAAAATCACATTACGGGGTGGAAAGCATCGTTTCGTCTTGTGAGAGTGAAATTAAGGGGCGCCTACTTTGTAGTTTCTGTGTTTGGGTTTGTAATAAGTGATTTACAAGTGAACAAAGTCGCGTTTATTTTGCCTAACAATAACCCCGACAATATTGTTTAATATATTAAAACCACCGAGTACAAGGTCATGCCACTGGGCCCAATGCCCGGAAACCGCTACTCTAGGATAGGGGGATTTTGGGAGTTTACTCTAGTATAGGGTAGCAAAATTCAGCTGAACTAACTCTGGTATAGGTCAAGGGTTCCAGGGTCCCAGCGGCACATCCCCACCCAGAAATTCCTAAAGTGCCCCCCCGGGGCCCAATGCCACCTCAGAATCCGTCAACTGTAAACGATTATTCCTCTTTTCTTCTTCTTTTCTTTATTTTTAACAAAAAGATTTTATCCATTAAGAAACCAGAAAGGAATATTTTCAATGCCATAAATTGTATTGTTAAGCTAGACCAGGTGCTTATATTTAATTACCATTCGTTTGTTAATTTATGTAAGAAAAAGAGTCGTAGCTCGCTTCATATTTTTTCTGTCCTTCAAGTGAATCAATACATGTTGCGCTTTTCTTCTTTTCAATGATTTATTTCCGGAAACTTTTGATTGCAGGAACATTTTAATCTATTTAAAACCGCAGAATTAGGGTTACTATACTACCCTTCATAGTCAGCCGAATCACTGAATGCCCTGCAGCAAGGGTTTTGTTTCACACAAAGGCAATATTACCAGCGTCTCTTAGAGCGGTTGGATAATGTTCTGGACGCTGTTAAGCTTGGCTGCGTTTTTCGACGGCTAATCGGCCAATTATCGCTACAAAGCTACCCCAGCGACAAGTTTTTAATCCGGGTTCCTGTTCCTTCAATTCAAAGTCAAAACCTCAAATTGTAAGCAAAGAGAATTGCCTTGTGAGCATTAAAATTTGAAATCAAACAGTCTGCTCTTAACCCTTCTTTGAACAACTTTGCCCTTGTCTCTAGTCTAGTGAAGCGTTTACCGACGCGCTTTTGTAACACCAGTCACGTAGGAATTTTTATTTTCATGTAAGGGTCCAAAAACTGAGTTTTTAAAAACATTCGGAGTCGAATATTGTATCTAAGTAAAAATGAATGTTGACTTTCACGTCACGAAAATTTTAATATTTTCCCAGATAAATATAATAAGAGGCAACACTTCAGCAAATACAAGTTACGATAATTCTTTTTTGCTCGAGAATTAGTCAAACGTATTTGTTTACACGGGCGAGTAACCTTTTATCTTTCTTTTTCTTTTACTGGTATAATTTATCTACTCTCAGTACGCCCCGCTGTTGATTGACAGCGTAGGTTTGATCAATATTTTGATAGTTAATTATAACGTGGTGCTACGATCCACAGAGGAACGATATAGAAGATTTGCTGACAGACTCTAGCTGTCTCTTTTTATTCTAAAAAAAGCTCTCATCACTGAAATCTTTGGCAGCAGTTCAGCTGTGGACATAAAATTGACATCAAGAAATTTAATTAGACACGTTTTTGTTACGTAACATCTTAATTTTGCCAACTTTTTGTTACTCCACTACCTCGCTGTACTTCATCTAGCGTGACTGGCTTACATCAGTGGAAAGTGCAATCAGTTCTGTGGACATGAGAATGAACCGAACGATTCCGTGCCACTCGCAGTCCGCCGAGTGAATCTTTGTACTCGGCCGCCGCCCCTTGATACGCCTCCATAAACTCCCAGGCTTGCCATATAAGGGATTGACTGATTCCGACTAAAATTTCTCAAGGTATATAAAGTTCAAAACCATCACTTTTCCTTCTTATAAACAGCGTGTTCAGTAAACTTTTGGATTGGACGAAAGCAAAGTCAGTTTAGAAGCAAAACATCATTTTACGCACCTGTAGAATTGCCGCTGTCGTCCGCCTGATACTGCACCGAATGACCGTTGTTAAAAAACTTAGGGCTGCACAGTGTAGGATAGGAAACTGAAAATGGTGGAAATTTGCCACCCTTCACAGTGTCATCCTTCAAATCGATGGGCGACTGCCGTTCGCCAGTAGCGACGGGACAGCTTTTATGCCAGGTGTCCGGACCTAGAGAAAAATAATATTTCAAAATATTCGTCGGTTTCGATTCCAGACAGGATGCTTAAACTGTACATATTTCAAAAGGTTTTGGAACAATTATGCGTTTACTTCATTGTTTTTCCTTTCAGAACGCAAACATAAACTATCACTGACTAAACTGATAAGACATCGCTTACCGTTATCCTTGCTGTAACCCCAAGTAGTCATAATTGTGAAGCGCGCCTAGTCAGAGAAGACGATTAGTGCAGTTAGGCCACACAAAACTGACGCTTTTGTAGGCAAATTAAGCCAAGCCAATGAATATTACACAGCCTGCTGTCTGTCCAATAAGAAAGTGTTTGATTTTAAAAGCGAAGAGTCCATTTCAATACTCGTCGCCACGCGACTGCGCGTGATGTCACAACACCTTTGTGTTGGCCCGCCCGGATGCGAAGAAACAGAATCCTTAAGTTTTCAGCAGGTCGGCTTTTAAAGTACAGTGGTTTTAGAATATTACACGAGACCTATGTTTTAAAATTGTACACGAGAGCGCGTGATGTCATAACACTTCAATCTTTGTGTTGGCCTTTGTTTGCGATGATATTGGGGTACTTAGTGTTCAATATCAGTCAGTCTAAAAACACTGTGATACTTTTACTGTTAAGATTAGGAGACCCAAATCGGATTCCTTTCGATCCTTGCCTGAAATCTTTGTTTTTTGTTACTCTTGTTTTAGCCCCCTCTGTGTTAATGGCTAAATATTTGCCACGTTGCGTGCTAATTTTCAAGACAGTCGCGACTGTCTCGGCAGACTCGCTGGCTTCTCGATGAGTATTATTTAGGTAGCTTGCTGAGTAAGATGATTCAACTGAAAGACGGAAATGAAACACGTCATCTTTGTAATGCCTGGTCCATATAATAAAGCGATTAGTCCTATATAACTGAATATCTACAACAATGAAATGAGTTTCATTCAGTTGTATTTTTTGCTTGTATTTTTCAGCGTACACAAAAGGTTTGGTGGTTTGCAGGTACCATGTAACCGATAGGAATAAACAAGTTTTTCAACGTGACTAAGTTTCGTATCCCACTCGTGCGCTTGTTCTAATTAAACGTAACTTTTTTTCCTGTCATTTTAAGACTGCCACTGAAGTCAATGGTCCTTAAATGTTTGCTTGCCGGTTATTGCTAAGTGGCTGTTATATTAAGCAGGTGTCTGTCGAGTATATTTTAGAGTCATGGCAAGCTATTCGGAACCTTGCCTTCTGCGATGCATCACTGATCATGCAGTCACACGCTCTCGTTTTACTAATAGGAGAATGTATGGAAATTATTATTCAATCGATCCCTGAGAAAAATCTGGTGGTTGAATTTTACAGTCGTCGGTCTGAGATTGCGGCAAAGGGTTTAAATTGGAAAGGGTCTTGAAGCTGAGCGAATTGTAATCTATGCGGTTTTCAGTCTCAAAAATCTTAAATAAAAGTTCACTGCAGGACCCCGTTCAGTGCCCATTTCCATCTGAGATCGGAGTCTACGGTCCTAGCTCGGTACCCCGTTCGCAAACTGAAGACCAAGTGTAGTACTTTCAAATATCTGCATAATTACTGGCTCTTTACGAACTGAATCCTTTGCGGTTTTACCCTGCTAGCCGAGTTGCTTCGATCTGGGTATTGTGGTTTTTGCTTTCAACGACACCCAAATTCACGGAAAATTAATCATCCTTGACTGAATACCTTTTTTCAAAGACGGCTCCAGTAAAACACTCGCCAAACGCAAGCCATTTCCTTAAAACACTCGCCAAACGCAAGCGGGCATTTCCGTCACCACATCATTTCATTTAATGCCGCCATTTTAGTATTCCCCAGGCTCTTTTCAGCTTTCTTTTGGAAGTCAAAGCCTGGGAATAACGCTCTCCCTTGTGTGTGTTAGGGCGCGATCCATTCAACCAAAATTTCCGGAAATTTCGGTCCAAAACTCAATGGATCGGTTCGGTCCAACCGGAAAAGTTTCGAAAAAACAGGTCCACCTTTTGAGGTGGTCCTCTTTTCCCGGTCGGACCGGTCTGAATTTTGGTTGAATGGATCGCGCCCTTAGTTTGTGATCAACGCGTGATCCATCGATCTTAATTTTTGGAGTCGCTTGAAACGGCTTCTCAAAGCTGGTAAATGTCAAAATTGAGACCGGGTGAGTAGAATAGCATTTTTAAAAAGACCTTTAAAGTGGAATTTTCAGGGGGAAATATCAGATCGGGGCTAATATGTCCATATTTGATTCGGCAGCCAAATATTTTTGTCGATCAGTAGGTCAGTGTCTTTGCATGACTTGATCACGTGCTCAACTTTCGGTAAACATGAAAACAATTCAGTTTTGTTTTAAAATAGTACAAGCTGAAAGAGCATATTTAAATTAGGTAACCCGAGAACTTTCAGCCGTATATTTCGAAAGAAGCGATTGCATGTTTTTCCATACAAATCCTTGTAATTTCGAGATTTTCAAAACTGTGATGAAATATTTTCTTTTAATTCATAACAGGCAATTTGAGCCGTTAAATACGTAAGGGAAGGATTTAACGACAGTTTTTTTTAAAAAAAATTAGAATTTGAATACAAGGATTTGTATGGAAAACCATGCAAGCGCGACCGGATGGCAAAAGTTGTTTTTCTCATAGAATTGCTTCTAACTTTCGGCGGCCGTTGAAATCGCTACTTTTGAGATATAAGGCTGAAAATTCTCAGGTTACCTAATTTTAATATGCTCTTTCAGCTTGTGCTATCAAAATTTTTCAAAAGTGAACTGTTTTCGTGTTTACCGAAAGTTGATCACGTGATCAAGTGATGCCAAGAGCCTATTACCGAGTGGCATTTGATGACATACGTCAACTTGCGTCCCTCACCCTCGTAGACCCAAGGACGATAGAATGTTCGTGGTGAAAGTTTACTGTAAGATCTTTCATGATCATCAAGATCGTACAGCAGTAAACGTTCACCACGAACATTCTATCGTCCCGACTAACCGGCCCCTGGGTCTTCCAAGGAGAGAAAAACTGGACTCGATCCTTTTCACCAATTCAATTACATCATTGTTAACTTTTGAAATGACAAAACTACCACTCGATGAAGATGTTAAAAAGTGTTAAACAATAAAAATCGCCAACGATAAAAAATATTCACAGCGCTTTTATTTTGAGGGTAAAAATTGTTTGATTTGGTGTTAAATTGAAAAATATACTACGTGTGTAATCAAAAATATATTGCAAAACAAGTCAGTCTTTCTTTCTCATGCCTGCGGTGTTCAAAAGCGCTGATCAATTGATAGCCTCCTCTGACTTGAAAAGAAAGTTGTATTCCAGTTCACTTCGTTGTTATTTATTAAGAAAAAGTCTGTTTCAAGAAACTCGTTACGTACTGCCACGTATGGAGATGGCAACAATACACCTTAATTGTCAGGTAGATTACTTTAACTTTTTAATACCTTGATTTTGCTGCTCCTGCTGTTAACTTAGTACCATGAACAACATTTACTTTCTCTTCTCATGGAATGGGTGTGAAACAGGTGATCCGTTTCAATACGTTTCTCAGGCAACCTCTCTTATCTTAAAAATATGTTTAATATTTACAAAGCCTTGCTTACATTTAGGAACATTGATAGTTTGATATTTCAAACTTGACCATTTGACGGTAAATAATTTCCAGGAAATTACTCTTATATTCATTTTTAATATTTTTTTCCGGTATTTTCTCGTATTATTAACTCAATTCATTTAGTCCATTAATACTCAAAATAATGAGAAAAATATTTAAATAATAATAGTCAGGAATTCTCAAAATTCTCAGGTGTCTGTTACGTTAAACCTCTATTGTTGGAGCTTCTGGCCTCTTAGACCCTGTTTACATGGAGTGGGGGACCCCGGTCTAGTGGGGTAAGTTTCTTTTGTTTTCACGCTCTGGGGGACACAAAACAAAAGAAACTTACCCCACTAGACCGGGGTCCCCCACTCCATGTAAACAGGGTCTTACATGTAACGACGTACTACATTTTTAATTTGTCCTCTACACGTCTGTAGCTGATTTATGGAAATGGTTTACCTGTCATGCATTAATTAGTTCGGCAGGTGTCCTTCTGTTTTAGATCATGAAAAACTAAAGCTTGAAACATTCTCAGTCTGTACTTTTCTTACTATACTGTCATTGTAACAAATCAGATGTACAAATAATTCTGTGAGTACGTCGCTCTCTTTTTTCATACTGACTCAACGACCCAAGATTTAAACCGAAATTTTAGGAAGGGAATAAGGGACTGGTCATTAGTTATCGGGAGGGGGAGGGGGGGCGGTGCAATGTAAAATATGCCATGCTTGATTTTTGCTGACCCCCCCGTTTACTTTAACATGATTTTTGCTGACCCCCCCCCAATCCCTCCTTGTCCTCCGGCATGCATGAAACAAACAGTATGTATTTATCAAGTCACCATGTCCAACTGATAGACATTCTTCTATTTAAAGCTACCTTAAATTTGGATTTGAGTTGCTCTTCGCCCAGACCGTGTGTAGACAATTGTCGTATTGACATTAAAGTTGTCGGTGCTCTCAATCATTTTTTCTTCTTCAGTCGACTCCTCTTCCACTTCCGCTTCTTTGTACTCATTTCTCCAAAGCAGGGACACTGCTTCCAGGGCACAATCACCCAAAAACATTTGATGAAAAACTTATAGGCAAACTTATAAAAGTTAAAGAAAGGGTGATAGAAATAGAAGAAAGCCTTAAGGAAAAGTTAGAGAAGACATCAAATATGTTCCAATATCCCCCCCATGTAAATGCAAAAACCAAAAAGCGTTCTCAGAAAGAGAACCGAAGGAAAGCCAAAAGTAGGAAAGTTTCGAGAAAAGCTGCCAACATACAGACAGTGCGAGAGTTTATTTCGAATGCTTCTGCATCTGAAGTAATTCAAATCCAAAACCTAAAATTGGAAGTTCTATCTACATTATCATTGTGTCAAGTAAAATATCTACAACTTATGTATGAAGAAAGACAACTATCTACTGAAGCTGTAAACTTGATTAGTGAATATGTAGACAATTTTCCCAGAAAAGAAAACACCAACCTAGAACCAGATAATGCCCATGATGATGACAGTAATAATGATGATGATGATGATAATGATGATGAAGATAATGATGATGATGATGATGATGATGATGATGATGATGATAAAGACAACAATGATATTGATGATGATGCAGACAATGATGACAATGGCGATGATGACAACAATGGTAATGGTGATGATGACAATGATGATGATTATTAAATGCTGAGGACAACAATGATGATGATGGTGCTGGTTATGTTTACAGTAGAAATAAGATCAATGTTGTAAGATACTGATTTGTAAGTGTTAATAAAAGGTATTGTATAAAGCTATTTTAATAGGCTGTATTTGTTGATGGCATCCAGATGCAGCTTTTAACATTTTTGCTGGCAAAACGTTTGCATATTTTTTAATGGCCCCCCCTTTAAGCCATGCATAAAAAATGGTGGCCAACCCCCTATTTGCACCAGCCCCCCCTCCCGACAAATAATGACCAGTCCCTAATTTCGACGAAGTAAACGTCTCGAATGTCTGATGCAAATCACGAAGACTCAAACTCTCCGGCCAGTACTTTTCTTCTAGAAAATGGAAAAAGGCACGGAAAGAGGTTGAGAAGACTTCTTACGTAAACGTTAAAATAAATTGGAGTTTTACAGATGAATCTTTGTTGACGTCAATTGTTTTCATCTTGGCATATTAACATACAAGTTGACCTATGGCTGAATTAGCTGAGGTTAACTCGAGCAATTTTGTGCAATTTGAAGGTTCTAGCAAACAATATCTAAGCCGGAAATAGGAAATAGTAGTCAGTAAAAACTGCGAAATTATGCATCAGTCAACTCCAGCCGCGCCCAGCCCCCACCCCCCCGGGCTACTGCGGGGCATTTGCAAATTTTGCACTGCCCGGGGGCCGGGCATTTGCCATCGCCGGGGCCAACCCCGAACTTTTGATATGCACGCGGTTTCCTATCAGAATATAACTACACAGCTTGGCGCGGCCAGCCGGAATTGACTGATCCATTACTGGATGATAAAAAAGTTAAATGAGCCACACTATAGTTTTTAAAATATCGAGTTTTTAAACGAGAATATATATCCCCGACCGGAATCAAATTTTCAGAGACTTTTGAGATGGTTGTGTTATGCTCTTTCGAAATTACAGAGAATCAAGCACAATATGTTACTGAGACAAAAAATGTGACCTTATATTCGGCAAAGATAACAAGAGATTGTGGTCCAAGCTTAGCTCTTGAACTCAGTAGAAAAGAAGAAGCCAACTTGAAAAGCAGGACGACTGTATACTTGGTCATTTTGATGAAGGGATAAACCAGTCCCCTCCACGGCCGTTTCTTCAGCATATACAGTATCTCTAGTGCTCGATGTTTGGCAATATCTCGAAATTCGTTCTCAACCATATTGATTAACAGCAACTTTATACCGCAATTTGTCGTTAGTGACATTCCAAATATCAGGTTAATAATAATAATAATAATAATAATAATAATAATAATAATAATAAAAGAGAAAAGAATCTTTATTACAAAACCTCAATTAAAATCCTATTTACAATCAACCTGCTGTTACAAAAAGTCTAATTAATTCATCAAAAACACTATCTACAATTCCATCCGTTACAAAAGAAACCCCTCGTCCTTCATTAGAGAACAAAACAATCCCATATATTATAAGTGAAGATAGAAAAAACTATTCATTTACAAATTCTAAAAAATAGAAGTAACTTAAAATTACATAAAAGAAGAGGAAATAGATATAATTAATAATAAAAGTTCAAAATTCTATAAAATTAAGAATTCCATTATGCAGAGATATTAAGATCCTGCAATCGAATTATACTAATGGCAGCTAAATCAGTGTCCATAAAAAGCCCTAAGTATAAAAGCATATAGACACGTATTTCAGATATCTGCACTAGCGACATTTATTTTACAATCTAATGATTGCTCTAGCTTGCTACGAAACGGCGTTCGCGAACCTCTGACGCATGCATGTACCGATCTTAAGAGTTCAAACGAGATCTGTGTCCTGAGCCAAGTGATTACAACATGATAAGGCTCGGTGTCTTTCTGAGCTATCTTGTCTGCGAGATGCTTTAAGAACCGCTGACACTCGTTTCCCATTCCGCCATTGGTTCCAAACACTAAAGGCGTAAACGAACCCATTTCTACATCTAACACCCGCTGCTGGTACTTGCGCTTAATAATAATAACAATAATAATAATAATAATAATAATAATAATAATAATAATAAATGTTATTTAGCCAGGGTTATCTCTTCAGCATAAAATGCTGCTATCAATAAGGGCCCTGGAAATAAATAAATAAATAAATAAATATATATATATATATATGTATATATCTATATAAAACTAGCCTAAATTACAGTAACTAAAAATACACTAAAAGTTAAAAATACAACAAGATTAAAAAATGGTTTAAAAAAAGCTAAAATACAGCAATTAAAATGCATTTAAAAGCTAAACTAATACAAAAACTTAACAAGTAACTAAAAAGCTTTTGATCTATGTAATTCCAAAATACGAGTTTTAAAAATCACAAGTGAACATGAAAAATGCGTTCAAAAGTGAATTCGCCATAATGTACCTAAAATAGCACTGTAATAACGAGAAATATCGTTGGGATTTTAAAGCAAGGAATTGTGTAGACATTAGAAAAACGTCGGGAAATCAGTTGACGCAGAAGTTTGGCCTGCGTTCAATCACACATCATTCTCTGAGAAAAATTTGAACAATTAATCCTCAATTTTTAATCTCAATTTCCGCCCTCATTGTGAAGGAGACTTCTGAGACCTCCGACATACTACAGTAATCGTGGCGAATCTTTTGCTATGAACCTGATTGTTTCTTTCTGTTTAGTTTAAGTTTGTTATAAAATGCCGCTAAACTAGAATTGTCCAAAATACCAGACCAGAGTCCCTTCAGTTTTCCTACTGTCCGGGCCATAACAGCTCAATTATTTCTCCTTGATAGTTTTCTAGCGAAGTGTTTTAAACATTGTAGGTCTGAGCTACCAGGTAACTATATCAGGCAAGGAAAAAAAACTACTTCCAGTCTTGTAAAATAACTGTTTTTATTGGAGCAAATATCTTCACAGTGAATGCATGAGTACATCGGTAAGGAGACCTCGTATCGAAGATGTTGACAGCTCAATGCATGGCAATTTTGATTTCCGGTAGGTTCGTCACGAAAGAATGTCGATGATTTGGTCAAATTGGGGGTGAACGAGCGAGAGACTGGGTCGGTGTTTAGAGAAATTGCATTATGGGACTAAATTGAAGGACAATTTTTGACAACCAAATTTTGCAAAAGTTGATCACGTGGACAACTTTCGGTAAACACGAAAACAGTTCACTTTTGAAAAATTTTGTTAGAACGAGCTGAAAGAGCATATTAAAATTAGGTAACCTGTAAATTTTCACCCTTATATTTCAAAAGTAGCGATTGCAACGGCCCGCCGAAAATTAGAGGGATTTTTTTTTAGAAAAACAACTTTTGCCACCCAGTCACGCTTGAATAGTTTTCCATACAATTCCTTGTAAATTTAGATTTTTCCAGACCGTCGTGAAATATTTGAAATGATTAGATTAATTCTCAACGAAAATTTCTTCCCCTTCAGTGGAAAGCACTACCTACAAAACCATGGAACTGCGGGGCACAAAGACTCAAATGAAACAACAAATCTCAAAACTGTCTTTAGAACAACAGTTTTTACACGATATTCATAACATGTAAACCAGATTTGAGCCCTTAAATTTGCCTGCGTTTTTAGACACGGTTGTATACAAAGGCACAAGATTCAAGGAAAATCTATCCTTGATGGAACGATTTAACCAACTCCAAATGCAAAGGAGAAAAGGCCTCAGAAACAACCTTTGAGGAAAATAATTCAAATTTAAAAACCTGGACGGACGCAATCTTTCAGAGTAGCCCAGCCTAATTTTCGGGGCCTTTTTTTCTGAAATTTTCATGCCCGGTTGTCCGCGCCAAGTCTGGGAAAGGAAGATTCTCGGCGAATCTCTCTCGGTGACGTGACAGCTCACGGTAGAGTCCAGGTTTGACCAAGCCAATAATGCTTAGGGACTAGGCGGGTAGTAGCCAATGAAGAAGCAATAGTGTGCCAAAACACTGCCATAATACAGATCGGTACAAGAGCTAACCCTGCTATTTTTAAGACTAGTACCCTCAGTGTTCCCAAAGAGAATATTCGGTTTCCCGACCGCACTTAGTAGGTCAATCTTCGCTCAAAAGTTCCTACACGAGTCTTTCGGTTTGCATTTTTACATTATTAATTTACACACTTATTGAAAATTAACCGTAAGTATCTCCATAGCTATCTTTTTCAAGTTATTAGTAAGCACATACATGAAAATAGAGAAATCATTTCTCGTCGTGAAGGAAAAACGGACAACCGCGCAATTTGGATCGGCAAGGCAGTATTGTCAGTATTGTGAGGAAGGTTAAAAAGAGGTCTATTGCGTGGGAATAATGTATCCTTAAGGGAAGCGAGCTGATATCGACATCACGTTCACATTAGTTTCTGGCTGTTGCTAGAGTGGTTGCCAAGGGTCCCAAGTGGTTGAAAGGAAACTCAAAATTGTTCGGTTAAAAACACAAATCCTGACGCACAAAACTTGTTTTACGTCTCTTGCATTCGCGGTGCTTTCAACTTTCTTTCTGGTTTGCGAGAATCAAGTTTCCTTTTCCTGGTTTCTTTCTTTGCCAAGTTCTTTTTAATCTTCTTACGAGCACTCTTTGCCGGATCCGCCACAGCCTGAGAGAAGAATGATACTAAATGTTTAGCCTAAACTTTTAAATTTAAGTTTGCTTCAAAGCTGCAGTTATTCGCTGGTGGCGTGGAAACTAATTGTTAGTTGAAATTCACTGATTTCACATTTCCCAAAATACACCTTTCTACACCCCCTCCCCCTTTAAGACTGCGAACAGTCCGTCTTTTCTCTTAAGATCCGTCGAGTTCTCACACATGGTGCGTTTTGGCACAGAGAACGCTTTAAGCCAAAAGGGACTGGGGCAAGACGAGAAAATACTTACGCCCTCGTTTCTCGCGGCTCGCGGCTCGCGCGTCCTACCTCAGCGACTTTGAAGAAAATAAGAGACTGCTCGCAGTCTACCCCCCTTTTGGCATAAACATTCTTCATACTTTCTCGCTAGGTAGTACATTCGTCCCAAGACAAGGCTTACGACGCAATTTTTTTTAAGGGGGAGGAGGGTAACAAGGTGCATTGTGAGTAATGTAAAACTGGTGACTGACACGGTAATTTCGCCCATATCTCCCATCCCTGCACATATCAGCGCTGTCAGGTGAGATTTTTAAAAATCACGTAACTCGCCTCCAATGCTTTCTTTCTCTTCCTTGTTTCCCGCGTCTCTGTAGCCGTTTGTTGTAGGTTGGCGTACGCCCGGGAGAAAGCTTCCCGCCCAACGAGACCTTTTATGAGATCTAGAACGTCCTGTGCAAGAGCCTTTAGATTCGAATCTGCAAGAGAGAGAGAGAGTGTTTAGAATAAAACAACTAGATCGCTCACACATCATCATCATCCTTCGACCACTGGTGTGGACGGGACGTTCTTGGGGATCTCCTCCTAAACACCAAGATTCGCCATCGCTGTACTCAGGTCCCTCTGACATATCAAGTCCTGAATCCCTAGCAATCACTCCGGGGTGTGGTAGTTTACATGAACGCACTCTCCCCGCTGGGCGCCAGAGGATGAGAGATGAGATTATATTTTTATCTGCCCAATAGCAATGACCAGCAAACTGGAGACTGAGAGGTGTTGGTCCCCCATAGATCCCCTCAAGCGTCGCATGGTCTCTACAAGGACCATCTTCCATAAAAAGCGTTATTTTGTAACTTAATTGCTTACAACTGAACTGACCATATCCTGAGAAAAAAGCCGACATTTTGAAACACTACCACTGGTTTCCTCGCGAAATAGAGAGCTCTAAATTCTCGGACGACACTTAATCTTAAGTTTACTTTCCTATTCTCTAAAAATAGGCACTCCGGAAAGCATCATTGTACTTTTTTCACCATAAAAGTTAGTACGCTTATTTCCGTTGAAGGCCGTGAAGCCCTTTCCCGATCGCTAAATGATAAAATTTCTAGCATTTGATAACTTGTTTCTGCCACTGCGACATATATTCTCGCTAAAACTCTTCGTAGAATGACAATGGCTATCACATTTTCCGACCAAAATGACGCTGGCTCACGCGCGTGCACTACTCAGTATTGAGAAAATCTCGTACTCGTGGTCGTCCTCGTCTTACAATCTGAAGCTCTCCATAGGTGTCTGAGGAACGATCGCAGAAATTCCATACTGACAGCGTGCCACTACGCTGTTCAGAGTAGCGCTTCTGACTGATTGAAAGTTTACTTCATCCAAACAGAAGTTCTACCCAGATCTCAGTGGTGACGCGTCTCAGTATGGAATTTCTGCGCCCGTCTCTGAGACCTCATTACGCGAGGAAACCATTGAAGGTGTTGCGAAATGACGGCTGTTTTCTCAAGCTAACTTATCACAGAATTGATTATATTTTTAGTGCGTCACCTATTAACGTACAACAAGAAAAAAACAAGTTTTGTACTCACTCAAGGGAAAAGATGTGTTATTACAGGGAGAGTGCGTAAGAAGTGATTACCTTTATAGGTTGTGACTATATCTAGCTCTCTGTGGACTGGGCCGAGAATGTCCTGAAGGTAAAGTTCAGTGGAGTCTTTTCCCAAACTTATAGACACTGCAGCCAGCCATTTTAATACGCATGCTCTCTAAAAGGCAGACAACAAACGGGGAAATTACATCGGTTAAATTGAATGACAACTCTCGACTGACAAACGGTACACTGACAAACTCCATATACAGTTATGATTTCAACAAAGGTCAAGACGGGTTGTTAAAAGCTGGGTTAAGATAACCCAGGGTTAGTGCGAAATTTGAATTCAGATATGAAAGTTTAAAAAGCAAATTCAGTTTAATTCGTCTTGTCTACAATTTAATGTTTGGATGCTCTAAAAAGAACAGATAAAACTATCCGAGAAAGCGCTTTTTAACGAAAGAAAAAGAAACCTGGAGAAAAAGTTCATCCCGGCTTGGCGCTAATCGGCCTTCTAACAACTGGGCCCAGAATTTTTAGGCCTCAACCCTAAGCGAAAAGACCGCAAAGTAGCTACAAATCCTTTGCAATTCGATCATGACTTCGCAGATGTTAATGCCACCCCGGCCTGGATTGATATAAGGCTGAGTTTAGCTTGCGCAGCAGACGAAATTAAACTTCTGATTATTTGATAACGTCTACGACGCAAGCTAGGCTAAGATTCTGTTCACACGGGACAAGAAAAATTTTCGAACGGACACTGAAAAACTTGCGCGGATCCGCCTTTCGCTTACACGGGACGCGCGGAACCTTGCAAGTGTTTGTATGGACTCGTGTAAACAGTACTGCAATCTGTAGCAGAATTTGCACGGTTCCATGTAAACGGGTTGCACAGGTAAAAAATTCGTCCGTTCAAAACTTTGCCTGGACCCGCGTAAATAGGGTCTAAGGGTGTGTTACACGAGACGATTCGCAACGACGATTTTTAAGGCAAGACAGCGTTGCAACATTGGTGCGACATTGTTTGGAAAAGTTTCAACATTGTTCTAGCATTGCAAAGCTGTGTTGCGCTAAAGATTGTCATTGCGAATCGTCCCTTGTAACATCACCTTAAGTTTGGTAAATATTTTATGAAAAGCCCAAATTGTTATGCGATCTTGTGATGTAGGCTTTACGACACCGTTAACTGAAATAGCTGTATATTCTTGCCACAGTATATGTTCCTAGAACAACAGACCATCAAAAAATAATACACAAAAAATCGCACAATTTACATATCAACGCAATACTATGGTAAAATTGTAGTTATATTTAGGGTTAGCAGAAGGTTGTTTGCTTCAATTCTTGACTAACCTTTTGAGTGTGTTTCGGAGTTTGTGACGCTTCCAGTGTTGCCATTTTATTCATATTATCCAAGAGATTCTTCAGAGTGAAATTTTCTCCTTCTTTAGTACCGTCATTTTCACCATTAGCAGCCAACTCCTTTTGCTGATTTTTAGCTCTCGATTCACTTTCTAAAAGCTGCAGTGTCTTGGCCAAGAAAACCAAATTTTTTACAATCTAAACAAGAAGGAAAATGCATTTCAGCGAGGGTTTCTACAGTGCCAACAACAACAACATTTATTTTTTATAGTGTGCCATTTTTATACAAATCATAATCAAAAGCGCATTACAATGATAACTGATCTTTAAGGATAAAAATATATCTATACATAAGATTACCTGTTCGGTAAAATATATACAGGTGTTGTAAAAAAGTGTACCTAAAATCTTAAAAAAATGCCTAAAAAATGCGCTTTAAGCCTAAAATCAAATGAGTAAATCGAATCGATACAATTCTTAAAGGCGCTGTTTCACGGCTGTCTAGTTCATTTTGTTAATATTACCAATTACGCTTTCTTATGCACGTTGGAACTTAACGTTAAAGAAGAATTTACTTGAAAACGACAAAACAACAGCTTCATGTCCAACAAATATAGACTTCCCCAGCAAGTTACAAACAACAAACTAATGAACTTTGAAAAACTGCTAGGCTAAGAACGATTCAAAAACCCACCATTTCAATCCATTTTAATCTTGTTCAAGTTTGTCCATCCGTGCCTACGTTTTTATTTGGGTGTTATTAATATCTTAAGATACAACTCCTTTAATTATTTCATTCTCACCATGTCACTATCGTTGAGAGTGGATATGCTCTTTCTCACCTGTTCTCCCAATTCGTTTTCCAAAAGTGGCGAAAGAAGTTGCGAACACATATCTCCACACAGTTTGGCTACCTATACAGGTGAAAACAAAGGAGTTAGGCTGTTGAACCAAAACATTTCACACACGAACTCTTGACATTAAAATATATTAGCCATCACATGCAGTCAATGTCTGACTACAACTTACATTGTAATACGCTTAGAACGAAGCGATATATCCAGACTTTTCATTTCACCTGTTCACTGTTACATCTGTTTTATCAGTTGTACTGCCGACTCTAAAGTAGGAAGCTTAGTACAAAAACATGCGTCGGACAGCAAAGAAAATATGCTTGTGGCTTGTGTACCTTGTACCAAAATCAAATTCGTCTAGTAAACTGTCATCTGTTGACTATTGACTACTCAGCGTGACTACTCAGTTGAACGTCTTTAAACGTTTCAGAAGCTACGCGGTCAAAAAGTGCTTCATAGTATGTTGTGATGAGCATTCAAGCCTCTTTAAAACCATGACAATGCTTTTTAAGGTGCACATAACTAATTATAATTTAAGACCACGGTTTTTCCTATCGCTTGTTATACAAGTAGTCAAACCTTTCCAGGTAAACCGTCCTGTAGATATTTCACTGCCGTTCTTCTCTTCTGGAAACTAGTCACCAGTTCCTCGGGTTTCCACGCAGCAAACAGCAAACCGAGCAGTCGACTGGAAATTAGTCTTACCCAGGAATGTGGATGCAGTAGGTGCGCTTCTACAGATTCTGTCACAAAAACAGTTTTAAATGTTTAATTAAACGGTGCTAATGTCCTCCTTTATTTCTTTTAGTATTTTTTTTCTAACAAAAGAAAGACTTAAATAACATGACCCGTTAATAAGGACGCTTTCTATGATCCCTTCAGTGTCCACCGTATTAACGGGGTTTGACAGTAATCAATAGACCTTTTTACCGATACGGCGGCCATTTTGAATTAATTTAATTTAAGTAGTATTATAGGATGCCTAGGGGGCATGAGCACATTTCGTTTGTATTTTCGGGAGCTTTTCGGGAGATTTTTTCTTGAAGTTTTCTTAGAATAAGGTTGTAATGGGAAAAAAGATCCTTGTGCCGTGTTTGGATGTAATAATGATCGCCTTTTTCTAGTTTAGTATTAGAAATATGGTCTTTCATTGTATATTTCTCGGGAAAAAGGCGATCATTATTACATCCAAACACGGCATAAGGATCTTTTTTCCCATTAGAATCTTATTCTAAGAAAACTTTTAGAAAAATGTCCCGAAAAGCGCTCGAAAATACAAACGAAAGATGCTTATGCCCCCTGGGCATCCTATAATACTCCTTAAATCAATTAATTCAATGTGGCCATCGTATCGGTAAAAAGGTATATTTTATATGTTTTCCGGGCCGCTTTATTCGTGTGTGTTTCAATTAACATACATACCGACAACCATTTCAAGGAGCTCGCGAGACGCAATTTTAGATGTTACTTTTATAGTAGTTGTCACTTGTCAAAACCTTACCCCAAATTTTAGTCATATCCTGCTGCCTGCTTGGGTTCTTGATAACTTGACATTCTTTAATTATTTTGGCCAGAAGAGAAAGCGTATTAAAAAGCAGGTGATCTTTGATGCGGTGAATGTTTCCGAATCCTTTAACGTCTGCTTCTTCTTCCATGATTTCTTCCTGTAACAACAAATTTCCCGTAAAGTATCAGAAACGGTAAAGAGTGTTTCATAACGTATCAAACACCGAGTCGAGAGGACAACTGAAAATACGACGCGTTTGAGACTGTGTCCCAGGTCGCTATTATTCACAAACAAAATGATTTTGAAAGAGAGATATAGGCGGCAAAAGGAGAATTTTTTATCAAATACCCCGCCAAGCTAAAACGCATGACCCCCTTTGTCTTTCATATTTGGATTTAGTAACAAGTTTGAGAAACTTGTAAGGTTTGACTTTCCCCGCGGCAAATTCTGAAGTATTAACGAATGATGACGGAGAAGAACTTCATTTCCTGCCTGGCGGCTAAACTCGCGAGCTATAACTTTCATACAGTTAAATTAAGCAAATAAAGTGAAATGAAAACTTTTATGTCTTTTAAAATAAAGTAATCACAAGCTTAAGCCAGCGCGTTGAAGAGTTACCTACGTACCGTTTCGTACTCTTCCGGGGCTATGAGACTTGAAACAACTGGTAGTACACTACCAAGTCTTCTCTCAAAATTCTTTCCTTCAACTTCGACGAATAAGCCAGAGACTTGGGCAGCAAGACGCCGCAGACTGATCTGCGAGAGAAAAAAACAAAATTGAAAAGAAAAAAGATGTCAACCGACAGTGTATGGTAATAAACGTCCCATAGCCGTTTATGAGAACAAAGTGAAGAGAAATAACATAAAAACAGTAGCCTGCTAATTGTGGAAAACACAATAATTACTAAGTGTCTCTGACGTTCACCGCGACGTTGACTACCATTGCAAACTGTACTAGGATGGTCAGATTTGATTTTTCTACCACCCATTCGTAATCCACGTCACGGCTAAATTGCCACATTACGGCGAAACAGTGCTTTTCACACTTGAGTAAGTTCTTTAAAGAAACCTTTAATTACACTCAAAGCGGGCACAGCGTTCACAGGGGGCTTTGTCCCATGTAAATGTGCCTTGGTCCCGTTTATTGACGGTATTGTTTCAACCGAAGCTGCCCCGTGTTCAGATGCGTGCTCTACTTAAGTGTTGTGAAGGTTATCAAAATATATTTGGTTCTCTTTGACCTCAAGTGGCTTCAGAGAAGAAAAACTAATCTAAGTAAACCTTATCTTTTTACCTTTTCATCTTTGAACCATAACAGAACGATGGAAAACAACTTCTGTCTTTGATCCGCATCAAGCTAAGGATAAAAGCAAAAGAAGAGAATTAAAAATATTGCCTTAAAGGAAAAAGGAAAAGATGGAAAAGGTTTACTCTAAAACTAACGAGAAAGAGTTTATACGAAAAAATAACTCGGGCAGAAGACACTATGTGCCATTATAACAAAAGTATAATGGGAAGAACGTGGGTTTGGCCTAGGGTACTTAACATTAGGTAACCTTCAGAAAACATGGACAAAGCAACTATTCCACTCTTTTTAGACGGTTCAGCTTATTTGGATATACTTTGCAGCGGAAATTTCTTCCACCACGTCAAATTTTATAGTTTATGTTTATGCACACTGTGCATAAACATAAAACTATAAAATTTGACGTGGTGGTTTGTGTAAATAGTAAGTACCCTACTTTAGTTCACCCTCTCTACCCCTGGCACTATCGCGGTTATGTTAACATTGAACAGCAAGGGATGGAAGGGAAGGAAAGCTAATGGTAGGTTCCTCCCTTTTTTATGTTCTCTATTTTGAGTTGTGAAATCATGAATTTCTCTAATTGGGTGCAATACTGTCCGCGATATTTTTCAAGCCCCCTTTTTTAGGCACAGTGAAGACCACCAATTACGTTAACTGCGTCTGGAAATCGTAAATATTTCTAAAAAGATTTCCACCTTCTCTAGAAGTGACTTGATAGCAAGTGCTGTCAGCTTACGACAACCAGCGGAGTCATCGTTCACCAAGCGAGAAGTCAGCGGTATAAAGAAGAAACCAGCATAGTCAAACAGTAAATCCTGAGAGGAAAAATTAATAGTGATAAGAAACAGTTATCATTCCAGTTTGGAGTTACAACTCGCCGAAGAACATGAAACAATTTTTACTACCAGAGGGTTCACTTGAAAATGCAAACGAGCTGACGCTACAAACAAAAGGTTGCTTACACCACACAGCTATTTTACTAAGGCTCCGTCCACAAGAATCCGCGGACATTTTTTAAACTGCATATTTTTTTGGACACGAAACGGCCTTCCGTCCACACAAAACCAGTGAATTTGGTGACCGAATCCGCATCGTTTTGAAGCTGATCTCCAGAGTAGTTTAAAGCACCGAAAATTAAAAAGATCTGTTTCAGCCCCAAAGTGCCAATTCAGCCCTGCAGGCCAAAGTCTGATTCAGCCGTTCCTGGAGCCATTTGAGCACAATTTAGGTCAAAACTGCTCAATGAAAAGACTATTCCAGCCCACACTGGGGCTCATTTCAGCCCTTGGGTCTAAATCAGCCCTAGGTAATTGGTTTGTATTGGCCCTGATTTAAGGGAGCCAAATTAGACTCAAAAATAGGACTGTCTTTTACTCACAGAAACGGTCCCATTTTCAGGGCGAAAACAGATCTTTCTGATTTACAGTGTGGGTAAAAAATAATGTGTTGTTTAAAATTGTCCGGGTCCGTGTGGCCGTGGCCTAAATCTCGTTAGACAAGCAGATAGTGAGGGTTGAAGCCTCACCTGAAAGAAAATAAAATATAATATAAAGACGAAAGAAATATGATCCATTTTTATGTTGGGCTGTTTCATGACGTTTCTCCACGCGAGTCCCACCCAACTCTGTATGTCTAAGCTGGGTAAAGCAAAGCCATCTTAGCAGTTTCAAGTTTGTTTACTTTCTTTGTAGCATCAGTAAAAATGGTTTCTTACCTCGGGAAATGAAGAAAACATAGATGCCAGCATTTCCAGCGCTGATTCACGGCCTGTCTCATGTTCATAGCTTGAATGAAACAGCAAAGAATAAGTTAAAACTGCTAACGTTGAGTTAAGAACTGTCATGTATTTTTCGTTTCAGTTTTTAGTTATCAAAAAAAATAAACACTCAGAAATGAGTTATCACAAGAACAGAGCACCTCAGTCACATAGAGCAGCTATTGAAAACAGACGTGATTACACCCATTTACCTGTATGAAATACTGACTAGTGAACTTTGGCGTTCGCCAGCCTGGCCCCGAACTGAATGACGTGAACGCAAACGTTCACGTGACATAACCTTTATCCTTCTTAACCCTTTAAACCCACATACAAATCCACATACACATTCTCCAGACGCGGATCTCCATTGATTCATTTTCTTATAGAATAAGTTGAAAGAATTTGATAAACGATCAGAGCATTTTGCCTTTTGTGATCATTTTCTTAATTCTCCTAACCTTTTCTCTTGATGATGTTTTGATATTGGTAGGAGATAATTGATGTTGGTCAATCTTGGGACTTACAGGGGTAACCTACTCCCTTTTAACAAAGCATTAGAGAGCTTTGGATTCTGAGACGAGTACGACTACGAGTACGCGATTTTCTCAATACTAAGTAGTGCACGCGCGAGAACCAGCGCCATTTTGGCGGGAAAACCTGATAGCTGCCATCATTCTACTACGAGTTTTAGCAAGAACGTCGTAGTGGCGAGAACAAGTTATCAAAGTTTAGAAGTTTAATCATTTTGCGACCGGGAAAGGGCTAAACCTTCTCCAATAAAGATAACCTCACTAATTTTTCAGGTGAAAAGTTGAATATTTTTCAAGAATTTTCGGATTGAATATTTTTCGAGAATACGCGAAAAAACTTTAAGTTAAATCCCGTACTCATCCTCGTCCTCATTAAATCTAAAGCTCTCTAATTGTCTATTGAAATGAGGTTTGGTTACTAAAGTTGTACGCGTAAGACACTTTTAACCATCAAAATTTTAATCCAAGTTAATGATTTCTCAATTTAATTGTTGTTAACCTTTAATTTGCTTTATCTCGGCCTTCTCCTTCTTGCACTTTTAGCCGCTGACAATAGTCGAGCATTTACAATATCTATAACAAAGAGCCCTTACCTCAACTGAGAAACGTAAAACTCCAGATATCTTTGAAGCTTTTTCCCAAGTGGATAGTCCAGCAAGAATTGGAGCATACACTGTAAACAAAACGTAAGTTGCTAAAAAGAAAGCGTGCCTTTTCTAAACGTGTACAGTATGACACCTACATTTCTCCCTCGTTTAATTTCGGAACCTACTCTTTGAAGGTTAGTATCCAGGCAAGTTGACAAAAGTGCACGACTGCCATAACTGGTTAGCAGTTTTGCAGTGCTAGTCCAGGTGACAAAGACCTTTGTTCTAGAAAGGAATTTTCAAGAACCGCCGCACACTTGGCGACAGAAACAAGGTTAATAGACCTTTCCACGTTTTCTATCTTTTCTAAACTTTTGACATGGACAAGTTAGGGAAAATCCGTAGACTCAACTGGAAAGAGCGCCTTCAAGTTAGTAAAATTGTCAAGTTTGAAGGTGATTTGTCGAAAACTATCGTAGATATAGTTCCTCAAAGACGCGAAATTTTATAGCCTGAGAAAACAGCCAACATTTGGCGACGCCACCACTGGTTTCCCGCGAAATGACGTCTGAGAAATGAGCGCAGAAATTCCATACTGATGACGCGTCACTACCCAGATCTGGGTAATGCTTCTGATTGGTCGTGCTGCGTGAGAAATTTGATTCAACCAATCAGAAGCACTAACCAGATCTAGTTTCAGTATGGAATTTCAGAGCTCGTTTCTCAGACGTCATTTGGCGGGGAAACCAGTGGTAGCGTCGCAAAATGTCGGCTGTTTTCTCTGGCTAGAAATTTTACAGACCTGTAAATATTCGCAACTTAGCGGAGTAATATCTTCGCTCGTTTAAGATGCATTACTTTCAAATTTGGCAAGTTTACTAACATTAAGGCGCTCTTTCCAGTGGTGTCGACGAATTTTCCCTAACTTGTCCATGTCAAAAGTTGAAATAAACCGTTTAAAGGTCTATTTTCTGGACTAAACAAAGATAACAACGGTGACAGGGGTCTGGTTTCAATCAACGTTCCGTAGTTCTCACCTGCCTGCTCTGAAGCTGGACTGAAGGTGAGCTGCCCGTGATTGACAGCTGTCCAACCTTCCACATGACGTCATGGATTTCTGGTACTACAAGCTTCCTTGAGAGAATTGCCTGTGGAGTTATAACTACCAAGTTAAGCGATAGTTCTCAAACGCTTGAGACCTTAAGTGGAGCTTAAACAACGACGACGACAACGGCGGTGAAAACGTCGCTAAAAATGAGTTTGCGTCCTGTCAAACTTTATCGCCTCTATTTGGACCCGCTTAACTTGTCAAATGTAGGCGATTTTTCCTGGAGTTGAATTCTTAAGGAGTTAACCCAGGTTAAAAAAGAGAACGGAAAATTCGTCGTCGTATCTTCACTTAAAAGCGTGATGCACGTGCAGAGCTGTTGTTTTACTCATAAAATTAATTGGTTTTTAGACTTTATCGTCATCGTCTTCGTCGTGGTTGCGTAAGCTCCCTAATATCTTACAGGTGTCGGTAAATTTTACACAAGAAAAAAAGCCCCTACGATGCACAAATAAACACCCAAAGGAAATAGGCCTTATAAAGGAAGAATGGCTCTTTCTTTAAGGTTATATCTCCCCGCCGCTGCATCCCGAGTTTTAACCGGGGATGTAGCAACAGCGGCTTGTTTTTAATCGGGATTAAAAGTAGTTTTCAGAAGCATATAATATTATCATTAAACGTACCTTCAGAAGAGGAAAAGCCGTGCCCTGTTTAGTGTGATCGTGAATGTCTTCCTCTACAAAACCTAACAATGCTTGCAGATGTTTCTCAGTCACTGTATATTGTTTGAAGTCCCGTATAATCACGGTCATGGCCTAAGGACGACAAAACAGTAAATTATAGAACAATTCTATCAAAAATATTATCTGGTTGTTTTAGATAAGAAGATAGCCTTTATTATTTCTTTGAAAAAAAAACTTGCTTGAAGTGTCACAATTAAAGCTTCAAAAAGTAAATGAAAAAAGTCAATTACAGGGTCAACTATATCACGACAAAACACAAGCAGCAACAGACGATATATTCAACAAATTTTCATCTTTTACTTTTAACGTTATATAATACTTAAAATGGCTGGGATTAAACTTAGCAATGAGACTAGCTGCTTCTGATTGAAATAGAAGAAAACTGCCACATCTTCTCCACTGGCAATATAACAACCCCAAAATCGATCAAAACTTTGCTAAACAAAAAGGGTTTTCTTTTTATTACAGATTCAAGTGCAAGGCTCGATATGATTAAAACGTCCGTCGATATGGTTAAAACGTCAGTTACGTTTGCAAAGAGAGGTACCAAAAAAGTTTTAATGTGAGAAAGGAAACGTACCTTAAAGGCAGAGAGAACCATTTCAAAGTTCTCTCCAACTTTGGCTCCAGCTTTAGCGTAATTCTTAAGTAATTTGAAGAGAAGTTTTCCCATTGTTGGAACACAGCGTGTTAAAGAAGGCAAGGGAAACTTAACTAACCAGCTAACGCAACGAAGAGAGATTGTCACTACCTGTGAAGGCCAAGAAAGAGTGGATGAGTAAGTAAAACTGAATAAAAAGAAAAAAAATCCGATTACTTATACCCTCGAATATCCCGATAGTTCAAACCAAGACTGAATTCCCTTCCTGCTCCGCAGTCAAAGCAGTAGTTTTACCTTTTTTTTAAACTTCCCGATATTTCGGTGCAATTTCGTTTTCGCCGAAAGGTTTGTAAAATAGGGATTCTCAAATATCCGCTTTCTTTGAGCCCCCTTGGATTCAAGATAAATTTCTGTTATCATAAAATCGAAATTAGCTATTGTCTGTGTAAACTTCCTGGTCATCAAGTGCAGCGAAAACAACGCTCGCACTGGCAGGGTCTCATGGCAAGAATACAATACGCAAGGTACACCTTCTCACAACACTACGCGCCAAGCAGGAGCAAGGAAAGACGCTAGTGGACGAGTTCGAGGCAGCTGTATAAGATTTTACTACAATACCTTGTTGTATTTTGACTTAAGACAGCCAGTAAGCAATTCAACAAAAGGATCCAACATCCGCTGATGGTCCTGGTCTGACAAGGAGATTTTACCGTGCTTCAGCATCGTTTGCAGCAACTGTGAACAGAACAACTTTAATGATCAGCGATTGGAAATTGACGGACTGCCAATACCGAAACGCTTATGCCATGAGCACCGAACAAAACTGAGAAAAAATGAAATGTATTGAAGTGAAGAGAAGTTAAGTGAGGCGAAGCGAAGTGAATTGAAGTGAAGCGAAGAGAAGTAAAGTAAAGTGACGTGAAGTGAAGTGAAGGGAAGAGAAGAGAAGAGAAGAGGAGAGAACTGAAGTGAAGTGAAGTGAAGTGAAGTCAAGAAAAGAGAACAGAAGTGAAGTGAAGTGAAGTGACGTGACGTGACGTGACGTGACGTGAAGTGAAGTGAAGTGAAGAGAAGTGAAGAGAAGTGAAGTGAAGTGAGGAGAAGAGAAGTGAAGTGAAGAGAAGAGAAGAGAAGTGAAGTGACGTGACGTGACGTGACGTGAAGAGAAGAGAAGAGAAGAGAAGTGAAGTGAAGAAAAGAGAAGAGAAGTGAAGTGAAGTGACGTGACGTGACGTGAAGAGAAGTGAAGTGAAGTGAAGAGAAGAGAAGTGAAGGAGAAGAGAAGAGAAGAAGAAGTGAAGTGACGTGAAGAGAAGAGAAGAGAAGAGAAGAGAAGAGAAGAGAAGAGAACTGAAGTGAAGTGAAGAAAAGAGAACAGAAGTGAAGTGAAGTGACGTGACGTGACGTGAAGAGAAGTGAAGAGAAGAGAAGAGAAGAGAAGAGAAGAGAAGAGAAGAGAAGAGAAGAGAAGAAGAGAAGAGAAGAGAAGAGAAGAGAAGAAGAAGAAGAAAAGAGAAGAGAAGAGAAGAGAAGAGAAGAGAAGAGAAGAGAAGAGAAAGAGAAGAGAAGAGAAGAGAAGAAGAGAAGAGAAGAGAAGAAGAGAAGAGAATGAGGAGAAGAAGAGAAGAGGAGAAGAGAGAAGAGAAGAGAAGAGAAGAGAAGAGAAGAGAAGAGAAGAGAAGAGAAGAGAAGAGAGGAGAAGAGAAGAGAAAGAGGAGAGAAGAGAAGAGAAGAGAAGAGAAGAGAAGAGAAGAGAGAAGAGAAGAGAAGAGAAGAGAAGAGAAGAGAAGAGAAGAGAGAAGAGAAGAAGAGAGAGAAGAGAGAAGAGAGAAGAGAGAAGAGAAGAGAAGAGAGAAGAGAGAAGAGAGAAGAGAGAGAGAGAGAAGAGAGAAGAGAGAAGAGAGAGAGAGAGAGAGAGAGAAGAGAAGAGAAGAGAAGAGAAGAGAAGAGAAGAGAGAGAGAAGAGAAGAGAGAAGAGAAGAGAGAAGAGAAGAGAAGAGAAGAGAAGAGAAGAGAAGAGAAGAGAAGAGAAGAGAAGAGAAGAGAGAGAGAAGAGAAGAGAAGAAGAGAAGAGAAGAGAGAAGAGAGAAGAGAGAAGAGAGAAGAGAGAAGAGAGAGAAGAGAAGAGAAGTGAAGTGACGTGAAGTGAAGTGAAGTGAAGTGAAGTGAAGTGAAGTGAAGTGAAGTGAAGTGAAGTGAAGTGAAGTGAAGTGAAGTAAAGTGTAGTAAACCAAAATAAAATGTAACGGGACCAAAATGGTATCGCGATTTTACCTGTAGACCGAACTCAACTAAAATGTGATGATTCGTCTTTGTGCTTGTCACCGGCACATTTCCTCCCCGTGTAGGGGTGGCTGGTAGCAGTAACGAGCTGGCGGGGTGAAGCCTGGGATCGGGTGGTACTGAAGTCTCTTTCTTTTCTCTTAGTGACAAAAAGAAAAAATTGGCAAAATAAACTAAGGGTACATTAAGCAAGAAAAGAGGGCATGGATAGAAGACGGCTGAAGAGGTGCACCACTCGTCAGGAAAGTTGTTGAAGATAGGACATATATAGACACAAACTTGTTTGATTAGCATAGCAAACCTGAAAGATTTATCGTGCGAGAAAAGTGACTTAAAAATTATTTAAGATCTCATTTATTTCAAATAGCATTTTCCCTCAAATCTTAGGGTCTAACGCTTAACTATCTCATTAGCTTAAAACGTCCACCTTGGTTTTCCGTGTTAGTCTACTTTCAGTTTCTAACAAAACTTAAGTAATAATAAAAGAACTGTTTTTAAGCATGCGCCATCAGGGGCTGTTTGTCGTATTGACCTTGTCTGTAGCAAACAACTATCCAAATTGAAAATGACTCAGAACGAGGTTTTGTTCACAGTCGCTAACTGAAACTCCTTGCTGGTCCTATATCTTCTACGCTAGTGAATTAAATATGCTTAGTGAGAAGAAGCCGATAATACATAAATACTAAATAATCTACTGAACAGTCGCGCTACTTACACACTTTTCGGTTTTAAAAGAGGGATGTTATCGTGAGTGAGTCCGTGGATGAAAATAAGCATTATCTGCGGTGTGACGCTCGGGTTCGACTGCAGGCCAACTCCAATTCTTCTCAAGACTTCCTCCACTTTACGAGCTGTTTTGTGACTTTGCGTCGAGTCAAGAACCTGCAAAGAGAAGAAACGGACGTTTGCCAGGGAGAGTAGGAGACTGACTTTTGCAAGTGATATCCCAAGAAAGAAAAACAATAAAAACGAAATGTTAACGAAGTGATGGTGTCCTGATGGTTATATTTTGGATGGGTGACCTGGAGTTCTCAAGATTATGGCATTGTAAAACTTGCAAATTACCCACGAAGCACTTAGGAGTTCTTACGAACTCGTTTAAACGTGTCCGGGCGTTCTAGCCTGCGACACAGACGAAACTTAACTCTGTTAAGTCCGTCCGTCTGCGAAATAGCGTCAAAATCCTTGTTTTGGGCCCTCACCTGTGTTCCAGGATTTGAGTACGCGCCGTCATTGGCCTGTTAAAAAAGCCACTGTCGATTTACCAATCAGGATGAAAGGAAATTCGAAAATGCACTTCCGGTATTTCGTTGAGTTAGATGGAGGCCCAGAACAAGGATCTAAGCGCTGCTTCGCAGACTTAACTAAGGTTAAATTAAGTCTGCGACGCAGGCTTGTGCGTTCCAGATCAAAATGGAATTTGGAAGTGTTAGTTTTTGGACGAGAGGAAGAAAACTGGAGTACTCGGAGAAAAACCTCTCGGAGCAAAGGAGAGAACCAACAACAAACTCAACCCATATATGGCATCGATTCCAGGACTCGAACCCAGGTCATATTACTGGGAGGCGGTTGCTCTCACCACTGCGCTACCCTTGCTCCCCAATAACAATCTCTTGTGTAATTTATGCAAATTATGCAGATAGTAGCTGGTGTTTCTTTTTAGCTTAAACTAACTTCTATCACAGGAGAAATCACAAGTCTTTGTCTTAGACATCATTACTCCTAAAATTTGGAGAAATCATTTGGCAAGTCTTTGTCTTAGACATCGTTTTGCTCATGCTATTATTTAATTGATTTGTAATTTTCACACGTAGGTATTTCAAATTAAGCTGAAATACCACTGCGCTAAGCCAATCAAATTGCAGAAATTTCTCATGTAGTAGTATAACATTTATAACTAAGCACTTGAGCTGCAGTTAACTTGAAGTAATATCTCGATCTGAACGGTGTCATGTTAACTAAGACAAACCTCTTTCAAAGGAGAAACCAGAACAGTTAATGACTGCGTTCCAACAAATTTACCAAGAATCTCAAAAGTGTCAAAGCTCTTGCACGTTTTAGCCTCAGGGATTTTGTTGGCAATCTTTTCTACCTCGCGCTCCGTGGCTACCTCGCCAAACAGGTCTTCTACCAGTATCTACAAAGAAGATAAATAATATTATTTAGGCACTGTTCAAAAGGTATGGAACTTCACTCACTGACAAGATTTCCGTCGATGAATAACCAAAGAATTAAGTCCAGAGGCAAAGCTTTTGCGTGACTTTAATTGTTTGGTTATCTGCCGATGGAAAACGCTTAAGTTCTAGGAAGCTGGCTAGCCAAGGAGAACACGCTAACTACCTCTAGTAAAACATAGGCTATTCTCAAAAAAATATGACAAAAAGGAGGGCATCGTCCCTATATAACCCACTGGAAAGGCAACTTGGCCTTGGATCATGCGGCTTAACCCTTTAAACCCTCCAATCAAATTCTCATTTGTCGTGCTCAAACATTTCCTGTAGGAGTAGTAGGGAGAATTTGTTCAATATGGCAAGGATAAATTTGATGCTGGTGTCTCTTAGGGCTTAAAGGGTTAAGGTTGTAACGTTGCGCAGCATATTTTGTAATTTTGCGCTTAGTCAAAAATCCTTTTTTTAAGGCGAGTTACGTTTTTGAGGGAGAGAGGAAAGGAGGGAGGGGAGGGAGGGAGGGAGGGAGGGGAGGGAGGGAAGGGGGGGTGGGGAAATGGGAACATGACCGTAAATAAACCAAAAATACGTGGGGAACTGTGGCCTGACAAAGACTAATAAAGGCAGCGGATGATCAAAGTGTTCTTTCCCTTACTTCCGAGTTTAAGTGAAGTGGTAAGTTTAAGGCATTTTCTTTTACAACTGGCGAAAGAAAAAAATTGCACATTTTCCTTTTTTTCCTTGAGTTTTGCGTGCGTCGAGGAAGAGGAAACGTCATACTTCAGTTTACACAATGCGAATCAAACTGTCAAGAATTTTGAAACTTTTAAACTAAAGCGAAATTATGTACATTTGGATCCTTCTGAAAATAGAACTGATCGCTCAGCTGTGCAGTTAAATAGAGGAAACAGTAAGTATAAAAAAGAGAAAACTGTTGAAGAACGCCATAACATATAGAAGGGTAAGAAACTCGGTCCGCTTCTCTACAGAGCGCACAACTCTGGATCAGAATTAATTTAAGAGCAAACCGTAATAAAGAAGATCACTATGGCGTTGATCGATTCTGAATAAGTTTCACATTAAGTTTAGACATCTGTCAAGTTTGCGAAAGTCCAAAATTTTAACATCAAATCATGTGCTTTATTGATTTAGATTCGACGGGCGCAGAGGATGTATACTACATTTTTTAGTTTTTGTTTGTAGATTGTGTTTGGTGTCCTTTCCACTCAGAGATAACGATTTACGTCATCCAATAAAAAAAGGGTTTTAAAAAAACCCTTAGCACATGTTTACCTTTGCACGAACGATTAATTACAAGTAGAGAAAAATCGTGAAAATTAAAAAGTGAGGCTTTAAGTTCGTGTTCTTACGTATTGATTTAACAACTTAACGTGCCGATGACATGCAAACATTTGTTTTTTCGTTTCCTGGCTTAACTGTCAAAATGTGTTCTTTTATACGGGCGTTGGCTTCGTGGACACAGCTCAAAGAACCGAAAACTGTGTTTCATGATTTTATGCAACTCTTTGTGAAATTGACCGAATGCCTTGTACTTTGTTTTTCCTGCGAAACAGAAAAAAAAACGAGAAAGAAAGAAAGAAAGAAAGAAATGCCGTGTCTTGGAAGGTCTATTCTTCCTTTTAGTTTGTTTTCAGTCAAAGCTCGCTTGTTTAAATAGTCGACAGGTGCATCGAGGAAAGGGAAGGGTAATGAAATTTATGCTTTTTCGTTAGTTTGTATTTCGATTTAACGCAAATGAAAGGTTATTTTATCTCTATGAAGAAATAGGCGTTATTTTTTCGATAAGGAAACGCAAAAGAAGATTATGAAAAAAATTGGCAGGTTTGAACTAGGAAGCCTCAGACGTATATGTTGATAAATATGATACAGCCAACTGCGGCGTTTTAAGTAGACTTTCAAAAACTCAGCTTTGGTTGGTCCTTGCTCAGGTGAGAAAGCTTCTCTTGATTTCGTCGTTCTCGCGACTTCGTCGCTCGAATAAGTCCACTTTTGGGCAAGTCTACGTTTCCAGTTGACTTGTTTTCACCAGCCTCTCGTCTGATGATCATCGATGTTTTTACACGCCATTCCTCTTGACGGAATTTTCCATCTGCGACATCCGTCTGTCAATCTTAAGGCTGAGGCGGCAAACAGTACGCCACTGTTCTTGTACAGCTTTCAGCTTTCTACACAAAACGCTTCAGGCCGACATAAAACTGTCGTACACTGCGTTACAACAGAAAACAGCAGCAACTTTTTCTTTGCCTGCAGGCAGCTTGGCATTTGTGCTTGCCCACCTTTAAGTGCTTATTCAAAACGTCACATAAAGTAAATATCAGTGACTATCAGCGACATCTTCCACCTCACAAACTGCTGAAACCGCGGTAATACTGAGGGAAGACGGACTAGCAACTGGTTAAAGCAGCACGTTGTGCTTCAATCGTTTTTATACATCAAATTTTCTCCGAGCTAAACTGCTAAACCAAAAGGCTGGGCTGGGCTGCAAAACAGTACAGGGAACTTGTTTCTAGCAGAGAATACAGTGTCAGGTTCCGTCCGTGTTAATGATTATGCTGTTTTAAAGCGTCACATACAAGCAACCTTCGAAGACTTCAAAAGAAAAATATAAAGTGAAGCTAAATTAACGAGTAATATTCTGTCAAAAGAATCGTTCACAAAGTACATCCTAATATTAAAGACTTTTTAAAGCTGTGTACAGTGGACGTAATAAAGCAACAAGGAAAGTTCCTGTCGGCAAGTTTTTTCCTAAAGTCGGTCAGGTAAAGAAAACACTGGCACTTCCGCTTTTTGTCTCTAGAACAGAGAAAAAGACCAATATGAACACATCAAACGAAACAAGAATCGCTGACCAGTTTTGCCGTCCAAAATCCACCGTAGCAGTCCAAACGATTAAGGTCTTTGCGTATGTTATCTTAATACTTGTGTCTTTGATCGGCAACACACTCATTATTGCCGTAGTCTACAAGAACCGCCGAATGCGAACCCCTGTGAATTTTTTTGTGGTCAACATGAGCGCCGCAGATATTCTCATCACCGTGTTCTACATGCCGCGAATGATCGCAAGGACGTTCTTAGGAATGAACTGGGGAGTTGACGGAAATCTTGGCGCCATCTCCTGCAAGATAGTACCGTTTGCCCAAGAGCTCTCCGCTTCAGTGTCAGTACTGACCCTTATACTCATAGCTGTGGACCGTTTCTTCGCTGTCTTGTTCCCCTTTAAACGCGTCTTCACAAACCGCGTTGCGTACGCTGCAATCGCCTTCGTGTGGCTTTCCGCCTTTGCTGCTCGAGCGCCAATGTTCCATGGCCTTCGGTTCATCCTTGATGAAGAGGAGAAAACCCACTGTACTCTGGAATTTGACTCCGAAATGGCAAACAACTTTTACGTAAGATTCGCTTTTGTAATGTTTTATGTCATCCCTTTGTTCTTCACTGTTGTCCTGTACGGCGCCGTCCTAGTCTCCCTCAAGAACAGAAAACCAATTGGCGAAGTTTTCACAAACACTCGACGCAAATACAACAATCGTTTGAAACGAACCCGCAAAGTGATGAATATGTTGTTTGTCATCGTGTTCGTTTTTGCTGTGTGTTGGTGCTTGCACTTCTTTTTTCCAATTCTGTTTTTTCGTTTTCGAACCAGGGTGTGCGCGCTAGCCTTCCCGGCCTTCTTCCTTGGTCACATCAACAGTGCAATAAATCCCTGTATTTACCTGATTTTTATCGAAAACTACCGCCGCGGTTTCCGCCAGATATTACACCCGCTTTACAAGCGGTGCGTCAATGCTAACACGAGAGTCGAACCTGAGGATCACTCAGCTGCTTTAAACGGACGACAGAAGAGCATCAATGCCAGTCTGACATTCGCCACGCTGGATTTCCAGCCAACTGCCAGTACATCCCAAAATAAAGTCTTTTCACTAAAAACATCCATGAGTACAACCCATTCTTAAAATGGTAAAATCATGTTGTTTAAAATCTTTCATCAAGATACATTATCCCAGTAAGGCGAAATTCTGAAATAAGATTTAGGAGGATCATTCGAAACCGTGTACCTTTCGGCCATATGCTGTACTATCAATACTAGTGAGAACACGAGTTAATAGTATGTTCCTTGAAGTTTGTTAATGGATCTGCCTGCCTTGTTTATTGTGAATGCAATACAAAAGTGCGACTTGAAATAAAAGCTATTTAGAAGCATAATTTGAGGTAATGTTTATTGGACTCGTTAGATCAGAGGGTGACCAGATGGCAGATTGCAGAACGGTAGGCCATTGCACTAGCGCGTTCGAGATAGTCTTGAACATGGCTCTACCACGAATCAATCCCGACCCTAGCCTGTTCCAGACTCCATAAGCGAAAAGTCGTTCAGTAAAAAGAAATGCGAAAAACGCTCATTCTTCTCGCCGCCAACGCCCCCTTTCCCAAGTCGCCCTCGTCTTATTTTCGCTTTGCTCGTTTTAATACGTCCCCACTAGCCTCCCACGCAGACGTTCTTAGGGGTTCGTCACGCGTTCCTGATTTGTAGTAAGGCGATACCGCTTATTTTAGTTCTTATGGGCAATGCGTTCGTCAAATGAAACAACGAATTTCGTGCATCAGTTTTGTCCCCAAGAATCCTCTGTAGCAATACAAGTGATGAGGATGTTGTTTTGTGCCATTGTAATACTTATAGCTTTGATCGGGAACGCCCATATTATTACCGTGGTTTGCCAGCATCGTCGACTGCGAAGAGCAGCTATGAATTTGCTCGTGGTGAACATGAGTATGGCAGACATTATCATTACTGTGTTTAATTCGCCGCGCGTGATATCTAGGGCTCTTCTGGGCACAGACTGGGCAATACGCGGAGAATTCGGTTACATCCTCTGCAAGGCCTTTCCATTTGCCAAAGAGCTGTCCTCTTTCGTGTTAGTGCTCACTCTTCTACTAATAGCAGTGGACCGTCTCATCGCCGTCCTATTTCCCTTAAAACGCTTTATCACCAACCGTGTAGCGTACGCTGCCATTTTCTTCGAATGGATTGTCGCCATAGCTCTCCGATCACCAATACTCAACGGACAAAGGTTTATCCTTGGAGAAGACGGACAAACATACTGTTTCCTTCAATTCGACTCCGAGCTGGCGTTTTATTTTTACGTGAAGTATGCATTTGCGACCTTCTACTCAATCCTTTTGACCTGTATTCTCATCCTTTTCGGCGTTGTGATGGTTTTACTCAAGAAAAGAAAATTAGTTGGCGATGTGTCAACCAGCAGACAACAAAGATACAAAGATCGTACGAGGAGAACTCGCAAAGTGATGAGGATGTTGGTGACAATCATGTTTGTTTTAGCTCTGGGTTGGTCCCTACACTTCTTTTTGCCTCTTCTACTTCTTCGCTTTGGACCCAAAGTATGTAACTTAGCTTTGCCAGCTCTCTTTCTTAATCAAAGCACCAGTGCAATAAATCCTTGTATCTACCTTCTTTACACAAAAAACTACCGCTGTAGTTTCCGTGAGATTTGGCGCTCACTCTACAGGCGGTGCATGAAGACGCTGTCTTCGAACAATAAAATTAAGCCTCAGGATATTTCAACTGTATGTAGAAGGACTGTCGAAGGACTGCAAAAATGAAAGACTTTCATTGGCCGCATTGGATTTTCAGCGTTATCATGGGAAAAGTAAAAGTAATTTTTTCCAATAATAACAGGTTTAAATACGAAGGTTTCACAAGCGGGGTAATTTAGAAAAGTTTAATTGGTAGGATCTGGAATAAAGCTTTTTATAACTGCGATGGGAAAACATTTAGCGTGTTCCAGGTTCCCAGATAGTTAGGTCCGCGAAATTGAGAAAGCGCGAACACGAAAATGATACGGGGGGAAACTAGGGACCCTTTTCCCCAGATCACGCGCTCATATTTTCTCGTGCCTTACACTTACGCGTCATCCCTACTATCTGAGAGCCTGGAAAAGGCTAGAAAAGATTCGGTTTGTAAACTGCATACGAACAGGATGCCGCATTTAGGGATCCTACGGATCATGATTCAGAAATTGTTGCTTTAAAGAAGTTTGAATATCCGGTAAAAAAAGTGAGCTGCATTTTTGAAAAATCCCACATATAATAGACTCAAAAAAAGTTGCCAAACATTTAGCTCGACCCTGTTACGTGATTACGTAAGCGTACAACGTTTTCATATCCTAGTAACAAATGTCTGTAAGGCAGCTTTTAACGCGTAACTTCGTGATCGCGATTAGCCGATAAAAACAGGCGGGATAACGCGATAAAGAAAAATGTTCGTTCGGGATAACGTGATTGAAGAGGCCCAATGGGGCTTATCTTTCAAATGCATAATTTTCTAAGTGTGAATAGAATCTAACCTGAGTGCAAATATTGAATTTCGTGGAAGCATCATGAAGCTATCGACCTTGTCAATGATGAGGCCTTTGCAGAAATTTATCTACCACATAGCAAGGACTACTAAGATTTTCAAGCGACGGCGAGGAAATTCATAAAAGGAAAAAAATAAACAAGCAACTCACCTCCACCAATTCCTGCAGACTTGAATCCAGGTCCCCTGGCAAGAGGCTTTCACTCATTTTGTCTAATAATGTATGCAATGTGTAACTAAGGACATGAAGCTGAAGATAGATCAAAATTAGCCGCTTGCGCGAATTAGGAAGGCGCATGAAAAAATAACATTTCACTTGTAAGCACAACGTTAATAACACGATTCAGCCACCAAAACAGGACCTAGGAGGGCCTAAACAGACATAATCGATCGAGGATAAGTTTTCCTCGCTTGAAGTTGTGCAGTGACGGCAAAGAAAGGCACGTCTAGCGTCAGGCGTTGTTTTGCTCATTAAACCCGTTGCTCTTTTGACGTTGTCTCTGTCGTAGCTGTCGATCAGACATTCGCATTTGTATTTTCGTTCGTCCAATAAACTGGCAGCGAAAGGGGGCAGTTTACTGTAATTACTGTTCACCTGATATCCTCTTGTAAGTGAGCTTCTTAGTTCCTTCAGTACGAACAAGAGGTACCGACTTCCGAGAGAAACGGTTATTTTTGCCAGGGTATCCCGTGCTACATCGCGCACCTCTCGGGCTCTGCTCCTTAGGGTGTGACAGATACGCAAAAGAAGTCTACAGAGAAATTAAAAAAAAAAAAACATCACGAAAGGTGCTCAGTAACAACTAGGAATATTTAGATCAAAAAGCTGGGCAGGTAATTAATGTTACACTTATATCAACAGGCAGTAAACAACAACAAAAACAAACAAACAAACAACAACAACAGTAGAGGATATTACATGGCCGCGCGGAGATACGAAATTTCTCTTCGAGTGAGTGCAGCGAACGAGTGAAATATTTATTAAAAAACATTAATGAAATACCAAACCATTTCACTATAATATTGTTTGCTGCGAAAGCGGTGATTTTTCATGTACCCATAGCAACGGTGATCTTTTCACGTGTGAGGACATCATGTTTTTTGAGCGAAAGCTCACCTTGTATTTCAAAGAATGTCATTATTTAGGGGGCACAAGATAATACCTGCCAATTTTTCAAAAAATTTTATTTACATTTTCTAGAGGATTATGAACGTCCAAAATGACTTTCGCTTTTTTCAAGGCAATTGTTTTACATTTTTGGAAGGGTTATTGCTGGCGTTTGCTAGAAACGAGAAACAAGCAAGTGAAAACAAACATTAAACAAACAATCCTTTTTACCCCGGTAAATGTGAGTGTAGCGCATGTTCCGGCAGTGCTTGAAGAAGCTTGATTATAGCAAGAATGATTGGCACACGCAACACTTCCTCCTCGTCTTCGGCTTTTTGTTGGCTCAAGCGGTGAAAGTCATCCGATTTGCTCTACAAAATAACAAACACAACGAGTTTAGACCAGACATATCAACTAGATGCCTAAACTATGATTAATATCATGTAACTACGTTAATGACTTACTAATTGACTGACTGACTCTGACTGACTGAATAACTGATTGACTGACTGACTCTGACTGACTGACTGACTCTGACTGACTGAATGATTGACTGACTGACTGACTGACTGAATGATTGACTGACTGACTGACTGACTGACTGAATGGTTGACTGACTGACTGACTCTGACTGACAGAATGACTGATTGACCTACTGAGCGCTAAGTAAAAAACCTTACAGTCTTTTCAGTAGTAAAAAATTTCGTTATATTTTCGTTATCTTCGCAATTTTCGAAGCACTCCTGCGAAATGTTGTGATTTTTGTAAATTTCGTTAAAGAGTTTAACCCTGGACATATCTCCAAGACGTAATAAATAACAAGAAAACAAGAACAATATTAACAAATAGCTTCCTCGCTTGCTTCATAGTACAAACTCACCTTTTTTGTGACACATTTTTGTAACTGAGGCAGGATAGTTGAGGTGATGGTGTTGTAGATACGTACTGCAAGCTCCTCTTTAGAAACGTTACCATTAACTGCTGGGTTCGTTTCATCGATATCATCGTCATTGTCGTCGTCTTTCACCTCATCAGCATCATCGTCCCGTTCACGTTGCTTTTCATCTTCTTTTTTAGTATTAACAGGGTTTTCAGCTTTCTTTTTGCCACCTGTCAAGACCAAAGCATATCTTTTAAGCTCAGAAAAACTTGCGAGAGGCCTCTAAGAAGCTCCGCAGCTGTTCGGTAAAAGTGAAAATACGTTACCGTTACTTACCTGGGAGGTTTTCTGTTTGCTTGGGAACAGCGCTCAGGTCAAAGTGAAAATTGTTGAGAATAATCACAACAACTCTACAATAGAAAAACAAAAATCAAGTTACTACATCTTAATTGTTACTCAGTACTGATCCACGTACCAAGGTCAGGGTGCAGTTTCCCAGGAACCCAAATTGATCCAAAAAATTTGATAGGCAGGATCAAGAGAGAATAATGGTACAGAAAGGGAAAGGCCCATCTATTCCTTAGGATGTGTGAATTTCACCAAAGCTATTTTTAGAACAATTAAACGCTTGAAATTAATCGGAAGTTTGTTTCCGGAGAAGTCCTCTAACGTCTATTCAGTGTTGTCAAAAGAGTATTCAACAGTCGTCATTACAATAGTCTGCATTGTTTGCTTTGAGGCAGTCGCGCGTGCACTTGAAGGGTGACGTTTTAAACAATGGATTTAAATGTGAGGACGCCTCAGGAATTTGACTTCCCTCAGTTAATTAGGACCTCTAAAAACAATTTAAGTGAAATTCACACATCCCTGTCGACGCCCTAATATTTCCTCTCTGTCCATTATTTTCTCTTGGCAGTATTGATTACAGTTATTCCTTAAAACTGATTTTGACTACAGGTGGTGTCCTCTGAGGTTTGGTTTTACGTAACTGACCCGTGATGTGACGGTCAAAACTTAAGCAAGGTGGCTTTCGCTAATCAGCTGCCTGGCGGCAAGCGTAATCTAACCCCAGCCAATAACGTCTGCCAACTAGCAACGAGATCCTTTTTATGGGCCCCAACGGACTTAAAGAATTATCGGTAGTGCGTTTCGAACTTCCCCTCAACCTGACCGGCCACTTGAACAACAGCTTTTTTAAAAAGCCAACCATAGCGGGACTCTAATCATGCTACACAGTAAGGGCCCAGAAAAGGGATTTTGGTGTTGTTTCGCAGACGGATTTAACCGGTAGTTTAGTTTCGTCTGTGGTGCAGGCTACCTATTGCAGTGTTAGAAGATTTTCTCATAAAGCTATCTGGCAACAGAAAACAGTTTTTAAGCCTTATGTAACAAACGTGGCTCGCGAACACTGCCCAATGATTAAAAGAAAATTGTCCTGTTTGCGCAGTATTAGGCTGTTTACGGATCCCTATTTTTCAGCGGTTACTATGGGCAGCCACCTTGATTCAAATGTACCGATGTAACTTATAAGGGGGACTGAAACAACCTAACTTGGCGCTTATTAGTTTAGGAATCGCCCAAACATTTTTTACTTCTGGTTACACTCTAAACTATAATAATATGCCTAGAAACGTAAGTCTTAAGCTGAAAAACCATCTGTTTTGGGAAACAACAGACAAAATGATGTTGTAAGTGAATTTGCAACAAACTTCCTACCTAACGATGATCTTTTGAAAAGTCTTCTCCACAGGCAATAGTTTTAAATAGTGCCTCAACAATGAGCAGTACTTAGACCAGGGGAGGCTTGCCGATATTGTTCCAATAGTGGTTACAGCCTCGGTGACAAGGTTGTGCTCTTTAGCAGCCGTGTGATCAAATAAACAATGTGTCACCAAAGGCAGCAAGAAGGCAGTAAGGGTTGTGGTTCTAAGGCTCTGCTGCTGACAATGGGACTGCAGGCGACGAAGCGCACGAATGCGGCGATGGAGCTGATTTGAAAACAAATCAAACAAAATTAACTTCGTAAATTTTAAATCAACTCAAAAAAAGCCACAAGTACTCAAACGAGGCTAGTTAACCAAGGCTCATAATGGAGTTTCGGACTGTTACTTTAGCTAGAACTTTAAGTACATGCTGTATCCCTTATTTGTAGAAGATTCAATTAAACAGCGTTTAACATTATTATGCATGTTATTTTCAAATTGCAGTTACTGTCACGTAACATGAAATAAATCTCTTCTCTTTTACGGTTTTGAAGAAAAGTTTGCCTATCCTGAAAAGCCATAACTTTGTATGCACAAATGTAACTTCCTTCTACGGTTTTCACTATACAACAAAGGCTGACACTGAGTGCAAAAATAACAATTTGGGTTTGTCAGAAAAAATAATTATGTCCTCACCTGAATGTGCTTGATGTTCTCAAAAAAGTCTTTCTCGGGGTCTTCGTCCAAGAGAACCTTCAAGTTTGACAAGGAATCATGTTGAAACTCACGAGCCATCGTGGAGAGGACACCTAGAAATTCATTTCTGGCAATCTACCAGCAGAAATTCACCAAAATGTTGTTGAGCAAAGTAACAAGACAAAACAACATTAAACTCATACCCAGGAAATGTGGTCTAGACTAAAGGAGAAATTTTTTGGTAGTCAAAGTACTTAGAATTCGTGCCACTTAAGAAACCTATTGTAGACTTCCAAAGTATTTCTTGCTTTTTAATACTCACAACACCTTTTGTTCTAGAAGCTCTTTCTTTCAAATAAATTATGTCATACATGACGAAAAACCTCAATAGCCTTGTACTGATTAATGCTGGTTCAATTTTTTTTCGCGCCTTAGTCTTGATTTTGTTTTTTCTTCAAAATTGTGATAGTTTATGAAGCGAAATGTTATAGTCGAAACCCATAAGTTTTAAACGACATAGACTATTTTCACATCTCAAACAGATTAAAGTAATTATTATTATTATAACTTTTCACGAAATCCCAAAAGTTTCAACAGCTTACCTCCTTTTTAGAAGACAGTGCTTTCTTGCAGGCCGGAAGAAGACACTTCATGATGAGAACATGAAATGGCTCGTCCTTTTCGTCACTCTGCTGAACAACATAACGCACTATGCAACTCATACAACTTCCAGCACTATCTCTGATGGACAAGTCATCGCTGCATAAAACGAAGTGAATACAGTTTTGTAGCAAAGGCAAAATCTCGTCTGTCTTGAGTGCACTTTGTTGGATAAGAATCTTAGCATTCGTAAAGCCTGCCAATCGAGTGTCATAATCGGGTTCATCTAAACGTTTGCGGTTCCACGCGTTCAGTTGAGATAGAAGTTCGCACGTCTTAGGAGAAAAACTAGAATCCACATTTGAAAGCTCCAAAAACACATCACACAGAGACTGCCTGGTACTGCGCGATGTCAACTGCGAGAAAAGCTTCGACAAAGATGTGGCAAATTCTCTCGGCGCATCAACATTAGGTAACAGACCCTTAATAGTAGATAGAATATTGTTCGCAGTCTCCTCCTTTTGAGAAGAATTAACGAAAGGCAACAGTACATTAATGAGAGTGGAAGACTGCTCAGCGTCTTTAACAAATGGACTGATTTTTGACAAAACTGAAAGCTCTCGCTGAGGTAAAATAACCTTTCCTTTGTTCTTTCGTGAATTCTCTATAGCCTGCTTGACAGAACGGCTGAGGTATTCAAGGATATCCGACATGTGTGGAAGAACTAACAGAGTTCCGTAACTAGGTCTGTCTTCTTCGCTGTAATTCGAGAAAATTCTGCAATAAAAAAGTGGACATGGAATAAATGCAAGACTAAATCAAGGATAAGAGAGATGAAAGAAGAAAAATCAGTCCTCCGCTATCTCCTCTTAAAATAGCTGCTTTTATAAGTTACATAATCATTGAAGTCATTTGGCTATGCCATGTAATCACGGCACGCTTTCTTATGAATGGCGTACTTCACTGGTTTATGGATCTTCTGAGGTACCCAACGGAAAACCGTTTGACTTTTTTTGTGCGTGTCTCGCCAGCGAGTTTAACTAGAGTCAATCACAAAAACAGTTTTCGCAAGTCCGCGGCAACATTGGTTAAAAGTTAAGGAGTCCTGGAGATCAGGAATGAGTCTGTATTTAGAGTGGTCCAGTACCTCACAAGAACCGCTAATTTAAGTGGTCGTCTAAAACAATGCTGAGGGTTAGAGTTATCGTTTGTGTGGTTATCCTATTGTTTTCACTGCCAATTGTGTGAGCCCTTCAGTGAGGTGCTGTTTGACCCTGTATTCCAGAGCCTCAGTGGGAAAAACTGAAATTTCAAGTGATGACTTACGTTAACATGGAACCACACTCCATCAAATCACTTTCTTCCCTATACCCAGACAGTAGATTGTCTGTCATTTCCATCACCATGGCAACCACATCCGCTGACACTGATGGAACTCGCAAACATAGAAATATACAGGACGTGATTGACACGTTTGGATTACCAACTGGCTTCCTGGAAAGCAATGGAAAGTAACGGGAATTCTTTGTCCAGGTAAACAGAAGCTTGAGTAATGGCGTGGGATGTTGAATACTCTCTTGAGTAAGCTTCTCCACCTGAAAAGAAAAAAACAATAGACATAAATGGATAACACTTCTTATATTTGATACCTTGTTCTTGACACGACATTCTTGCTAAAACCAGTTGTAGAATGACGACGGCTATCACGTTTTCCCGCCAAAATGACGCTGGCTTACGCGCGTGCACTATTGCTTCAACCAATCAGAAGCACACTACCCATATTTGGTTGGTAACACGTCATAGTGCGGAATTTCTGAGCTCGTTTTTCTCAGACGTCATTTCGCAGGGAAACAAGTGATGGCGTCGCTAAAAGTCAGCTGTTTTCTCAGGCTAATCACCTTGATACGACCAACGTTTGGCAGTGGAAACTTGGATGTATCTTTTCTTTCGGCTGGTCAAAAAGTGGTCGCTATAACAAGAAGATCGTATGGCGGAGTTTCATGATGTTAATGTTCAAGACGCTTCAAGGGTCAAACTAAAACTTTTACAAGTGTAATTTACAAGTGAAGCTATTGTTTTAGGTTCCAAAAACAATATCTGCACTTGTGAATTACACTTGTAAACGCTTTATTAAATTGACCCCAGATAACTTCGTCAAACATTCTTGGACTGGTAAGGTGAGATGCAGTTTACCTGGGGCCACACAGCTGACGTGAAGACAGCTTCACAAATGGGCTTAAAATCATAATCTGTCATCTGTTCAAAGAACTCCATCAAGCGAGATATGGCCAACTGACGAACCGTCTTCAGCTGAGAGATTAAAGACGGCTGGATCTGGAACAACAACAACATCAAACATAATTATTAGTACGACTTTTATTAAAAATGCACACAGAAGCCATTTTTACCCTATCACTTCTACAGTAAAAAATGTAATTACTTCATTAAGTAATACCTTCCATTACACCTCGCTCAAATCAGAAAAAACGAGCGACAACAGTCAAACGTTGCTTTACGGATACCCTGCACTTTCATAAACGAGTGTCCCGAGGATTAATTGCCTTTGTTTTGTTTTAAGGTGTTTTGAAACTGTTAATAACGTGTACTTTTCTATCAGTGCTCTGTTTCATGTTTCATGTCGTCTGTTTCGACGGATTGCAAGTTTTAATGCACTTGCAAAATCACGAAAAGAATATTACCAAGGTTAATGGTCCCTGATAGGATTTCTTTAATATCTTCTTCGTAACTTCGTAACAGGTGCATTTTGTGAAAGGGTAAAAGCACTGAGATAACGAATCATTATGCGTTTCTGGGCAACTACCTACCTACCCCTCCCCTAACCCAACATTTTTTCCCCAAGTGAGAAGTAACATGACTTTACCAAAAAATTGTCCTGAAACAGCAATATCCTCGTGAAATATCCCCTTTCAAGGTCATATTAATCGGACTAGCCGACTAGTGTACCTTTTCTCGCTGATTCAGAGCCAACACACATTTGTTTGAAATCTTCTTCGTAACTTCGTAACAGGTGCATTTTGTGAATAGGTCAAGGTACTAAGTAATAACTGCCAACCTACCCCTCCCCTAAGCCAACATTTTGCTCTAAGTGAGAAGTAAGTGGTTATGTTGACTTAGGGGAGGGGTAGGTGGGTAGTTTCACTAAAGAAGTTGACCTGAAACAGCAATATCCTCGAGACACATCCCCTTTCAAGGTCATCTTAATCAGACTAGCCGATCAGCGTACCTTTTCTCGCTGATTCAGAGCCAGCACGCATGTCGATAACAGCGAGAGGATGATCTGTAGGATTGAAGGATAAAAGGAGGCTGCAGTGATCCCTATTTTGTGCAGGATTTGTGACACCATTCCCAGGAAACCAAGCTGCTTCTTTACGGGAACAACATTTGATAGATCTGTGGTGGTGGTGATCAGGCCTGGGTTGTCTGCTGTTGAGTAAGTAGGCAAGCAAAAAATATGATTAACGATTAGCAACTATTTTGGGGCGGCCAATTGCTTTACTTTTTTTATCAAAAGCTAACAAACTTGTAGACCTCACAAGCGTGTGATTCCAAGATGTCGAAAAAAAAAGAAACGACAATAACAAAAACAACTGAAATTAGTAAAAATACAGTTACCACGCAAATTACATATTATGTAGAGAACATATAGGGAAAAATATAAAGACACGAAAAATATACATGTTGAGGTTCAATTTTATCCTTCGTTTAAATCTTACTTTCATTCTTTCAAAGTCTTCATCATATAATTATTACCAAACCCCAAAACATGGGGAAATAGCATTTGAACCAAGTAAAAAAATGAGCTACAGCATATACACGATAAAGATAATGAGGCTGCTGTTTTTTAAACAAATCAAAAATTTATTCAACAAAACGCAGAAGACTATCCAGCAAAAAGGAATTTTATAATACAGGTTTGAAAGTTGGAAAAAGGATAATCGTGAGGCGGATTTTCCCGCATTCGAGACATGTACCTGTGCACTGGTGTTTAAATGGCGCCAAAATCAGATCCATAAAGATTTGTATTTCCCGATGGGGACAGGAGGCCAGGAACCTCAGCACAACCGCTCGCCTCACTCCAATGCCAGCCTTTCCACCAGTGCCGGTCCCAGTCCACCTCTGCATTTTGCCGTACAACAACCTGATAAAGATAGAAGTGATGAATTTTACTAACACGGAACGATTAATTGAAATTTCAAGAGCAAGTTAATGATGATAACGACCCATTGGAACATCTTACTTCAGCACTTATACCGAACATGAGAAAACGAAATATAAGACATTCGTTCAGTGCCAACTGCCAAGCATGCAACAACCCTTTCATCAAAATTGGACTGAAAGATTTCCAGATAAGAAAAGACCCATTTTTCTTGCCAAGGTATATAAATTCTCGTGAATTTTAAAAACCACGCCATTTCAAATGACCAACAGACATGATTACTACCAACGCCAGCTTTCCAAAAACAAAAGCACATGGTCGGAAAAGTGAAAAGCCACCCGATCCGACCTGTAACAAAATATCACGTGTCATCACTGACCTTATAAGGACAGGCATAAGTCCCTCCCGATGACTTGTGTCTACAATACCACTTTCTTCGTCAACTGAAAAATGCGCCAACTCATCCCGAAAGTTCTCATCGTCCAACAGACGCTCGATATTCTCCTTGTACGGCTCCAGATAACCAAACTTGTAAGTCATTAGACATTTAACAGCAAGCTTCTGAACCTCTCCCTCTCTGTGAGCTAGAAATCTCAAGAAAAGCTGTCTCACTTCTGATTCTTTATACAGTGCTTTCGGATTTTTAAATGCCGCAAAAAGTGCCAGGTGAATGCAGAGGGACTTTGTAGCTGATTTGTGTCTCTTTTTATGAGCATTGGTTTCTTGTTCGACAACAGAGCTGTCTGTGTCAATTTCTTTAGACTCTGATTGGTCGGATGTATCTCTAGTTGTTGTCCCATGGGATTCTGCACGTTCTTTGACGAGAATGTCTTGTGAAGGCGCTACGTTTTCCATTGCTACAAAGTATTCATTACTGTAACAAAACAAAAAAGTATAGGTAAACTTCAAAGAGAATTCACCACTACCAGTGAAACTGTTTTTTTTGTTATGTGTCAGATAAGAAACGGGATATGAGATTTACCACTGAAGTTAAGGATTTGAAAAGCATTTTTGTCACAACACAGGACCATCACACCGGCCTTTGCTCTGACCAAGCAAGGAGAAACGATAGAAACGATAAAGAACGCTTAAATTACACTTGTCAGTATTTAATCTTGCTGATCTGATCAATGTAAGATCCGACTTGGCATTTTATTACTAACTTAGTTTCGTAACGCATTGCAACATGTGCGGCACTCTTCAGAAAAAATTACCAAATGAAAAGTTCTTTACAACATACAGTGTGTACGCTGTGAGTATTTGTGTCGCGGAAAGCTGTTAGAAAACAGGAGCTACGATCTTGTAGCAATGTATTTAGTAATTCAAATCGATTAATTCAAATTCCACGTTTTCCCCGTGATTATTTACAGAGTATAAAAGCCTTCTATTCTGAGTTTGGGTAAAACAAAAATAGTGCAAATGGCATAGAAGTAATGTCGAGCAAATGTAGCATCATGTATTTTGAAGGCACCGAGAAAAAGGAACTTGTCTTACCTTACAAACCTAAGGAACAAAGGCACTAAGTCCCGTGATTTCTGTTCGGCAACTTCTGGAAAGGACGCCAGTGCTTTCCACAATAGATATCGGTAGTTAGTGTGATCTGCTCTGTTGTCTTGTCGTGAACCAAGAGAAGAAACGCTATGCCTGTCAAATATTTCATCAAAACTCCCAACTAGTTTGCTGTCCAAAGGCCCATTTATTTCACTCAATGATTGTTTGCTGGCACCTGTATCCATTTCTTCACTGAGTTCTTTTTCTGAGAATTACAAAAAAGTGAACAATTTTTAGTTGGCAGCTTACATAGCCTGCGAACAGCAGACGCATTTCCAGTCGTCGCTTCTCTCCCTTCGAAAAATAGGAGAGAGGGAGAGAAGCGACGACCGGAAATGCGTCTGCTGTTCGCAGGCTACAGCTTACATACATTTCAAAACTTTTGCTTCTAATGGCATTTTCACCTCAGAAACACGAGTGACAAGGTCACAAGAGTAAAAGTAACGATAAAAATACATTTACTGTGAAAATCACAAAGTACAGGTACATGTGTATAAAATTGTCATACAGTTTCAATTCAAAAGCCAGCGCACTTTGCTCCGCCAACTTAAAATTGTATTATCTCGCCTTCCAACCCGAATTATCTGAATTTAACCAACTGCCTCGCTTAAGTGGAAGGTGGGTGCCTGGGATACCCAGGGGCTTCCACTGTGGCCAGCCAGCCCCTAGATAGAAAAACTGCCCCCATGGCTGGCAAATCCCCGCAACCCAGCCATGAGCCCCCATTCCAAGCCGAAGGGACTCTCCGAGCTGACGCAGCCAGATCGGAGAGGGAAAGAGGGGCTCAGGGCTGGGGGAAGCCCTGGCCCCGAACTACCCAAGTCCCGAGGCACCCTAGAAGGACAACTAGGAAAAGAGAAAGATACGCAAGAAAATACCTGTCAAGTGAGAAGGCTTGCTACCCCCACGATAGTACTGACGGGAGTGTGAATATAGATCTGATACGCATCGCTGGACCATCTGCCAAGTGTCTTGATGAGGTGATCTGGTAAGCCACGAGAGGCTGCTGAAGTAGCAGCGCCAATGCGGAAGCTATGACCGGTGTAGCAACCAGTGACCCCAGCAGCGGAGAAGATAGACTGAATACTGGATGTCAGCCATTGGCGATGTAGAGGGGTGCCATCAGAGAGAAGGAAGAGTGGGCCAGGAGTTGAGCCACGGACGTGTAGATACTGGGTAAGGGCGCACAGGGCAGAGATCACGTTTACCAGCACCAATGTAAATATGGCAACCTTGGCGAAAGGGGTCCGTCTTAGAGCACTTAATATGAAACCTGAAGCTACTAGGATTGACTAGGGAATCTGCTTGGACATCACTGACAGCAAGGTGGATGTCAGGATTGAAGGGAGAGTTGACAGTAAACTCACCAGCACGTAAGAAACCAAAAAACCCGAGACAGCAGGCAGCCCAAAGCATTGTATGGTTGTAGTCAGAGAAGTTCAAGGACTGGAAGATAATGTGCATCAGCTCGATTGTGATGGGTTGGCGCTGACGCTTATTTGAGCCTTGGTGACGTTTAATGCCCCGCAACACCCGCTGTAACCGAAGGCAACCAACCAGCGGAGAAGGATGACCCTCCTCAATGTGAAGGGACCGAATTGCTGAAAGGTAAACCTTTATGGATGAATGGTGAAGAGTATCAGCAAGATGACAGCAGAAACGGATGAGCACGTCTTCACTGGCTGGAAGAGCTGATCCCGAAGGAGATAGGCTATTGTCCTGAGCACAGAAATCCAAGAAGCGGCGTTGGGCAGAAGCATAGACTTTCCTAGTGGAGGGGGCAAGACCCTGAGTCAAATAGAAGTGGTATTTATCTGACAGCGAAGATCCAAGTCCGAGAGGAGCTGCTGCGGAATCTGGGTTGGAATGGAGTCTGCAAGAGGAGCTAGCCGGCGAAAACGATGAAACTGAAAGCGAGACAGGGAGTCAGCAATGGGGTTAGACTTCCCTCTAACTGGGGAGGCAGTGAAGGAGAAGGAGTGACGAGCTGCCAACAGGGACAGATAGCGAACCAAGGACATGATGGTAGGGGCTCTTGAAGTGCCAGACCGCAAAATGTCCACCACTGAGCGGTTATCTGATAGGAAGTTGACCCGTTTGGAGGCCCACTGGGGGCCCCAGAGGTAAGCTGCCACGACGATAGGGAAAAGTTCCTTGTACTCGATAGACTGAGAGACCTGTGATGGGAGCCATGCACCTGAAAACCAGTGACCCTGGAAGACTGCTCCATAACCAAGAGCCCCAGAGGCATCTGAAGAAACCTCGAAGTCAGGAATTGGAGCCCACTGGGGGTACTGAAGAAAGCTGCAACCATTCCAAGACTGGAAAAACTCTTGCCACCAGGCTAGGTCAAGAAAGAACTCTTGATTGAGACGAATCGGGTGGTCATCGCGTCGAAAGGCACATAGTAGGTTAATCATTCGGCGCAAGAATGAGCGACCTTGGGGTACGACTTTGCAGGCATGCTGAAGGTGACCTATTAGGGACTCCAGATCCTTGCGTTTACACCAACGCTTTTGTGACCAATCTTCCAACAAGGCAGTTATCCTATCAAATTTGTCCTGAGGAAGGCGTGCCAGCAGATTAAGAGAGTCCAGTTCAATGCCCAGGATGGTTAGGCACGTCGACGGCCCTTCTAGTTTGTCTGGATGAAGGGGGATGCCAAGCTTAGAAAAACAGTCAATTGACCTGTCCAGATTATGTTGACAAACAGAGGAGCCGGGAGGGCCAAGAGTGTGGAAGTCATCAAGGTAATGCATCAGGAAGGTGACATCGTAGTTTTGCTTGGCCACCCACTCCACTAAGTCTGCTATACATGTGAAGATATATGAAGCTGACCTGACACCAAAAGGCAGGACCATATCAACATAAAAGGCACCACGCCATTTCATACCCAGCAACTGGCGATCTTCTGTATGGACTGGCACAATACGGTATGCATTTTGCACATCAAATTTCGCCATGAGGGAACCCCGCCCCAGCCGCATTATGCCTGCAATAATGTCATCTACCTTCATGTACTGCAGAGAATAATCCTCGCCCGCAATTCCGTCGTTGACACTGTGCCCCGCAGGGGTAGACAGGTCCAGGATAAGACGCCATTTGCCAGGTTGGTGGCGTTTGGGGATGACGCCGAAACGACTCACGTGGAGGACAGGGAGGGGAGGCTGGGAGAAGGGGCCCGCCACCCTGCCTGACTGAACTTCCGACTGCAAGTAATTGTCAATGACCTGAGGGTTCAGGAGTGCTGAAGCCATATTCCCTGTTGCCGACTTCAGGGAAGTACTGTAATTGAAACCTAGGTGAAAACCATCGCGAAGGCCTTGGACCACATATGCAACTTTGTCTGGGTTAGGATGATGACAGAGTTCATGCTGGAATCTATCCACATTGATGGGAGTAAGCTGAGAAACTGGTCTTAAAGGACAAACAGCTGGAGAACACAACGAAGAACTGGAACTTGGCAGACCCTGCTGCTGAGAAGGTAACACAAAAGGAGAACGCAACTCTAACGCTGAAAAATTACCATGAGAACCAACGTGAACAGGAACAAAACTATTTACAGTTGAATTGGCTAGAGGTTGCCTAGCGACGGCGGAGACCCCCTTTGACTGAGAAGGGGGCGGGACCGTTCTCTCCGCGCGGACCGGTGAGGGCAGTGGATGCGGGGGTGGTCCCCGTGGCACGATTCACAGGAGTGACGAAACCGACAGCGACCAAAGGGCCAGCGACAGCGCCCGTCGTTCCAGGAGTGGCAATACTGGCTAGACCGGGGATTGCCTGAAGACCCAAGAGGCTCTGATAGTGACAAGGCAGAGGAAGTTGAGGAGCCTGAAGCAGTTGAGGTGGTCACTGGAGATCTGGTGTGAAAGTTGTAGAGGTCTGGGTGCATGCGAGACCAGTCGGTTGAACCTGAGGCTGCGGCTTCTTTTCGGAAGGCGATGTCGTAGTGGAGCCACGATTTGTCAGAAAAGCGCCTTGCTGTCTGGATGATGAGTAACTTGTACTGATTTAAATCTTTCCAGCGAGAGGGGAAGGTGTGGCAAAGAATCATAGAAAAGATTGTGAAGGCTTCAATCCAGGTGATGATGTCTGCTATTTCAATTACCCGTTTCTTCGACCCTGATACCACCAGTTTTCCCTCCAAAAACGCTTGGGGTTCGATTTCTTGAGCTCTGATGTTGTCCGGAAGGAGGTCAGCCAAGTCTACAAAAAGCCCTGCGGTAATTTTAGAAACAAGCTTAAAGGGGACTGGAGCATAGCCAGGGCCCACCACAAATGCTTTATTGAGGTTTGGAAGCGTAGAGGACTCGGTTCCGGTCGCGCCACCACAAGAGCCCCCAACCACTACAGGCAAGTTGGCGGAGGACGTGGCGGGAAGAGAGGAGACTACCGAAGGACCGCCAGATGAGCTGTACGTTGAAATAAATGAGGGCACAACAAGCGTACCTGAAGACTGGGAGGTAGAGCCAGGGGTACTGGAGCTAGAGGATGCCGGAGACTGCGTAGAAGTCGAAGTCGAGGAGAGAGGAACAGACGCCGCGGCCGTGTTCGAGTTCCCGCCACTGGAATCTCGAAGGGAAGATAGCAGCGGAGGGAGCGATTCCGCGAGAGCTCTTGAAATTGCCTGGGCTAGCGCGTTGGTGTCCGGCAGGGAAACAGGTTGACTTGGTGGAGAAGCCGAGGTGTTAACTGTAGGAGCTGGGGTAGAACCGCTAGAAGAAGGCGAAGACGCGGTAACCGGGAAGACATCGTTGACAGGCTGTTGTTCGTGGTACGCATCCTGAACGAACGTGACGACCCGCACGCTTTGAAAAATAAATGAAAGAAAAAAGGATACAAGAAAAAGCACACTGTAAGACTGACGCTCCAAAGATCGCTAAAAAAGGCGAAAGACGCTAAATGAACCGCTCCACAGACCACTGCACAAACGCTCGATGAACAACTCGCAGATCCTAGCCATGTACAAAGCTACCACACACCATGTGAGCCTGCACTTATGGGATTGACCGCTGGATGCCCGCTACGCTCGTGGGCCGCTTGACCGCTAAGCTTGTAGACCGCTTGACCGCTAAGCTTGTGGACCGCTAGACCGCTTAACTTGCGGACCGCTCAACTGCTAAGCTTGTGAACCGCTTGACCGCTATGCTTGTGAATTGCTTGACCGCTACGCTTGTGAACCGCTTGACCGCTAAGCTCGTGGTGGTTAACTTAGTTAAATTACATTTAACCAAATTTAAACACTGATTACTATATTTATCTTTGAGGTATTCTTAAGAATATTGTTACAATCCTTGTACAAACAAGCCAGAGATTAGGTCCCCGTTGTGCAAACGTCGAACAGCGCTATCCATAAATCACTATCAGGCGAATAAGCATTAGAGTAGCCAAATGCGTCATTTACTGGATAGAGATTTATCTAGTAAGTAATGTTATCCGCCTTTTTAACAACTGGGGCCAGAACTGACTCATTCATTTACCTGCAATTTCTGCTGCTTCATTCAAAAGCTTGTTTAAGGTTTTCCAAAAGTGTTTCACATTGGAACTTTGCGAAAAACTCGCGATTATGTCAATGACAGGATCCCACAGAGGACTAAAGTTAACATACAGCATGCCAAACAGATGAAGAAGTGCGGCCTCTCGGCAGTACTCTGGCAGAGCGTCGTAAAACTGGGTGGAGAAGCGGAGTTTCTGCAGACACACTAACCGGTCCCTATAAGTTTCTAAGCGAGCGGGAATTTCTTCAGCTGCGAGGCATAGCTGAAATACTGAGGCTGAATTCTCTTTTACCAGAGCCTGAAAAAGAAATTATTATGCAAATATGAATGAAATAAAATAAATAGGAGGCAAAAAGTTCATTTATCGTTCAGTAATTTGAAAGATTTTTACTTGCAACGTACATGTAATGTGAATAAGAATACTGAAATAAATGGAAAGCCAACAAAATCTTCAAGTTTCGGTATAAATTATGCGGAGGGTGTCATAAATTGTCCCTTCGCTGCAAAAAAATGTCGCTTTTCAGATCTTCAGTGTTGCCTTATAGTCAGTACTACTTATAACCTCTAAAATGAGCTTGTGTTGCCGCAAGCTTGGGATTTTTATAAAGATCAAAAATTATTTAGTAAAAAGCGTTGTGTAACACAGTTAGGTCAGTATTTACCTTGTCGTCCGACACGCCTTTGTTCGGATGATCAAAACAATTCAGCATCTTCAGAGTAAGAAGACGTGTGATATGGCTTGCGGAGCATAGATTGTGGCTAACGTAAGGATAGATCCCCTGCAGGTTATCCGGGGCTAAAAAGCTCTGGATTCCATGAGCTCGTGCCACTGTCATTAGTTTGAAACAGGCTTGAAGAATGTGAACATTGCTGGGCCAGGATCTGTAAAACAATAAGATAAAAAACTGTACATGGGATTGAAGTTTGGAAAAATATGGTGCATTTCATATATTTCGATTCCTGGCATTTCCACCACCTGGTATATTACGAACTCGCAATGAGTGACAAAGTGACTCACAAAGTGGAAATTGTTGAATAAGGAAAGAAAAAGTTGCGGATTCAAAAATATCTGGATACATGAGGGCGGAGCCTAACACTAAGGGGAAATTTAACTTACTTGATCAACGACAAAACGAAGCTGTAGTCTAGATGTTTGGTGAGCTCTTCTGTACTGGGCACAATCAAGCTGTACGACTGTATAGCCTGGCTCAGCACACTCAAGTAAACTGAATGGTCTCCAGCAATATTTGCTGATAAAAGGTGTTTACAGAGGGTCTGGATTAACCTGATGAGCTGACTGCAACATTGAGCAATGTCCAGTGGTCTGTAAATTAAAGAGAAAAGACTTTTTACACGTAAAGTGTAAATTCTAACAGCGCTTGTGTTTTAACCTACACAACGTTACACAGTATAATGGTGGCGCTCAGAAATTTTGCAGTTACACCCCAGGTCACAAACCAAAGGTTAAGCGTAAGCAAACTACGGAAATGTCCTATTAAAGTACAGTGTACTTTTTCAAAGTGGCTGTGCCATGCTATTTGATACCTTTTTGAAAAGCTAAGATGTGTCTTTGAATCGATTTGATTCTAAAAAGAATGCTCCAGTTTTGTTTTTTAAGAGTAAATTTAGCATTGAAACTGTTTCCCGTCTTCGGTCGCTAAGGATGGCGCGGATGAACATGTAGATTGAAACCACAAATGACTGTTATGGTTACTACTTCCTGGTGAAATTTGGGATCATTTTACGTTTCTGGAAAACTGCTTACCTACCCCTTCCAAAGCCAGCATTTAGTTATAAGTGAGAAGTAAGTGTTAATGTTGGCTTTGGGGAGGGGTAGGTAAGCAGTTTCCCAGAAACGTAAAATGATGCGAAATTTATTTCATACCTTCTTCATAACTCTACAGGAGTATCTTTAGTGTGGGTAAAAGCAACAAGTAATGGCTTTGACACAAAATTAACCTAAAAAGGCAATAATCTTTGTGACATACATGTAGCCCCTTTAAATAGGCCCCACCTCTAACAACAGCCCCTCAATATTCTATAGGAAGAAAATGATTCAGATGGAATCAACCAGGACATTAAGTACTTTTGATTTTCAGTGGACAAAAATCTTGTACCAGAATAATTTAAACCATATTGTATTCTTTCTTACATCTTTCAAGGGCTAAAGATGTAATAAATCATCTGTAGAAACACCAAAGAAAATTTCTCTTGGAAGCCCGAGAAACTGAATGTCAGATTTCACAGAATTACATTTTACACATGAAATTTTCAGCGTGTAATCACAATTGTTGTAAAATTTGATATTAATTTTCTCAGAGTTCCACGCGACATTTTCTTTGGTGTTACTACAGATGATTTATTACATCTTAAGCCATTGAAAATTGTAAAAAAGAATGCAATATTCTTTAAATTATTCTGGTACAAGATTTTTGTCCACTGAAAATTAAAATACTCAACATCCTGGTGGATTCCGTCTTAATCCCCTCTCCTCCTATACACTATACTAAAGAGCTTTTAAGGGTTGAGATGCATTCCTTTTGCTTTGGCAAAGAAGATCAGTTCCGTTCCCCTCTTTACAAGGTTAAAAAGCCAACGAAAATGAAGGCAACAGAAGAAAGGAACCTACGTCACTGAGTCACAGTTATAACTGTTACCATCTAATGCTGTGAATGTCAGAACGTAAATGAATTTCTTTACCCATAATACAACTTCAATTATTTGTCTATGAAACATCCTAGAAACTTATTGATTAAGTGGACCGGTGCATTCCACTTCCTCGAACTGAAAAAACATAATACGCGGAGAAAAACATCTTGGAGCAAGGACAAGAACCAACAACAGAACGTAAACCCACATAAATTATGGTGTCGTGCCTGTAATACACTGATAGGATGCAAGTGCTCTCATTACATTGCCACCCCTTCACCCCCTGGTCCAGTCTAAATACAGCTGTACAGTATGTTGTCAGAAAAAATATAATCATACTGTAATTTGTTTACCCACGAAGCACTTAGGAGTTCTTACACTGTAAGTACTCATTTAAACGTGTCCATGCGTTTTAGATCGAATTCGAATTAATTTAAAGTGTTGATTATTGACGAGAGGGGAAAACTGGAGAACCTGGGGAAAAACGTCTTGTAGCAAAGGAGAGAACCAACAACAAACTCAACCCACATATGGTGTCGACGTCTGGATTTGAACCCAGGCCACAATGGTAGGAGGCGAGTGCTCTCACCACTGCCAGGGCTGTCATTAAGTTTTTAAAGCAACTGTGGCAAATAAAGATTCACCCATAACATTTCACAAAAATTTATAGTGCCACCCTTAGCTTTTCACGTTGATCACCTGTAACATCAAGTGAGTTCAGCTGTAACAGGTGTTATGGGTTATGGCCCTTGATCACAGCTCTGATTCGCTACCCTTGCTCTTAATATAAGTGTACTCCTAAAATTTTGCTTGATTAAAACTGCACAAATTAGGCCACTTTCTTTTCATTCTTCATGTTAATTGTAAAATTTCTATTGCTGTCTACATCTACATGTACCTCATAAACAACAAGAACAATACACTGTCTAATCATTACAAGGAACACCCACCTGATACAGGGGATACACACAAGACAGACCCATATCAAGGAAAGCCTCTCCTTTTCCACCAATACATCTTCATCTATTTCCAGATTATCGAGGAAAGCTTTTAGAATCTGCCCGCCTGTCTTGGTGCCACATTTGGGAAAGAAAAGCAAGCCCTTTGATCCTTCCAAATCAAGGCCACTAGTATTAGCCATAGAGCGGCTAACGATGACTTCCGTCAACATAAGACCAACTTCCTTAATGTCACAGGAGGTTTTTAGAAGCTCTGATTGGCAACAGTTTAACAACAAAGGTAAAACGTCTTTCTGGAAGTGCACCCATTGTAAAAGATGTCTGCAGAATGTAAAAATATATTTGATATCATAGACTGTGGTGAAAACTGTTGATATTATTTGTTTCTGGTGGCGGTCTCTTGAGATTTCAGTGAATGATCCAAGCAGAACAGTTGATGTAAGTTGAAGCAGTGGGGCTGTAATGGGATCTGAATTGAAATCACTACCAAAGAACATCTGTACAACCTGCAAAAACACAATGAGAAGAACCGTAGTCGGAGCTGTTGCTAGCAAGATGTCAAGTTTCTGAGTATATGCAATCAACTTGCAGGAAGAGAAATTGTCTGAATTGCTGTCATTTTGCCCAAAAGTCAATCTGCCCGACAACATGCA